AATATATGACATGTGATATCATGTCCAGGACATTAACAATGATGAGCAACCACCCATTGTTTTGCTACTAACTTCCGTGGCTCTGCACATTTCTATGTATAATATAGCTAAACAAGTAAAACTCCAACTATATCGTCTTGTTTTTTTTAAGATTAGTTAATAAAGCTAAACACATAAGATGTACTTTGTTGTCTGTTTTGTCAAGCATCAAAACACCTTCAATTAAACCTAGTATATAAGCCCTATAATGAGCGTGAACTTCTTCTTCAGATGGTTCTTCTGGTAATGGCAACATGTTATCTTTCAACTATTTTAGTTTAGCATAGAGCCAATAAGTGACTCTCCCTTGACTGACATGATACCGAGATATGTGTTACATATTTCCTCCCAGTCAAACATTGTTGGACCAATGACTGGTAAACCATCAACTCTTAGCCCGAGTTGAAGTGCGACATCCTCTAGGATTATGGTGCACTCTCCTGTTGAAAAATAGAATGTGTGAGTTTCAGGTCTCCACGTCTCGACCAAAGCTGTTATCAATACGTGATCCACCTTAAGATGCCTTAGCTTTGCTATCCCAGCAAAATTAAGTTATTCAAGTATAAAAACAATTAGAGGACTGAGTTCTGACATTGAATGACAGAAAGATAAAATCATATTTTCAGTTTCTTGCAGTTATTAATAAACTAGTAACATTATATGTAAAATATTGATTTACATATTTAGTTAATAATGGTAAAGTGTAAAACTTACCGTTCTTCCAATGAATGCGGACCTATGTTCGTTTTGCTTCTACAACAACATTTTTAGTAATAGGATCAAAGACAGAGAGAAACAAAGAACAAAGATAAATGCAAGTTTGAATAAAAACATGTGGCTTTGGATGAACATATTTATAGATAAACTTTGGTACGAGAGAGTAACCTTGGAATCTTGAGAAGTTACAATCTCTTTGTCTGCGTGACTGAGAAGTCACAATCTCTTGGTCTGCGTGACTGAAAAGTCACAATCTCATGGTCTGTGTGACTGAGAAGTCACTATTTCTTGGTCTGCGTGACTGAGAGGTCACTATCTCTTGGTCTACGTGAATAGAGAGGACACAATCTCTTGGTCTCCATGACTGAGAAGTCACTATCTCTTGGTCTACGTGAATAAAGAGGTCACCATTACTTGTAAAACGTGGTGAAACATTGAATGATTGAGAATCCAATGTTACCATTATAAATAGTCATATTCGTGTTCATTTTATTCATTCAACCTTCTAAGCTTATTCCTTATTCTTGTGAACCTTCTCCTTCTAAAAATGTCTTTAATTTATGTCATTGTTCACTTTCATGGTGTCATTAACCAATGTCCTAATGAAGGAGTCACGTTCACCTCACCATAAGCTAAATTAGTACATCTAAAGAGAGAAGTGACTCTACAAAGGTTCAAGAAAGTCATCCACAAAAAACTTAACCGATACTCAAATGAAAGGTTGACAACTATATATTTTCGCTAAATTAAGTTCACAACGACTGTGCTTGGAGATGTTGCGCTATATTGCGCACCAAAGAGCAACACTAGAAAATAATGAAGCTTGAAGGGTGTCACACATGTGCTTCCCCACTCATTTCATAGGATCATAACAAGTTGGGATCACGAATGATTTCTCAAACCATTCATAAAATTATCGAGACTGATCCATCCATACCCATCGCAATCATCTTAGCCTACATAAAGTTCACAATGGGTTACACAATCAACTATAGAAAGGGATGATTGGGAAACAACATGTCATTGAAAATATCTTCGAAAATTGGGAGGAGTTATACCATAAGTTACCTAGATAGTTGCTTGCAATGCAACTATATGTTCTAGGCTTCATCTGGAAATTGAGTACACAACTGACATATAAGGTTGTTTTGGATCTTCAAGTCATGCATTAATGGTTTTGCATTCTGCAAACCAATTGTTTAAGTGGATGGAACATTTTTGAATGAAAAATACAAAGGGACTTTATTAGTGGCAGTTGCGCAAAACGGCCGCAACAACATAATTCTCATTACTTTTGCTGTAGTTGAAGGTGAAACTAGCAATGCATGGTTCTTTTTTTAAAAAAACTTAAGTAGGTACGCAACCCCGCAAGAGGGGTTGTGTCTCATTTCGGATTTTCATGAGGTCATAAAAAGTGCATACTCAAAAAATAGAAGTGGTTGGACATAAAACAATTTTGTTAATGTCTATTGCATTAGACACATTGCACAAAATTTCGTGCGACGATTCAAAAACGTTGCACTGAAGAAAAATATCGTCAATATGGGTTATTTTAATTTTTTACATACTCTATATTATCATTAATATTTTATACAATTGCTTAGCTAGTTATATTAATTTAATTTGTAATTTTGTTTCTAGCATATGGGATGACTGAACCGAGATTCTTTTACAATTACAACATAGTAAAAGATAATAATCTTGAAGCTGCACAATGGTTGGACAACATCCCAAGGGAAAAATGGACACTGGCATAGGACAATGGACGACGCTGGTGATACATGACAACAAACTTAGCAGAGTCAATTAATTTGGTATTGAAGAAAACTAGAAACTTACCAATTTGCTCTATGGTCATGGCAACATACACCCGTTGCAATAAGTTCTTCATTGACAAAAATAAGGAAGTAGATGCGATGATTAATGCTGAACATATGTACTCAGAGGTTGTAACTAAAGCAATTTAAGATGCACAGTCAAAGGCAAACACTCATAGAGTCATCACCTTTAACAGAATAAGTACTAGATTTTTAGTCGAAGAAACACAACATTCGACAGAAATTTGACCCGTAGGAAGATTTACAGTATGGTTAGATGAAATGTAGTGTGATTGTGGCAAGTTTCAAAAAGTTCAAATCTCATGCTCGCATGCACTTTCTTCATGCTTACACACACCACAACTTTGACATTTACATATCTCTCGTGTATACCTTACAACAAGTTTCTAAGGTATACGAAAGTCAGTTTGGAAAACTCAAATACAAAGACTATTGGCTAACTTACATGGATCTAACTTTGTATCAAAATCCAGAATTGAAAAGAACTTTAAAGGGTCAACCCAAGTCTAGTAGGATAAGAACTGAGATGGACATTAGAGAACAACAAAGTCGGGTAAAAAAATATTCTTATTGTCATACCCCTTTCACACAAGGAAGACATGTCTAAACATCCCTCAAGCTTCTAGTTTCTATTATTGATTTATGTTGTTGTTATTATTTTAAAATTTTGTTAATGTCATTTTTAATTTTATGAATGTCATTGCAACTTTTAAATTTTTAGTATTTGTAATTTATATTAATATATAATTATATATATGATATATCTACATAATATTATTTAATTATGTTTATTAATATTAATAACATATTTTTTTAAATAAATAATTATGTATAAATTTTAATAAAAGATTAATATCTCAAAATAAATAAATAAATTGATTATTATTTAATACTTTTATTTATTTTATAAATATATAATATTAAATAAATTATTATTATAATTTTTATTTTATACAAATTTAAAATTAAATAAATTATTATTATAGTTTTTATTTTTTTAAAATATAATATTAAATAACCAAAAATATAATTTTAGAATATAATATTAATATCATTTTCAAAAAATAAAATTATATTAAATAATATAATAAGAAAAACAAAAATATTATTTATCATCTTAAATATGTCAAATAAATTTTAATAAACATTTAAAATTAATAATAATATTTTATTTATTTATTTTTAAATAATATAAAAAGATAAACATAATTCAAACAATAAAACTTATTTTATTATATATAACTAACAAAATATTTATAAATATTTATTAGAATAACATATTATAAATATTTATTTTAATAATATATAAATATAATTTAAATAATAATATTTATTTTATTATTTTAAAAAAGAATAAAATTTAAAAAGTAAAAAAAAAAAAACTCAAAATTTGGTTTTTTACAAACCAAAATCGTGGCCAAAATTTTGGGTCTATTTTAATAATTAAATTGGCACGGGATCTATTTGAGTATTTTTTTTTTATAATTTCTGTAAAAAACTCTAAAACTGACACTTATTTTTTTAATAATAATAAAAAATATATTAGCTGCATTAAAAACTGACACACGGATACACTCTATATCAAAACAACATTAAAAATGGTGGCAAGAGATGAGATGTTTTGTGTGTCGACGTTTATGCAGATGATATATATATTTTTTATTATTAAAAAATAAGTGTTAATTTTAGGTGGATAACACTCTTTTTTATTACTTAAAAAAGTAAATATTAACTCTTTTATAGCTGATATTTAAAGTAATGTGGCAAAAAAATGCTTTAAATTAAAAGAAATGTTTTGTATATACTCTATTTCGATAAATTTTTTCATTTCTACTCTATTTTAGAAAAAAAACCCTAAAAAATAGGAATAACTAATGATAGTTTAAATAATTGAAAATTTATAAAAAATAAATATGAATAATTAATATCTAAGTAATTAAAATTGCATACAAATTAAAGGCAAAATTGATATTTTGTCATTACTATTAAAATAAATTTTAATTTCACCCTCAAAATTTTTATTTTGTTCTAAGAAAACAAAAATATTAATTTTACTTAAATTAAAATCTAATCACTAAAATTGCAATAAAATTAATAAATTTTAATTAGAAAACATGTATACAATGTAGTTATTAAATACTATAATTTATTGTAAAAAATATTATTATTAAATTTTTAGTATATATATAAGGATACATGATAAGAAATTTATAAATAATAATTATATTTGATGTTATTAATGTATTGAATCTTGCAATATCTTATAATTTGAATAAAAAAAGTACTCTACATAATTTTTATTATATAAATATATTTAAAATAAAAATATTGAGTACTTAAAGCGAATTGACGAAGAGCGTTTTCACCTGATATGTTAGGACTAAAGACACGATAGCGATTCCTTTCCTTTCTAGTCAGAGTGAGAGACAGTTATTTAGTTTTAAATATTTTCAATTCATTTAAGAGAGTTAGAGGGGTTAGGAAGAAGTTGAGTAAACCCACCTCACACGGTTGAGACTTGAGACTTGAGACCATGGATTGGCATCAAAGTATTCGCATTGGCGGAGCGTGAACTTCAACGCGCGTCTCACTCCTCACGCTTCTCCAACCATCTCAGATCTAAACCTCTCTTTCCATTCAGTTTCCGCTGCGGTGGTAACTCTTTCAAGCGCGGGGTTCTGGGAATGGGTGATGAGAAGAAAGAGACGAGTTCCATTGCCACTGATGCTGGGAACCATCATAATAAGAAGAAGCAAAAGGGGTTTATTTCTCGAATTTGGAACCTCATTTTCAGGTCTAGCGGTGACGATTTTGAGAAGAGGCTTCAGCATATCACTAAAGAAGAAAACGTCGTCGTTACGAGAATCAGTAATAGATCTCGCTCTTGGAGGCGAATCTCTCGCCAGCTTATTCTATTTTCTGTATTATTTGAGGTACATTAATGTTATTTCTTCATTGACTATGTTTTTAATTTTTTTATTTTTTCAAGTGTTTTTCTTTTGTTTGGATTTTTCAGGTGCTTGCTGTATTTTATGCGATTGTAACGACGCGTTCGATGGATATGAATTGGAAAATGAGGGCAATTCGGGTTTTGCCTGTGTTTCTTTTGCCTGCTTTGTCGTCTGCTACATATTCAACGTTTGTTAGCATCACAAGGATGTGTGAGTCTATATACTCTCAAAGTTTACAATTCACGTGTCTAAGCTATTTATTAATATTGTTGTTGTTATTGGATTGGTAAATTGGAGCACCGTGTATTGTTTGTTGTGTCTGTTATGCTGAATTTGCAGTTTAAGGCCAAAAGAACCTTAAATTTTGTGTTATTCTTTAATTGAGGCTTTCAATAGTTTTAGGGTGCGTTTGAATATACAGTTTAATATAGTGCTTATTCAACAAGTCATCTTCTTCTTTTTTTAACACAAGGGCATATGCTGTGAATTTGACCATGAAATTTGTTGAAATGAGCTAAAGAGAGCTTATGGGAGTCATAGGCATTTTTATAAGCTATTCATAAGTTCTTCCAAGTGCTCCCTGAGTCCTGTGTGTAGAGTTATGAATTCATCACTTTTGGTAGAATTTCGGCCATTATTCTTACTTTTTTTACACTTAAGTTAGTGGGGATGGAGAAGCTTTCAAGGTGAGTTCTTTCTGCCAATAATTTCAAACCACCTTCTTTTACTGAGCCAATGGCTTCAGCAACTTCTTGGTGTCAGTGGAAAAGTTTATATTTTAGTACACTGATGGATGAATGGTTTTTATGAAAGAATTTCTCCATGTATTATTGATGGGCCTTGTGTAGTTGTGCAGCAAATGCTGATGAAAATGCTTTATCTGAATTTGTCTATGCATTCGTTCGAAGCTTCTAGAGTTCTTGAAGTCTTTTACAAATACATGAAATGAAACTTCTGTGCTGAGATAACGTGCTCAAACAAGCAGCATTTAATCAGTCATAAGTTATAAAAGCAATGTTTCATAACGTGTTATGAATGCATTTTGTTATGTTGGATTCAAATTAGGGGTGCAGATTTTGCATTGGAATTTGGAAGCTTGTGTTAGAGTTTGATATGCCAATCGCATGTAATGTTAGTTGAAATTTAAATATAAAAGTGTGATTTTATAGGTGATCGCAGGGACCAGAAAATTCTTGAAAGGCTTAGAGCTGAAAGGAAGGCAAAAATTGATGAGCTCAAAGAGAAGACAAATTATTACATTACTCAACAACTCATTCAGGTTATTTTTAAAGCAAGTATTTACATGGCTTTTGGGAGCGCAGACAAAATACATGTTGTGTTGTATTGATCTATTCATGTTCTCTAATATCAAAATCTCAAGTCTGCATTTGGTGTACTATTTATAAATTAGATCTTGTAGTATGAGTAAATAATTTTTTGACTCGGTTTTTACACCTAACATTATAGTCAAATCCAGTCAAACATTTTCATCCCCTTACAAGCAGTCCTCCAACAACTGATATCATCTGGCAAGGCCTCCTTCCTTGCACTAATGTAAGCCCACTACTGTTGCCACTGACATGCCGACAACTGCGCCACCTAAAGATTTTTTTGATCCAACATATTGGATAGGAAACTTAGAGAAAATAAGGCACCTGAAGGGTTACCCAAAAGTAATAAAAACTCTAATCCAACAATAACTCCTTAAATAAAATCTTATGAAAATAAGGTATACAAAAAATTGCAAATATTAGAAAGACAGTTATTAAAAAATTAACGGAAATAATTAGTAAGTTGTTCACATCAATCTCTTTCAAGCATTGCCTAATTTTCATTCTTTTGACTTTTCCCTTTGTCAATTTTCTGACTTGTTCAATGTTCTCTCTCTGTCATTTATTTTCATTATATCATTGAGTTGGTAATTCTTTTTCATTCTACAGTTGTGTTAGTGAAAGAATTTTTTTTGTTCTATTCTTTTAACATCGTATTCATTTAACTAGTAACTTTTTGGGGTAATGTGATGACTAATGTATGTAACTTTTAGTTGAGACTGAAGTGATTGAATCTTATATGTTCTTAGTGCAAAGGATGGTATCTTGTCTAAGTAAGTATTGCTAGATAATATTTTACCTGACAACAAAAATCTATAGTCTAGTGTTATACTATTGGGGTACTTATACATCTGGGCAACAATGATGGTACTAGAGCTAAGGCCTTTTTACTACTATCAGACCATGACCTTTAATTAAGCCATATACTATCAGACACACCCAATGGAGCTAAGAAGATCAAGACAAAATGCATTATTTTTTTTTTTCTTTTCATATTCATGCTCGAGTTCAATGAAGTTTGTTATGCGTGGCTTTTTTAGTCCAGTCCTTTTTTGGTTGGAAGAATCAATGACGTAAACAATGCTGGAGCTGCATTAATACAAACCTCTCATTTTCTTTTATATAACATGACATCATTTTTATGACTGATAAAAATTTGGCTATCTTCTCATTTTTTGATGATTTTTAGCTATGCCGCTATTTCTTTCCCTTGTATCAAGCTTCTTGTTTTATTTTCTATTATTTCTTATGCTGACTATATAAAAGGTTTTCTTTGTGGTGCTTCTTTATCACTTTACTACCAGTATACATAAAAAATTTGAGAAGTTATTTTGGAGGTCAACTTTTATCTTGAAAGATCTACTGATCAAAAATAAAGAAATGGATTCAGTTCTTAATTAATAGACTACTGAACAAAATAAGGGAAACTTTTAACGCATTAAACATTTCACTTTGCCCTCTTAAAATTTCTCTTCAAGCTGTCACTGGATCTATGCATACTCGTTATGTTAAAAGTTTGACATTAAGAGCTTTTGCCTTGGGGAGGAAAATGTATGAAATCACGTATGATCAATTCTATGACCCTGGTTTTTTTATTTCATTATGAGCCAAGTATATTCCTGTGCTATGAAGTGCTTTATTAAAGGACAATTTATGAGGTATTTGTTTCGGTATGCTTTAATATCACTGTGTATTATACTAACCTTGTGATCCACAGAGATATGACACAGACCCGGCTGCAAAGGCAGCTGCTGCAACTGTTCTGGCATCCAAGTTGGGTGCAGATTCAGGTTTGAAGGTGCACGTGGGAGATGAATCCAAGTCTGGTGCTCCAACAGGGAAGACCAAGGATGCTGAACTTGTCCAGTCTAGTGGACTACGAAATCGCAAACAAGTGCAGTCTAGATCCACTAGTCCAGGAACAAGTACCCCAAATTATTCTGAACAAGAAGTTGCTGGCTCTGGGCAAATTGACCAAACACAGACTCCTGAGCGTAATCAGCTTGTAGTTGTTGAACATCACCATCTTCAAAATTCAACAACGAATGATGGAGGATGGATTGCTCGAATTGCAGCACTGCTTGTGGGTGAGGATCCAACGCAGTCTTATGCACTCATATGTGGTAACTGCAATATGCATAATGGTAAGTGGACTGAATTTGATGCTCTAGGCTTTTGTTCACTCACATGAGCACATTTCCACACACAGTAATAGCCAAATTTCATTTTTTAACACAGAAATATTGTTTTTTATTCTCCTTATTTCTTTTCAGGTCTTGCTCGGAAGGAGGATTTCCCATTAATCACTTACTACTGCCCACACTGTCACGCGCTGAACAAACCAAAGCAATCGGGTGAGCACTTATCTGGTTTAAATTCCCCAAATCCAAACACTGGGGTGTCTCCAAAAACAGATGATGGCAAGGAAGTTAAAAATGCTAGTGCTTCTGCAGCTGAGAGTGTAATCAAAAGCAGTAATACCGTAAATACTAGTCCTGAGATTGAGGAAGTGTCTGAAGTTAAACAGGCTATATAAGGGGAACAAAGTTAGTGAAAAGGTAAAGGCACATTTGGGGACATGGACTCTTGAGATGACGTCTTCCCTTGTTTTAGGTCAAGGACCATAAGGAGAACAACTTTGCAATTGGTTTCCTTGTTGGCGTTGTAACAGGAAGAGTTTTTTTTTTGTTTTTTTGCTATTTTAACAGGAAGAGTTTTGATATAGTACTTTGAAACTTTTGATTTATAAATTTATAATACATGAATTACATGTCTTGCTTGTGAATTACGGCAAATTTGGCATTTTTATATTGTTTTTCCTTTTCGGTTGGGATGCATGTATTTGGTTTTGTTTGGTCGAGAGAAAAAAGAAAAAAGAAACAAAAAGTTTACGGTTTGAGATTATTTTCTATTTTTATTTTTTATTTTCATTTTTTAAAAGTTGTATTCATTTTATATTTCTGAAAACAGAAAACATGTTGTTTTGATGTTTTGTTTCCTATTTGTAGAAAATTAAAATAGCAAAAGTATGTTTAGTTAATTCATTTTCAATCAACTATTAGTTTATAAATTATTTATGTATTAGAATACATTTTGAATGTACACTTTTCTTAATGAATAATTTTGAATAAAAGTATATAATAATTAAACTCTTAATTTTCTGATTAGTTTGAATGATACATGCTAAATCCTATATAAATAGATTATATTAATAAAGTGTAATATACTACTTCGTGAATTATTATAAATTCATTAAACAAACAAGTTTTTATATGAAATTAAACCCTAAACTAATATATTTCTTATTCCATGTTTCATCACAAACGCTCTTATAAACAAAAAACAAGTTTCTCGTGCATATTACACAGTACCTAAAAAATATAAAGGAATTAAATATTTTGACAATTAATAATAAATATTTTATCACATTAAATATGATTAAAATAATCATAAAAAAAATGATTAAAATAAAAATATAAGCTTTTTAAAATTTAAAATAATATTGTAACTTTTTTTTATTAAAACTATGACATTATTTTATGAATATGGGCGTGAGAAAATTTTAAAAAACTAAATTTATATTAAGATATATCGTACTTACAAAAAATTTAAATTTTAGTTTAGTTTCAAAAAACTGTCTTCAATTTGATATTGCGTTTTAATATTTAAAATTTAAATTAAGTTAAAAGATAATATTTGTGAGGAATACAGATTAAAAAAAGAACGTAGCCAAAAGTCAGGTCACATAATGGAATGAATTCAAATTTATAAAATCATTATCATTAAAAAAACAATTCAAAATTTTCTGCACAACTTCATAATAATTATTTTATTGTTATATACAGTAAATATTAAATATAAAATAGATGCATTTATTATTTAAAAAATATAAAATGTTTATATTTTATTTATTTAATAATTAAAAAATATAGGTAAAAAATAAAAAATGTTCATAAGTGAATCAATCAATCATTTAAATTTTTATGGATTAATAAATTAAATTAATATATAGTACTTTAGATGCACATAGAACATCTTATGCTTTGGATTTATGACACGTTAGTATAAAATAAATTAAACATTTAAAAGATTTTAAAATTAAATTTGGAAACATATTTTAATTAAGTATTTATTTAATATTTTTTATTTTATAAATTTAATCATAAAATTTATTAAAATACATAAAAATAAATTATTATGATAAGTTACAATAAAAAAACTTATTAAAATAAGTTAAAATTTTTTATAAAAGCTATAAATTATTTTTATAAGGCCTTCCAAATACTCCCTAAAGATAAGAAATTGATTTTTTACTCATATCAAGAGAAGAAAAACAGCATAATCATGTGATTCTCGTATCCAAAAAGTATAGATCCATAAATATTATTAACTAAGGTTGAAAAGATAAATACATGAATTTTAAAATAATAAATGCATACAATTTTCATTTAATATTTAGTTAATAAAATAATAAAATACATTAAAAAAAAGAATTAATAAAATAATTATATGACATTATTGAATAACACCAAAGAATTGAACATTCCACCATTTGTGGGTGATGTGCAGGGTGTGTTGTGCACAGGAGGGAAAACTCTGACTCAAAATTGACCCATCAATTAATTAACCAATTCTTATTTATTACTTAATTGCCCCATCACACAAAACAGCAATTCTACCTCTCACTCTCCTTCTACTTCCTCAATTCCCTTCTCCCTCTGTAATCAAAGGTAAACATTCTGCATAAAAACTCTTTTCACTGATCCTCTCACTAAAATTTTTCTTAATTTATTCATTTTTTTTTATTGTTATTGTTATTTTTGTTGCCTTTTTGTTTCCGTGATTCTCGATCTTACAGTTCACAGTGGCTTCTTTTTTTCTCCTTACGGTAACGACACAATACTGATTTCTTTGCCATTATATCGTTGTTTCAGTCAGGATCATTGTTTTTTATTTTGCCAATTGATTATTATTATTGTTGTTATTATTATTTGAATCATACGTGTGTTCCACATTTCGCTGTGGCTTCGTCTTTTTTCCTTTGATTTTTCTTTTGCCTGTTAGAAATTTCTAGGGTTCTCTTTCACACTGCCTTTGGTTTTTTGTGATTTTTGCTATTCGTTTCGAGCTTGTTCTTAGGTAGAATGAATAATGATGACGAGGAAGTGAACTTAATGTAATGTGTTTGCATAGAAGCGAAGATAGCCACTATGTACTGTGTAAATTTGGGTTTGGTCGTTTTTTAATGATATCTGATATGCAAATTACGTGAAATTTTTTTTTGTAATTTTGTTGGAAGTGTTGCATCCATGAACATTGTCATGTTCTACAGTTTGCATTTTTGAGTTACATTGCCAGCCTTATAATAAGTGGTGTTGGATCACGAGTTTATTATAGGAGGGATATAGTAAAATGAAACCAACATTGCTTTCTGTTGGTATTGTTTGGTTCATTTTTGCTGTGATAAGATTTGAAAAATGGGTGTGGAAATGCTGTATTGATTCATTCCATGTTTTTAATTGAGGAAGTTGATTTAATGTGTTTTCTTTCAGGGTTAGGTTTTGATTGTACAATGAGTAGACCAACAACTCGAAGTAAAAATAAACGGCAAAAACAAGGGGATGATGGTGTCAGCACTTGTGAAATATGGAGGTACTACTAACTGATCTTCTTTTGTTTTTAGCTTTTGAAATGAAATTGGATTATATTAGAACTTATTGTTACATCCTTTAAATGTTTTGTTGTGTAGGAAAATTCACAGAACTGGTGCAGTAACTGAGGATGATATGAGCCAACTGTATATGATTTGGAAGCCAGTCTGTTCAGGCTGTCGTGTTAATACCAAAGACAACCCAAATTGCTTTTGTGCATTGGTTCCACCTGCAAATGGAACCCGGAAGTCTGGCTTATGGCAGAAGATTTCTGAATTTGTTGAAAGTCTTGGCCCTGACCCAACGAATGATCTTCGTGCTTCTGTTAGTTCACCTGCAGGTCTGACAAATCTTGGTGCAACGTGCTATGCCAACAGTATACTCCAGTGCTTATATATGAATAAATCTTTCCGAGAAGGCATATTTTCTGTAGAACCAGATGTTTTACAGCAACAACCAGTGTTAGACCAACTGGCTCGGCTTTTTGTACAGTTGTGTGTTAGTAAAATGGCTTTCATAGATTCTTCTCCATTTGTAAAAACACTGGAGTTAGACAATGGAGTTCAGCAGGACAGCCATGAGTTTCTGACATTGCTTCTATCATTGCTTGAGCGTTGTCTGAGCCATTCCAAAATTGCCAAGGCAAGAACGATAGTTCAAGATCTTTTCCGTGGAAGCGTGTCTCATGTGACAACGTAAGAATCATTGATTTTGAGCAACTTATTGAATGATATATTATAGAATAATTTTTTCCTTCTAATTTTATTTTATTCCATCTTTTTGTTTTTTTGTGGGGATGGGGCTGTGAAATATTATAGGTTTATCGAATCTGTTTTAATTTCTTTTATCTTTGATTTTTCCTGTGTCCCTTCCCACATTCCTTAACAAAATAAATAAAACGCCCAAAGAACAATCATCTTGGGAATGATGAAAATGTTGCTAACATGTAATCCTTATGATAATGCATTTTTTCTTTGATGCTGTTGATTCCTCCTGCAAAATGTATATATCAGTTTGCTTCCCCTAACAGAATGTATTTTATACTACCAAATGATACACTATTATATTTTTTGTGCTAAATTGCCTGTTGCATTTGTCTTTAAGTACCGTTTGGTATTTGATAATATAATTAATGGTACTGGTTGTTCAGAATCCTTTTCTCGTTATTGGTCCAAAGCTAAGATGCATGGGCACTGATATGGACACAGGACATGACAGTGACACAGACACCACAGGACAACAAAATTTGATGTGTCCACGTCTATTTTGTAGTGTCTCGTTGTGTTGTGTCTAACACGAAGTGTCTAGCATGTTTCCAACACGGCCCTTTCTTGAAGTGTCTGTGCTTCATAGGTCAGAAGTGACTCTGGTATTTTATGTTCAAATGATCTCAAATAAATTTCTTATGTCATCTAAATTCATATTAGATATATATGTGATCAGTAGTTGCTATGTTAATGGCTGTTACACATTTCTTAAATTTTATCACTTTGCAGGTGTTCACAATGTGGAAGAGACTCTGAAGCTTCTTCCAAAATGGAAGACTTCTATGAGTTGGAGTTGAATGTCATGGGGTTAAAAGGTTTAGATGAGAGCCTAGATGATTACCTCACTCTTGAAGAGCTTCGTGGAGACAATCGATATTTTTGTGAGTCATGTAAAACAAGAGTTGATGCTACTCGCAGCATCAAGCTTTGTACATTACCTGATGTACTTAATTTTCAACTTAAACGCTATGTCTTCCTTCCACAGGTATTGGGAAAAACTTGATTTATTTTTATTATTGTGAGCATTATACAGCTAAATTTTGTGCATTTTCATTGTTTATTTCTTTTTTGGATTTAATTATAGTGTTTTTCTTTTTTTGTTTGGGCACAAGAAAGAAATGAGTATTACTGTATTAAACTAAGAATGAAAATTGATATGTGAACTTACCAAAAGAATAAATATCTGATAAAGAAATGGAAAATTATCTATCTCTTCAAGCATCTACTGGAGTGTGCTCTGGAGATCCTTGTAATGGAAGATTATCCTGGAAACTATTGATGATTATTTCTTATACAATTATAAAATCAAATTCTGGCCTTAAAAAATTAGAGTTCCTCCTAGGGGTGCATTTGGTAATTGGTACATAGCTTAATTGAGCACTTATTCAATAATTTCTTATTTTGTGAGGGCTTATAGTATAAATTTGATTGTGAAACTTGTTGGAATAAGTTCAAAAGAGCTTATTTTAACAAGCTATACCAAGAAGCTGATTGAAATAAATCAAAAAAAGATTATGAGAGTTGTACACTATTTTCATTATCTGTAAACTCTTCCAAATGTCTCCTTAGTTATTGCGCACTAGAGTCAAGAAAACTCTCTCTCTCTCTCTCTCTCTCACACACACACACACAAACACTCACAACTATACCAAAGGCTCAAATCAAATATATAAAAAATTTCTTACAGTGTGTGTATCACCATTTATACTGAACACATCTTGGTTTAGAATACTTTATCAAAAATACAATGCAAGAACCTTGATCTATCTTTCACATGCAGGGTTATGATCTTTGCGCACTTCTTGTTTCTAATTCAGTCTTTTGTGTTTCTTGGTTTTGTTTAGGAGGATATTTTGTTTTAATAAAATTTCAACTTTTTTGAGAAGCAAAAAGAGAATGAACTTTGAATGGTTATATTGATTTATTTTGCAAACCTGTATGGTGTCTCATTAGTTTAATTTCATATTATTGCTGATTTCCTGGAGAAATCTTGAAATTCTTTCTTTGGATAGTGATCATGCAAGAATAGTTTTCTGAAGAGAGAAACCATGTTAGTAGTTACATGTTTTTTTTTCTTCGAGTGTCTTCATGTAAAGTTGGTTTTGTACACCATTCTTTTTTTCTAATAATTTTTTTCTTTTATTTTTCTATTTTAACTTACAGACAACAACAAAGAAGAAAATTACTTCTGCATTTTCATTTCCGGCTGAACTTGATATGCGCCATAGATTGTCTGAGCCTTCTCAGTTTGAAATGATATATGACTTGTCAGCTGTACTGATTCACAAAGGAACTGCTGTTAATAGTGGTCATTACATTGCTCATATCAAGGATGAAAACACTGGGCAATGGTGGGAATTTGATGATGAGCATGTTACTAACTTGGGATGTCATCCATTTGGCGAAGGAGCTGCATGTTCAACTTCTAAATCTGTTAAGACAGATGTACTTCATTCTAATTGCTCTGAACCAATGATAGTTGACTGTAATGGAAATGGTTCGGTTGCCACTCATTCACAATTTTTGCCTGTGGAGACATTTTCATCTAGTGATGCATACATGTTGATGTACCATCTCAAGCATAGAAGAAATGTTGGTGAAAAAGGGGGCATGATTTACGATGCTAACCTTGAAGAAAGAGAGGGCATTGCAGGTACTGCACAAGGCAGCACTTGTATTCCTTCTCATCTTTGTGAAGAGATTCAAAATTTCAATACCTCATATCTTGGTGCTTGTGAGCAGTACAATCATCGGAAAAAGTTAGAATTGAGTCGTATCAATGAGAGGAGACAGGAAGTCCGATCTGTTTTAGCTGAAGCTCCTGTTCAACCACTGGAGCAGCCCTTTTTTTGGATTTGTAGTGACTGGCTTCGCCAGTGGGCTGACAACATTATTCCAACGTTAGTGCATACTTTCTATTGTATGTTTGACCACAAACATTTAACGTTTTATTCTGTTTATTTTAATGGTGTGTCCAAATTATTTCATTCTCATTCTTTAGATCAAGTGTTCCTTCTGCCAATTATTGGGGTCTGGTTATTTTGCTTAATTTATAGGTTACTTACTTTTTAATGTTAGTGCAGTGCTCTCGACAACACATCTATCCAATGTTCACATGGGAAAGTCCCAGTGTCAAAGGTTACCTCAATGAAACGATTGTCTTCTAAAACATGGGATAAGTTATTGTCTAAGGTAACTGTATTTTCCTTGGCTGTTATATGTTTGGTACTTGATTCCTTTTTACATTTGTCTCATGTTATGATGCCATTCATTGATTTTGGAGTTCCTTTAAAATCCATATGAAAAAGAATTATAATATAGCTTGGGAAAGCATAAATCGGAAAGTGATTTTTCCATTTCTTTCTATTTTATATATTGTGATGGATCAAACTGCTAGGAGAGATGAACAGAAAATTTATCATAGGGAGAGAAACTGAAAGACTAATATCCTATTAATGAATTAGGTGTATGTTTGGGAAATATCAATTTCTGAAAATAATCACTTATTTTTCAAGAGTTTTCTCAGGAAGCTGGTGAAAATAAGTGACTATTTCTTCAAAATAAGTTGAACCAGGCATACACTTATAGTTACTGAAGATTTGAAGTAGTGGGCTGTTTTTGTCATGAAGCATCAAGCATATAAGTTTAAGCTTCTATTGAGAGATTTTGAAACTGTTGATTTAATTATGGTTTATTCACTTTTATCTCCTCATATTTTGCTGTTGTTGCTAATATTATGTCCATAACATGTTTTATTTATTGACTTGTAAAATTCAGTATGGCGGGGGACCAACATTTTCTCATGATGACTGTTGTTGGGATTGTCTGATTGATGGGGCACAGAATGTTGTGTCGGCTGACACCTATCGGGATCAAAGAGATTCATTGAAGCTACTTGCACGTGATATTCTTGATGGAAACTGTGAAGATGGAAAGTACTATGTGTCTAGACCATGGTATGATTGTAAATCTTTTCTTCTGCCATTTCTGCTCCTTCAGAAAGGGATAAGGGGTAGTGAAGATAAGTGTTCTGTTTTCTATTTTGTTATGAAAGAGTAAAGAGTTTGCCTAGCTTAGTCATAAGAGGATCTATCACCTGTTCTGATCTGTTTTAATTTCTTTGTATTGTCTGCCCTAGGCTGTTAGGATATAGTTCAAAAGTAACAATAGTGAGCCTGTTATGATGATGGGTTTAATTTTGTAGGTTGCAGCAATGGTGGAAAAGAAAAGTTGTTGATGCTCCATCTGAAGCTGATGCTGGACCAACAGCAGCCATTAGTTGTCCACATGGGCAACTTATGCCTGAGCAAGCTGCCGGTGCTAAGCGGGTGCTTGTCCCTGAGGGTTTCTGGCTGTTCATTTACAAAGATGCCATTTCTGTGAAACCTGATGATCTTCTGGGCTGCCCTACCTTTCCTTTAGACTCCAGAGTGTGTTCACAATGCAGTAATGAATTATCTGAAGTGGCTTGCTTGGAGGATTCTTTGAGGTGATTTCTTTTGTTCATTTGCTATCAAAATAGATCTGATATACAAAATTTTGAAAGTGAACTCTGTTTTCATGATGCAGATTAGTAAAACAAAGGCAACGCCAAAATCATGATAAATTATTTGTTGGTAAAAGTATGCAGCTTTCTCTACATTGCAAGTACTTCTTACTTCCTTCTTTGTGGATTTCAAAATGGAGAAATTATGTTAATTTGGCGGTCAAGAATTCAGATAAACCTGAAACTTTAGATGGCATTATTGATTCACTGATGTGTGAAAAGGTACTTTGTTACTTTCACCTTACTTTTTTGTCATGTTAATTGTTATACATCTTGTTTATATGAATGTAGTCTGCTTTTGTCCCAATTTAGATTCTACTAGCCTTTAGTTAAATTTGAGTTGACTTTTTACATATGCAATTTATGAGAATGCTTACACATATATGACATTTCCAATCTGTAAAATTTAACTTGTAGCAATTTCATGATGAATTTTGTTCTTTTTTTTTGGTGTCTTCAGCACTTACGACTTGTTGAAAGGCCTCCTGAACTGATATTCCGACGTGGTGCTATAATCCCAAGAGAATCTTCTGTAAGTTTGAAAAATGAAAAAGAATTTATGCAATTTAGTCATGTGACATGTATGTGTGCTTGCAGTGTTTTGTCATTGTCTCCTTCACAGAAACTAAATTCAGTACTTTTAGTATGCTTCAAATCTTTTTTCTTTAGTAGTAAGTTCCCAATATCAAGTTACTCTCTTTTTCTTCTGCCATTTTTGCATATCAATGTAACTTTAAGTGTGCTTTTTTACTCTATCTCAGTCTTCTATGCACTTTGTGGATTCTAGGTAGGTGGCTTAACCATCATATCTGAGAATGATTGGAAATGTTTCTGTGAAGAATGGGGTGGTATTGAGACCAAAGGGATATCTGCCAGAATTGAGAATAATAATGATTTAGAAAATGCTTTGACTGGATCCTGCCAAGAGATGCCGATATGTGATGATCAATTGGACACTTGGGATAAAGTGAATAATGAAAGTGGGAATGGACAAATTGTGATCAAGACTTGTCCTGAGGTAATATAAAACTCTGCCACATTCTGTTGTGAAATGCTTTTTCAGGTCCTGACCTTGCTTTACTTGCACCTTGGTTTTTCAGTAGTTTGCATTTGGTTCGTGGAATGTTTTTTGTTTCCATTTTTTTTCACTAGTTATTGTAAAAATACCACCTTGCATGCATTTTGTTTTCTACTTTCAAAGATTTACATAGAAAATGATGAAAACAGGTTGCGTTCACAACAGGTATTTTCATTTATTAGAAACTAATACAATATGTTGTTCTCGGTGGATTTATGTTAACATATGTAGTTCGATTGAACTTGAAAGGTGATTTCTTGATTTTTCTAGTGTTCCTAGTAGCTATTTTCAGCACATGCATAGCACAATGCCAGTTGTCTGAAATTCTGTGTTTACTGCATGTTTCTGAATGAAGACAATTATATCTTTAAACAGACGCTTCTGGATGTGTTAACATAAATTGACTGAAAACTAAATTGTGAGTTAATAATTGCGTTGTTCTATGTTATACTGCTGACCCTATGTTGGCTGCTGTCTGAGAAACAATGGAATTAGTAATTGAAAGAATGATCTTTTATTCAAAAACCCTAGTTCCAACCCAGCCTCAATGTGGCAGCTGAATTAGAACTGGAAAGATTATAGAAAGAGACTAGCCTTTGGAGTTGGGAGATTTGAGAGTCCCATGATATCTCCTAGCCACTCAAATACAACTGTGATATCCCTTTTTATCTTTCCCTCTCAATTGAACAAAAATATCTAACTTCCCGCAATGGTTAGTTTTACAGTTGTACAGTTACATGCACTATCAGTGGTTTCTATTCCCTGAACCTCCCTTATTTCTTCTCTCATAGACTGTCACAATAGGAGGTCGACACCTATCACTGTCCACTCCCATATTTTCTCCTACAGAAATTCTTTAACTTGTGTCATTACTAAAACTTTCCTTTCTCTTTATTGGATAATGTATTTAATTTTCATAGGAACTATAATCATCTTCCCTTTCACCCTCTACATATGCAGGTTTGTGAAAGTTGTATCGGAGAAAAGGAAAGCTGTGAGTTAATGCAGAAACTTAACTATTGCAATGAGGACATATGTTTAATTCTTGTCCGTGGAAAGGAGGTCCCTAGATCAATTTTGGAGGCTTCAAAGGGTTTTGTTGAAACAGAAAGGCGGGTTTCTAAACGTTCCCGGAAAACTAAAAATGGGAATTCAATTAGTCTAAAAGTTTCTGCTTCAACATCAATTTACCAGCTGAAAATGATGATATGGGAATCCTTTGGGGTAAGCTGGGTTTTTGTTGCATGCATATCATTAAGTTTAAATGTTGGCTATGGCTGATTAAAATTGGTTGAGGAGTTTCTCAAACCATTTAGCTTTTAAAAATGTTAGAGAGCCAGTTATTTTTTGGCAGAAATGTGTGGCTTGTCCCATACACACACACACACACACACACACACACGGACAAGGATCAATTTACTCAAGGAACAAGTTATTTTGCTTAATAACTCATTATAATCATTAAATTTTATCAATCTAACCATTGAATAGTATGATATGTTCATGTTGATCATGCATATCAAGTTTTAGATAAGTAAAGCATTTGTAGATGTGTAATTTTATTTAAGAATAACTCTTAACCAGAGTTACTATGTTTAATAACTTTTTATAATCATTGAATTTTAGATTACTTCATTTAATAACTCTAAAATATTAAGAGTCATTCTAATAGCTGAATAATCTGATATTAACATGTTAATGCACACTAAGTTTTAGATAAACTAGATGGTCATTAACATGTAATTTTAATTCAATATTAATTATATTCTAGAAAGGTATACTATATGATTAAATAAAGTTACTCGGCGAAGTGTCAAATAATTTTTGATTTGTATGAATTTTAATAGCCTTGAGTGTGTGTGTGTGTGTGTGTGTGAGTTCAACCATAAAATTACATATTTACAAATTTCTGATTTATCCAAAATTTGGTATGTATGATTAATTTGTTAATATCACATTATTCAATAGTTAGATTTGTTAAATTTATATTTTATAGAGTTATTTAGTAGATTAACTTGGACAAAAAGTATTTGTGAAGAAGTAACTTGATCTCCACCCATATATGTGTGTGTGTGTGTGGAGCTTATATAGGTAGAATGCTTAGAAGAGTTATAAAAACTGTTCTTGGGCCCTTAATTGCTAAATATTTAAGGCTCTTAGGCATGACATCAAAGGATCTTGTATAATTGAAGTTCCAGTACAGTGTAGTATCAAGTATCAAAAATGGAAGGTGAAACTTCAGCATTTTTGGATTTTAATGTCTCTGAACTAGTTTGTTTGTGTACGAGCATTTCATATCAAGGTGAACCGAAACTGACTGATATGGATTACACATAAATTGGGGTTGATGGCTTGCTAAACTGAAAATAAAGTGGGATGGAAGAAATATAATTTAGTTGCTTTGTGAGAGTCACTTTCAACTCACTTTCACGCTATAAATCTACTTTCAGCTATCCTACTGCTTGTTGTACGAAGCTACTTTCAGCTTCCCCATTTTTCCACCTGAAATAGAAGCACCCGACTTAAATAATTAACATCAGTAGGCTTGAATTTAAATGGGTAAGTATTTTGGTTGACGTGTGTGAGAGCATACAAGTAGGTTACGCAAATGAAATGTTATTTATGGAGATGATTGTATAACTTTTTCACTTTTATCGCAAGATTGTATCCCCCGTACTGCTTTTGTTGGATTATTTTGTATATTGCTGCTATCTACGTAATGCTTCGTTTTGTATAATTTTCTTTTCTTACATCTGGTAATTTTCCTCTCAGGTTGTCAAGGAAAACCAGATACTACAAAAGGGTGATAAAACAATTGATAATAAAACAATTGATATTGGTGACGAATATGCTACGCTTGCGGATGTAAACATATTTGCTGGAGATCAGATTATAGTGAGGGACTCTGAGATCCATGAAAATAGAGATATTGCGGGTAAGCTATTTGATACTGGTACTTGATTATCTATTTGATATATACAGAAATGGTTATGTTCGTTTTTGGCAGATGAGCTTTGTGACGAGCAAATGGATACTCAGCATACCGAGGCAGGGTTTCGTGGAACACTTTTAACATCAAATGTTTCATCTCAGGTGGTTTAGGAAGTGCACTTGCAGTGGTGTCATCTTTTTTAACATTTATTGGTGTATATATAAATTCTAAAGAGAAAAAAAAAATCAATTGAGTGAAAAAAAGGAAGAGTTTGGTGCGATTCAACCATGTAAATTCATGTGTCTGGACCTTAAATAGCTTTGAGCGCTATCTAGGTCCTAAAGCCAAGATAATGGCAAATTTTGGAGTGAATTTGTTTTTGCTTTTGTTTGTGTGTGAGAGAGCAAGTGCTCAAGGTTGAGCTGGGTACCTCATTTAAAAGTGATGGAAAGCCACTTGCACTTGCTAAGGGATTTCGAGCAGTGGAAATCAAATTTATCCATTACAAGCATAATGTATCAATCCTTACTGGTTAATTCAGTATCAGTTGGCATGAATTTATTTCCTGACTAGTTATGTTCCATCAATAAATAAATAATGTAATTATTATTATAAAAAGGTTGAGGGTAAGATCTCAATAAATATTGTTGGACCATTTCTTCAACACTATAGTGAGTAGTAATTTCAATAGGTTAGCTTATAGCTTATTTGATTACTTTATTAGTTTGTCTAAATAAAAATGTTAGGTGAATAAATTTACCTTACTGTTTTCTTTTTTCAGAATTTCAATAGTTTATTATTTCTATTTTTATCCATATTGCTTTAATAAATCTTTTATTTATTGCCTCCTTCATTATTATATTTTTTATTTTAATAAGATTTCTTTTAATATTATACTATTAATACTATATTTACATTATTTATATTTAATTTTAAATGAAATATTTGATGTTTAAATAAACAGTAATAAATGTTCAAAATCAACTTTAGAGCACCTAAAACTATAATTACATGAAAAATATTTGTCTACATATAAAAATTATAACATTTTTCAGTTGAGAATTAAATTTTCAGATATTTTTTCATTAACTAAATTATCAGTAATTTTTACCATATGTAATTTAAATTGTTATAATTACTGTTACATATATTATGAATAAAGCACTGTTTAATGGTACAAAAATATTTAGTATGAAAAAGTGGCCAAAGAAAGTACACTTGTTTTATTGGTTAAGCAACAATTTAAAAGGCAAATAAAACGAAAGTAATTAGCTAAAATTATGTCACGTTATTTTACTCCTTTTCTCTATTTCTTTTTGTATTATTTGACATTTTCCTTATGAATAACGCCAGTCTATGAATTATTATTATTATTATTTGGTTCAAATTCTTTTTGTCCTTATAATTTATCTAAATTTTGGTTTGATTTCTATACTTTAGAAGTTAAAATTTTATTCCTTATAGTTTTATAAGTTTTAGGTTTTGGCCTTCATAGTTTTATTTTGTTTTGGATTTAGTTACTATAATTTTATTTTATTTAAGTTTTGGTCCTTCCAATATGCTAAACTTTCTTAATAGGGTGCATTTGTTTTAAGTTTCAGAAAAAGCACTTTAATGATATATAAGCATTTAGCTAATGGATTGATTTGAATAATTTTAAAAAATCACAATGTAAATATAAATACAGGTGTTGCTCTTGTTGCTAACATGGATATATGTTACTAAAACTTTGTTATGTCCTGTTTATCAGTGGCTTTTTATTTCCATTTATATTTAGAAATTGGTATTGTCTTTCCAAACTCTTTCCCTGTCTCTTCAACTAAATTCTTAATCTTGTGAAAGTACTTTCTGACATGTTCGCTTCGTAGAGAATCAATTAAAATAAGAGGAGCAATGACAGCTACAAGAACAAAAGTAGATAATTAAAACAAGAGGACAGAAGGAGGACATGGGGTATGCTATGATTTCCTAATTTTGTATTTTTTTTTTCACGAACCCCTTTATATATTAAGGCTTTGTGAAGTTTTTAGAGTCTAAAGCTTTGGCAATATTTTAATTTTTTTAAATGAGTCTCATAAAATTTTCTTTTCTCACATGATCTCTATAATTTTTATTTTTCATTTAATTCTTCTAAAATCAAAATACCATTTTTTTTATTTGGTCCCTCGAATATTTAGAGGGATTATTCGGTAATAAAAATATTTTAAAGAATAATTAATTTTAAAAGGTTAAATAAGAAAATAATGATTTTTTAGAATAAAAACTAAGGCTATATTCAATTTGTAGTTTTCATAAAATGAATTAAAATATTTATAATCCGTTTAATTGGCAGAAAATTGTGTAAAAAATATATAACTATACTATTGTACAAGATATATTGATACAAAGCAAAAGGAATTTTTTTTTAAAAAAAAGTTGAAAAAAAATGTAGTGAAAGGTCTCTTCATATTATGTTGATTTGTCATTATTTTTATTTGATTTTATGATATAAAGTTGGGCCACCATCTTATTTAAACAAACGCAATTAGAGAATGATATGATTCTAAGTGAAGGTCCATTAACAGGATAAAGGCTTAAGAGAATCCAAGAGACAAAAACCCTAAACATTTTTTCTCAACTTAAACAGGAATAATACTGCATTTCTTGGAGCCTCCCTTTGTGGGAATCCCACCCTCTTATGTCGGATTTTTTTTTGTCTTTTCATTTCTCTATCTCTTCTTTTATCAATTGTCTTCCCTCCATCCTTCTTTTACTACATGTGGCTCCTCTCTTTCCTGCATTCAAATTATTGTAACCACCTTTAGACTTATGCTAATCCAAAAGGAGAAAAAAAGAAGAAAAAATAAATAAATCTATTGGAGCTATCTTCATGTTAGGCTAATCCAGAGGGAAGACAAAAAAGAAAAGATAAGTTTGTTTCTTAGGTTTGTTGCATTGCAAAGTGGGAAATTAATTTTTAATGTTATTGTATTTGGTAGTTGGAGAATTGTCATGTTGTGTTTGGTATTGAATATGCATACTTGATCTTTTACTGTATATTCATTATGCATTGTTATAATGCTCTTGATATTCAACATCCTTTTATTGTAAGTCTTGTTAGTCTCTCTTAATCTTTTATGAATATTTGACAAGAGAGAGAGAGAGAGAGAGAGAGAGAGAGAGAGATTACAAGAGACAATTAGGGTCCAAGGGTGTATACAACTATGACTCCAAGAGAGTAAAGTCTAAAGCAAGGAGATAAGTAAAGTTATATGGATCTATTTATTCCAAGTCTAAAAAAACGAAAGTCCAACATAAAGTATAATATAAATATTTTTAAATTTTAAGAGTTTTTTTAAATATAAATTCTAAGTTAGAATTTATTATTTTATAACTCTAATCTATTATTTAGTTGGAGGAAATTTTTTTATAACTTTTTGTTTAGTTTAATATTTTAGATGGAAAATAAAGGAGATCTCTAGCGAGAGTAAAAATCTCTCTTCATTCAACTATAGCACCCCTCTAAAAGTGAAGAATTTAAAAAGAAAGACAATTCTTAAATCAATAAAATAAAATTATTTTAAATTTAATATGTATATTTAAACCTTCTAATTATATAATAGTTAATTCATTTAATTTACCACTTCTTCCTTTTTCTTGTTAACCAAATAAAGTATCTGTCTTTTCATTAAAATTTCTCCCCTTTCCTTTCCTTTCATTAAAAGTTGTTATGATCGCTAGTGAGAGTTAACTCCGTTGCGAAAGATTTCATAACAAATAAACCCTTTAATTAACCATTTGTGTTTTAATATTGTGTGAATTAATTAACTTGTTTTCATAATTGTTGTTCTAAATTTGGAGTATGACGCTCACATCATTCTTTTCTTTTATTTACGATTATTTTTAATAATCTATACCATAAAGATTGGGCCACGCTATATGATTTCTTATCACCTTATTCCTAATAAGAAATTAACTTCAATAATAGAACATAATAATCATAGAGTTTATTATTTTCCTTCATTATTCAAGTTAGACTAGCACATCAACTATCAAGTCTTTGCTTTAACACAAATATAGTAAATTAGATATAAACCGGGCTAGAAAGCTAAACAAAAATTAAACAAAAGAAATATCAAATAGAAAAATAAAACACTAAAAGGAGGAATTTTTATTCCTTTATCATTTTCTTAGACAGAAAAACAAAGCTTTTAAAAATTGGAAGAAAATGTAATTCATTTATCACTGTACTACATTAGAATGTCCCTCTTGTTTGCATCACTTGCAGGGAAATATTAAATTATGTTCATAGTTCTACCAAAAAATATATAAATATAAAATAAAATATCTAAATCCAGCGTTTATGATTTTTTGAGTGGTGGGCACCTCCGAACCATCGATCCCAACCAGCATCGACCGAACCTTTAGTGCTGCAAACACATTACATGTCATCAATTCATCTCTTTTCTTTTTTCATGTTTGCTTTGGTTAAGAATATAATATATGCTTTCTTTATTACATTAAAAAACACGCACAACACAACATTGGATCCTTAAATGTAATGTCATGAGCATCAAGATGATTTCTTACTGTGGAAGGAGAGGATCTGGAATGGATTCAACGCTTGAAATTACACTGCAAGAGCACAATGGATGGAGCATAATTAGATGAACAAATATACACTGTTGTCAGTGATACATAGAAGAGCCATAAGAAAGAATTAAAAGGAACAAAAAAATATAAAACTGTCTTATTTTGCTTTGCTTACTCCTTGCACAGGATGGAGGATTCACCAATTGAGTCAAGTTTTTCCAATTCTTCCTGTATCATCATCAAATTCATATGATTCAATTGAAATAAGAGAAGATGAAGAAGAATTTTATGCAAATTTAACAAAATAAAGTGGTCACAAAATTGATATACAAATAAGAGATGAGGGATCAAGGTAGCTAAGCGTTGACCTGCAAAATTGTAATTTGGTTATTGAGGTGGGTTATGGCTGCCTGCAATCTATGCTTCCCAATGAAGCCAGGAAAAGAGCCAGTTCCAGCTTGAGCAATTGGATCATGACCCTTTTCTCCCACTGATTCTCTTCCATTTTCTGTTGATGATTGTTGCCCATCCATGGCCATTACACAACTTAGTTGTCAAAGAAAGCTAATTATACAAATAAAAGTTCCAAACCCATATGAGAATTGAAAAGAAGAAAAAGGCTAAGGGTCAAAAAAGGAGGGAGGAACATGACTTAAAAGCATGGGGTGGACCAAAGGATTAAATAACCAAATGATAGGCACAAGCAAGGGGAGGGGACCAAGTGGGAGTGGGAATTTTCATTATAGATCATTTGTGAATTGTGGGAATTAGGTCTGTTTATTTATTAGGAAAATTTTAATATTGGATCAGTGTGTCAAAAAATAATCATATATTTTTTGTTCATATTTATTCTTCATTGTTCAACATTAATTTTAAAAACTGATGTTAATTACAGAATTTATTAAATTTTGTTTACTTAATAATATACAATATCTTTGCACTGTTAGAATATTTCGATTAAATTGGGATAAAAATTGCCTTGCTCAATAATGGAAGATAACAATCTGTTAAAATTATGTCAGTGGAGACCCATTTATGAATAACGTGTTGGGTTTTTTAAAGTAACTTTGTTGAATGAGAATTAATATAAAATACTTATTCAAGTCTATTATAATACTTAATTTATTAGTCAAATTTACATATATCTAAACAATTTTGTATCTGTGTGAGATTGGGACGGTGGACAGCACTGCAGATAACAGGGCATGTGAAAAGTAGAAATGATCACACACAATGGGGAGTGGTGGCTCCTTATTTGTTTCGCCAACTCAATTAATTTTTCAGCTTCAAATGATAAAAATTTAATAAAATTATAATAATTGTAAAATAATATTATATATAAACAAAAATATTTATAAAAATTTTATATATATCTATAAAATCTTTGCTCCTTACCCTTGAGTCGTTAAGTTTTGGATATGTTACAGTGCTGAGTTTAGGTCTGGAAGAAGGTGGGGAGAAGAAGATTGTTCTGAAATCACAGAAGCGACAATGCTTTCGAAGATATCATCATCCCTATTTTCACCCAAACTCAAACTCAAACTCAAACTCAAACCCAAACCCTTTTATTCTTTTATTCTTTCTCGTTCAGCAGCCACTCTCACTGTCAGAAACAGTAAGGAAAAGGCAAAAGCAGCGTTGGCAAAGGAGAAGCGAAGGACTCGTTCGACCAAAGAATTCAACAAAGACGCAATAATTGAACAGTGTTTGATTGGAGAATCACACACTCATCATATTCCCGTGATGCTGGCTGAAGTGTTGGACGTCTTCTCCAACACTCGCTTAACCTCCTTCGTCGATTGCACTCTCGGAGCCGCCGGTCACTCCGCTGCGCTCCTTAGGGCCCATCCCGAGTTGACCCATTTTGTTGGGCTCGACGTGGACCCTCTGGCCCATCACATGGCCCAATCTCGCCTCCATGCCGCTTCCGATAGTTCTGTCAATGTGTTCACTGTGTTAAGGAATTTTAGACACATAAAGGGTGTTCTTAGAGAGACTGGTTCCCAACAACTCTTGGGTGTTGATGGCATCTTGATGGACTTGGGAATGTCCTCTATGCAGGTCATTTTATATTATTACTGTGTTTCAATACCCAGCTTAATTGAGCAGTTATAAGTTATAGAGTTTAGTTTGATCAAGTGTTGATGGAGTGAAGTATTTTCTTTGTTATATTTTTGTTGTTTCAGGTGGACAATCCCCAGAGAGGATTCAGTGTGCTTGCTGATGGACCCCTTGATATGCGCATGGATCCTCAGGTATTGTTTCTGGCATTTTGGAATCAATAGATATGGTGGTAAGTGGTAACAAATGATTGTTTTTGGATTACATGAAATTTTGTCGCTCTTCTACTCGCGGGAGTGAAAGGTGCAAGGATGGCATCATATAAATGTTGTACTGTGATTTTCTTTACTTAATTAGGATGGTTCAATTCGAGACATATACTGCCATTTCTAAACGGTTTGTGCTTGTCTAAAGGGAGGGATGCATTTAGAGGGGAAGTGTGGAGTTATAACCATTGGTTTTCCAATCAATGGCTGAGATTGTAACAAAATGCATGCACGTATGTACAAAGCATGGAGTTGTTAAAATTCTTTCTGTTGTTTTTCTAAAAGTCTATCTTTTCCTCTCTTAAGAAGCACATCTCTCTTTAGAGGAGTCAAATTTATTTTATAAAATACCTTACGTAGATATATGGCCTGACTTGTGCTTCTGTCTGAACAATGCTGGAAACTACTTTGATGGTTTTCTTTAATCTTTCTTGTTAACAAAATGTGCCTATTTCCTCTTTTACCACTCTAGAATACTTTTGGTGTTTTTGGTAATTAAGGTAAACGAGTTTCTTGTGTAATGATATCCTGTTGCCTGCTTGCTGCAGAGTAATACATAATTTTTCTTTCCTATTGAACTGATGGACAGGCCTCTGACAGGCAAGTCTTAAAGCAGAAGACATATTAAATTCTTGGCCAGATTCTGAAGTGGGCCGTATCCTATGGGAGTATGGAGAAGAAAGTAATTGGCGTACTCTGCAAAAGAAAATTGTCGAAGCCAGATTACGCGGTGGATTGCATTCCACTACTGACTTGCTAGATCTTATTCAGCGTGTGACTCCTGCAATAAAAGGTATCTCATCTCTTCTTCAGTTTTGCTTGCAGTTCTGTTTTTCTTGGACTATAAGCATCATTTTGTTTTATCAACACGAGCAAAGAAGGCTACTAGTAGCACCAGAGAAAAGTAAATAACATAACTTTTAATCCAATGAAAGAGGGTAGAGGGAGACCTAGTAAAACTCTAGAGGAAATTTTTAAAAGAGATCTTGCAGTTAATAATATATTGAAGAACTTGGTTTTTAACCAAGCTTAATTGCATTATGTTATCCATGTTGTTGAATTCACCTGCTGAGATAAGGCTACGTTGTTGTATATGCATAATTTCTCATGCATGTCAATAGATTACCCACGTTCCTGTTATTTTTCCTACATTGCCATTCCTGATCTTCATTCTTGCTGCCAGCATTCTAAAAGGATTTATAACGTGTTTGCACTCAATTTTTTACAAAAAAATTCATGAATGTGTGAACTGTAATTGTTCACATGCAAATTTGTTTACATTGTAATAGGTGGAAGGCAGGGTTGGATAAAGACAGCAACCAGGGTGTTTCAAGCTCTGAGAATCGCTGTTAATGATGAACTGAAGACTCTTGAGGATTCCCTATATTCTTGTTTTGACTGCCTTGCACCTGGGGGTAGGCTTGCTGTCATATCTTTTCATAGTTTAGAGGACAGAATTGTGAAGCAGACATTTCTTGATATAATTAAAGGGAGTGAAGATGTGGAAGAAGGTGAGAGCATCAACCATGACTTGAGAAAGACTATTGAGGAAGTCAAAGCAAAAGAAGCATGGATAAGACAAGTAATATGTGGATCAAATGGAACAATTCTCACAAAAAGACCAATCACGCCATCAGGAGAAGAAGAAAAATTGAACCGCCGAAGTAGAAGTGCAAAGCTCAGGGTTATTCAAAAGCATTGAAGATGAAATATGACAAATTGTTGTCTGGGGTATAGCCCTTAGAAATCGCTGTATTCATAAACTTGTCTGTACTTGACTGTCCTGCATATTCATCTTTAGGATAAAAAAAAGAAACATTCACTTTTCATTGACTTTTACATGCGCTGGCAAATTACTGAGTTTTTTAAAGTCTTTAATTGAATTACACGGATTAATAAAAATAATTAAAGTTAATTATTTTTTTAAAAATATTACATTTTAATTTTGTTCTTATTTAATATCATCATACTTAATCTCAATATTAATATTTTAAATTTGAAAATATGTTTCTTCCCTTACTAGTTTCAATTCACGGTTTTTACCAATTTTATTTATTAAGGATAAATGAAAAATAACTAAATGTTTCATAAAAATTGTAAGATAGTTAAAAACTACCAAAACAGTTTTTATGGTGTCCTGTAAAAAGAATAAAAAATTATATCTATTTTTAACATTGATTTTACCTAATTTTTATTTGAAGATTTGAACTTTGGAAATCTATCTGCTTAAATTCTAAACATCCAGCAATTTATATGTACATATTTCTTGAAGCTTTGATTATAATTATATCATAAGTGTCATATGAGTTCACTGAATGCTATGAAGTGTTTGGTTTGACAGTAAAAAGGAAAAAGAAATGCGTTTGAGATTAGCACTGTAAAGATAGAATGAAAAAAATAATTGTTAAATGTTCTAATTTTTAGTTCAACGGATGATTTATTAAAAGTAATTTACTGAAAACTTTGAAAGTTTGAGCTGGATGGTTTATAACTTTAATTTTAATCATAACAGAATTTAGGAGATAAAATTAATTGTCAAAAAAGCATGGTTATTGTGAAGGGTCAACTATGAATTCTCACAAGAAAAACAAATAAATATATAAAAGAAAACAATTATAATATGTTGCAATTTAAAAAGATTCAATATTTTATTAATATGATTAGGCTACTCAATCTATTATTTAAAAGGAACTGAAAATCTACCTTATAACTGAATAAACAAAGTGTGCATGTGTATTTATCATAGGCAAGGTTTACACATTATCACCACAAAACATTCACCTATGGAGACATTTGATCTAATTTTGTTGTTACTCGGATGTAAACATACACTCATTGAATTACCTTTGCCAGTACACCCTCTCTCTCCATTACCAATTTCATACATACAAGCACTTCAATAATCCTTTATTAATTTATTGGGCTATCAGATAAAATAATAATAAAATTTTAACTAGTTGTTTGTTTCAAAAATTATATTTTTATTTATTCTATGATTTTAAAGTCTTTTATAATATATTTTTTTTATCAAATATTTTTCCTGTGATTTTTGTGTTCTATTTGGTCTCTCTAAATATTATGAACATTTTCATTTAATATTTTTAACTATCACAAAATTTCCATTTAGTCTTCATAAATATCATAAAATTTTCATTGGATTATCCTGAAATAAGGGTCTAAATAGAAAAGTGGTGATATTTGAATAGACTAACTAAAAAAAACCTTTTACAACACAAAAATAATTTATAAAAGGCTCGTTAAAAAAATTAAATAAAAAATAATAAATATCTCAAAGACTAAAACCTTAATTATAATTATTATTCACAAAAAAATTATAATTAATAATAATGAAAGAAAAGTAAAGTTGTATTAAAAATTATTTCTTACAAATAAATAAGCGAAGTACTCTCTGATTGCATAATAGGAAGTGGTTAATTATTTAAATGAATTTAAGATCAATTTTTAAATGTTATTAAACATTAAAAAAAATTAAATCATGTCTGAGCCATACAAATAGCAACACTACTTTTGCAGTTGCGTTGAAGGAAGCGCACTTCCGTTAGAGAGTTGTGAGTGACAGTGGCATTTTCCCAATTCCTAACTAATCTGTAATAAACTTAATTTCCTTCCTCAAACACTCCAGAGATTAATGGGTGATTATACCAACCTTCTTTCTTCAACTAATCTGTAATTAACTATATTTTCATTTCTTTGTTTTTGCTAAATTCTCGTTTCCATTTACCGTTGGTGTCTTCATTTTGCAGCAAAAGCAATCCTTTTAAGTAACAGATGGTACGGACATGAACAACACTGGGCCACACTTTCATCCTTTACCATGCAAAAATTTAGTCATGGGTTAGTGTATTTTAAGTGTTGATAATTTGTGTGCTTGTGGATATTACATATACATCTTTTTTATATATTCTGTCTCTGAGTCTTGTTATCCATAAATCGTATTAGCCCCAACTTCTCCGAGTTGAATTGGGTTAACTCACTTGGAGGATAAGTTTGAATTTTTAGGAAGAAAATTGACATCAAGGTGAACGGACTAAGAATAACTTGCTTGAATTCCAACGAAAAGAAAGCCAATTTGTTTGCTGCAAAGAAGGAGAGAATTAAGCTGCCAACATATAGGAATGGTCTTGGAGGCAAGAAATATCACATCAGTGAATTTTTGAGCCACCCTAGTGGAATTGCAGCAGTGTTGAACACAAAGGCGTTGCAATCATTTCAATCTATTGATGCGAACACATACAGGTCTATCTCCTCCTTAATTCTGTTTTGATGCCTTCAGGAGTTCTTTCAGTGGTTTAGATAATGCAAATATAGTTACTTATCTAGAGATTGTGCCATAAAATGGTTCAGCTGATGGACTCAGTTGTACCATATTCAAAAGAGGTTGAAAATACTACTCTTTATATTTGCAATGCATGTGTCTTGAACTCTTCATTTTTAGACGACAAATACTTCTTTTTCTGAATACTTTATGAACTCTGGCAAATATCTATTGCACTTGGTTTGTAGCAGAAGTATGACTCTGAATTTTGGAATCAAATAATTGTTCTTGTATGTGTAGGTGTGAACTGCCTAAACTTCAATTTTTAAACTTTGAAGCTGCCCCATTGTTGGATCTGCGGGTTATCTCAACAGATAAAGATTGCTTGGTTGAGATGCTTTCTTGTCAGGTGCCCCCCCGCCCCCCCCTCAAAAAGAAAAAAGAAAAAAAAACCAAAATAACAAAAATGTTCGGTTCATGATGTAACAGCTTTATTTTTGAGTGACAGAACCACTAAAAACACATTCACTATATAGTATTGTATATATATATACCGTTGACCTTGCACTATAGAATGTTTGATAGGAACTGATATTAATACTGCAATAGGATATAACTGGGGATCTCCTTCACTTGGTAAAGTACTGCTCAATAAACAGAATTACAACTGAATATAAAAACTGCTGCAATAAGAGATAACAATCAGAGCTGATACATAGACTCTGCCCTCACCCTGGCCTAAGCCACCAATTCCCTCCTAAAATTCTGTCATGCCAGTCCACTTTTTTCCCTCTCCTTTTTCACATTTCCTTCTCTTTCTCTCTCTCTCTCTCTCTCTCCTCTCCAATACATTGCGGTTACATATACATTGTGTTACCCTCTCCCCATTACTGTTCCTCCATACATCTAACTGCATTTTCATTGCTCCTCGCAACTCTCATAACTCGTTCACTCTCGTTTTCCTCCCCTTATCTTGAACATGTGCCAAAGGCCCATCAATGTTCCACACCAGATTAATAAGCATTCATTGTGCATGTTATGTTTATAAATTTTACATTAAAATTACACCTAGTTGTTCAAAGTTTCACAAAATTTGTTGAATAAAGTCAATATATTAATCAAGGGTAATTCAACATATAATATTTTAGTATTTATCAGATAATGCATGACAGTTTTTACACTGGTGTTCACTGATCCTGTGTGAGATATATACGCGCATATATATATATATACATAGGAGTAAAATTTATTACATTCTAAGTTTTCACGTGTCTTTGAAAATATTTGAGTTAATAATATGCCTAAAACATGCATGTTCATTAATGCACTAAGATTCAATAAATCTAATATAAACCTCAGTTTGATTGAACATGATTCTTTGCAACATTCATTTAGTCACTCATCCCATTTAATTGTTGGATGCTTTACTGTATTATTCACAGTTTGAGGGCTCAGAAGTTGTGAAAGAGCAAAACAATCACTTTTCAGGTATCTGTAATGTATCATGTGCATAGTATAGGATCCCAGTCATTCCTTGTTTATGGGATATAAATTCTTCCATTTTTTAAGTTGAATTATTAACAGGATAAACTTAGGTGCAATTCCTTAGGTGTTTGTTAATTAATCAAAATTAAAATTTTACCTCGATAATCTGCAATAACATTAAATGCAAACCTTTTATTAAAGTAACTCTAAATTTAATTAGTAAACGGACTCTAACAACACTTAATGAACAACACATAAGTTTTGTATCCTTATAAAAATGTTTATTTGCTATCAAAAGCCCTGTACAAAGGAACTGATTTGTCTTCCCTTAAGTGTTTGGTGTAGCCTATTGAAAAGATCTGGGAAAATGGTTCCACTCCTTGTGGTTTCCCCCACATCCCTCAGGTGCTCCTGAAAATAATGTAAAGGACTTAAAATCAGTGCAAAGAGAGAAAATTATGAAAACGTGATTAGACTTCATCATTGACCAAATGCCAAACCAGTTAGTTGGCTTATTGATGAAAACACAACTGATTTTTATACTCTTTTCTTAATTAATGGAGACTTAAAATGGAAATTTCTCTAGATATCATGAGAAATTTAATAGAGAACCTTCAAAATTATCTTTCAATACCTAGTCTTTCAACAGAATTTTTTGCTGAATTCAATTTTATCTGCCATACATGTTTCATGTGACGTTTTTTGTTCTTCTTTCAGTGATTTTTAAGAGTTTTCACAGTAATGTTTGTTTATAATTTCTGGATTTGCAGCATTCATGATAAACCACATGACATGGGGTGGTGCTGGTGCTGAATCATTTTTAGAAGTTAATGTTAAGTTGAATCTCACACTTGAGGTTGGTCTTATCTTCATAAATTATATAAATATTACATACACTGTTACATCAATATTTGTTCTTTCTTGGGATAGAGGAATGCTGGAATGGTAATCCGGTATGTTATGATGATTTAAATTGTTTTCAAGGACCATGATGGCATGAACTGCCTTACTTGGGTCACCTTCACGTAAATTACATTGCAGTGAAAGTGCAATTTTCCAGTTCGTTTCTTTTCTAAGAAACTGATGAGTTAAGTTGACCTATTCCTTCTTAATCCTTACTAATTCATATCCTGTAGCCGTATGTTCATATGTTAAAAGGTTAGTGGTTTTGAATCAAGATTACTAGCTATTAGCCTATTACTATATTAACTGTATTTCAGTATGATATTGCTGAATTTTGCATTTTCCTTACATGTTTAAAAAAAATATCACTTTCTGCAGATTTACACACATCCATTTACGATGATGCCTATTTCAGCTGTTGAGGGTCCTGGAAACATGTGAGTGATTGAGTAAATAATTTCAGTTTTATCTTTTTAGTGTTATGTACCGCATTGTGAAATTCTCTGATGATAAATTATTACATATAGTATTGCATGTAGATTCTCAATTTAACACTGTCCACTATCGTTGGTTATAGATGTTGTGCCTAATTGTTGTTATTATAGTCTTTCACTAAGATCTCTGTACTTCATGGGAAAGAGGAAGATGCACAAGAGCCACTACTTAGAAATTTAAAGATTCAAAAACACTGGAAGATAATGTAAATATGAGTCAGGACACTAATATATTGCAGTTATCTATGGAGTTTATTGTGGACTAAATTTAGGACAAAAATCTGCTAGGTTGAGGTTTCGAATGAAAAACTGCAGCCCTCTTGAAGAAACCTTTTCAATAATTTGGATTTTGAATGAGAAACTCAGAATTGAGGTTTAGTAGACAAAAGAACTTCAAAATCTTAAGGGAATGTGGTGATTTTTCTTCCTTTCAACGTTCTATGGCTTTGACATATACTTTATTTATGTTTGTGTAAAATCATATTAATAAGTTGTTTATTCAAGTGCTCTTTGAATATGAAAAGCAAGCAGGCAGCTCTAGGAAGTTTTTTTTTTTTTTTTCTCAAAGTATGTCTTACTCTTGTGGAAAACTGAATAACTTCTTCCCATTTGATTAGGAAGATTAATCTCTAGTGCCTAATTGCAGAATGATGCAAGCTTTGGTAGACAAACTCGTGCCACTGCTACTTCAGCAGATGCTACAAGATTATGATGAATGGGTTCAAATGCAATCAGACTCCCTAAATCAGGATTCTCGGTACGGAAAAGTTACTTCAAAATTTTTGGGTTGAGACAACAGAAAGGGAGGGAAGACAATTGATGTTTAGGGAAATGGATAGATAGAAAAATGAACGGTGAGAATTTGATTTCTACGAGATGCATGTTAAAAACATCCATGTAAACATTACTGTTTTAGTTAATATCAATTGACATTCACTTTTATTTTTTCTAACGTTGTCACCATATAACTATTTTTTAATATTACCTTCATCCGTATTTATGTTTCAAAAAATATATTTCTGTTCATCCATTCTATAAAATTTTAAGACAATGTTATAAAAACATTTATATTATTGAATAGCAATCAAAAGAAAATTCATGAATAAAAGATAAATTAGAAAATTTATCAATTAGTTTCAACAAAATAACTAAATTCCTTCGTTTGTATGTCCCCAAAAAAAATCTTTCATTTGTATAATTTATTCTCTTCCAAAATAAAAATGAAGGTAACCCAGTTAGGTGTTCGAATACTGATCAGTTCTTGCAAACCAGGTAGAAACAACTAAAGCCCATGGCGAGATATAGTTACCAGTTATCTAAGTCATTATTTAGTTTAAGCTTCAATTATAGGGATTGTAACCAAAAGAATTATACGAATCAACATTCCACCGCCATCCTATTATGGAGGCCTTGGCTTCACATCTCCTCCGTTGCCAGAGAAAAGTATTTTGTCTTTCATACAAATAGTCCCACTGTTCCACTCTAGCAAACATACGAAGTACATAAACACGCATGAAGAAGCTTTAAAACAGAGTACATACTTCAGAACGTATAAGAACTGACACTCACGTCTAATACAAAAATAAAGCAGTAAAACAAGAATTATCATTGCCCGGATCATAGTTCATGAGTCACTTTCATGCCTCTCACTTGAACAGAGAAACTTAGTATTTGGCTCTCTTGGAGTACTCTCCATGGCTATCTCTCTCATAACCTTTGTTTCGGGGCTCTTCCTCTTCCTTTCTGTGCTTTCTTTCTCCGCGATCATCATCATCCCTTCTATGCCGCTTTCTTTCATCATGACCATCATCATCCCTTCTGCGCTGCTTTCTTTCTCCACGACCATCCTCATCCCTTCTGTGTTTTCTTTCTCCACGACCATCCTCATCCCTTGAGTGCTTACTTTCTCTACGATCATCCTCAACCCTTAAGATTTTTCTCTCTCCACGGCCATCCTCATCCCTTAAGTTCTTTCTCTCTCCGTGACTATTTTCATCCCTTAAGTTTTTTCTTTCTCCACGACCATCATCTTCTCTTCTGTGTTTTGCTTCCCTATGATCACCCTCAACCCTTAAATGCTTTACTTCTCCACCATCATCCTCTTCCCTTCTGAACTTTCTTCCTGTGCGACCATCTTCATCCCTTCTGAACTTTCTTTCTCTATAATCATCCTCATCTCTAGTTTGCTTTCTTCCCATTTGATAATCTTCATCCCTTCCCCACTTTCTCTCTCCACGGCCATCCTCATCCCTTCCACGCTTTCTTTCTCCATGGTCAACACCCTTATCCCTTCTATGCTCATGCTCCCTATGATCATCATCATCTCTTCTGTGCCTTCTTGCTTCACGGTCCTCACCATAGCGAGCAGTTCGATCAACAAAATGAGATTCAACAACATCCTTATTATAAGTTCTGCCTCTCTGCTCAGAAGTATCATCATCACGTCCTGCAAGCCTAGCTGATCTGGAATAGCCATCTCTTTCTTTATCATCATTTCGGTTCATTCTAGATTTAGATTCAGACTCAGTTTTACTAAACTTTCTATCATCTCCATCACGCTTAGCCAATGTGAAAGGCTCCCTATCTCTGTCCCCATCAATTTTCCTGTTAACTTGTGTCATTTCTCGACTTCTACTATTTGATCCCTCTGTAAAATCTCTCCCATATGATTTTCTTAGAGAGTCCAATCCATCAACATTAGCACTATTCTTCCCTTTTTCTGCACCACTAACTCTTGTTTCATCTCTGAAATTTTTTTCTTCCATGCCTTTCTTAGTTACAACAGACCCACTTTTTCTTGTACTTTCATATCTGTGATCACTAGCACTGCTGTCTGAACCAGTGTCACTGCCACTCTCATCAGAGGAGGAGTATGACCCCCTTTTAACATATCTGTCTTGTCCCGAAGCACGCCTAATACCATCTCTATCAGAGTCCTCATCATCAGAACTGTGCCTCCTTGTCTTGGGCTTCTCAAGTCTACCATATTTCTTTTCCTCAGTATCAGCATCAGATTCACCATCAGAATCATGACGTTTGTTGATTTTTGAATGTTGCTTCCCTTTCTGTGTCCTATGCATGGAGAAGTCTTCACGGTAATCAGAATCATCATCTGAAGCATGCCTCTTATGAAACTTTTCTGTATTTTTGTTACTTTTTCTTGCATGATTGCTGTCATCAGAATCATCAGAAGAATCAGTATCATCACTGTCCTCCACCCTACCTTTCTTTTGGTGCTTAGAACTCTTCTGCTTCTTTTCAGACTTGACCTTCCTCTTAGCATTACTATCAGAATCAGATTCATCACTACTGTCTGTAGTCTCTCTACCATGCTTCCTTCTACCTCCCTCCTCATCGTCTAAACTGCTGTCTGAATCAGATGAATCATCCTCATAATTTTTCTTGCGCGTTTCACCCTTCTTGTGGTGCCTTGTATCTTTAACACCCTTTTTCTTTGCATTTTCATCCTTTTTATCTTCAACCATCTGTTTCTTCCAACTGACATCTCTGTCCAAAAAGGCATGCTCAGGCTTCACATTATGTTTCCCCTCTGCATTAGAACCAATTTTCCCATCATTACCATCTGCATTTATTTCATTGACTTCAGAAGAGACAATGCCAAGAGCAGCTTTCAATGTTTCCATCTGCTTTTCCTTCCTAGCAGCAATTTGATGAGTCTGTGTATCTGAAACCCTGAAAAATCCTCAAAGAATTATTATTAGCAATAACAATGCATCAACTTTGTACCCACCATTAACTAAACAAAGTGACACATAAATCTCTCCATTACTGTACAAACAAAGGGGAATTAGCATCATTCTGAATCTGCACCTAATTGAATCACATGCCTTTAAAACATCCATCCACAACATGCAACCTCTAAAATCCAATTCAAAACAACCTTACATCTAACAAGCAAACCTTTTATTTCATCAGAAGAGTGCCATCAATATTATTCTATGCTAACCTTTCAGTGGTTATTTTATAGAAATCATCCAAAACAAGTAAACCCTTGTTTTAGTCCTTTCAGACACTGTATAAATCGATCATTTTAGTCCCTAATTGTACTTAAAATTCACTTTAGTCTCTAGCTTTAGAAAATAACATTTGCATTACGCTTTAGTGTTAGTAAAATAGGAAGCCACATTTTCTAAAATTAAGGATTAAAGTAAAGTTTTAGAAAATTCAGGGACTAACTAAAATCACCTCAGTTATAAATATATATCAGGAACTAAAACGGAGATGTATGTCATCCAAAACACAAACACACGCCACATTCAAAACCACACAACATCAACCAAACATTATTTGAAACAATTAACATTTCAAAACCCTAACACAAACATCAAAATTCAGAAATTAATTACTTCTTCTCCGAAACTGAAACAGGAGCAGCTCCATCGGTTTCTTCCACTGCAGCAGCAGCCTCCAAATTCTGGCGAGCCTCCTCAAGTTTCTCGGCAATCTCGGCGTCGGTGTAGCCCTGATCGATGAGCTTATCTTCAAGAATTACGAGCTTAAGCTGAATCTGACGCTTGCGATCGTGTTCGAGAATCTCTTTGTTGGGTTTCCTGGTAACACCAGCAGTGCCTTGATCTGCTTCGAACCCTTTCGTGTTCTCAGCAACCTTCGAAACCTTAGGCTTCACGAAGAACTTGTTGCTCTGAATATACCCGTTCGTACCCGACCCTCTTGGGGTCTGTAACCCTATTCCGTTGTACATGTCGATTCACAAAACCTAAAACCAGAAACAACAGAGAACAACAAATATTAGAAACCCTAATTTCTACGGGGATTTAGGGATCCTTAAGTTAAAATGAAGTAACTCTAAACCCTAATTTCTACCGTTGTAATTCAGGGATCTTCAAGTTTTCATCAAAAGGAAGATAAATATATCTGATGAGCTTAACAAATTGAACTCCCAAGAAAATATGGTTTTATTGTGCGAAGAGAAAAAGACATAAATTTAATGTACAAGTTGTTACCCCGTGTCAAATAAAAGGAGGAGAGAAAGAATCCAAGTATTGGAACTGGAACTGATTCTGGCATTTTAAACAACGAATCCCAGTTTTTTTTTTTTTAAATAAAAACGTTGCAATAGGAAAAGGGCCCAAAGCCCAAAAGCTAAACAAAGGTTAAAGGCTTTAACAACTCTACCCTTTTCTCTAATTATGTTATTTTTTATCTTTCAAAAAAAAATAGAAGGTATTAATCACTTTTAAAATTAAATCTCTTAAAAGTAGACTTTTGAATTTTATTTTTTTTTGAAATAGTGGTATGTAAAGAAAAAACTAAGACCAGGACGAAAATAGCAACCACACAACCTAAGAATAACTTAAGCCTAAATGTCAAGTTTGAACTAATAACACAGCAATAATAAAAAAAGATAAAAGATATTAGGATTTTTGCACCCACACTTTGCCTAAAAATGAGAATATTAATTAATGTTTTTAAAAAATTCTAATGTCTCGTCCAAACAAATATCAAAAGATGAAGAAGCAAGTATAAAGGTAGAAATGCCAAAGTAAGTTATTCTATTATAACCTATTGGTACCCTATAAAAGAATGGGTTAAGTTCAACTCATCCGAACTCTTTTTACGGAATTAACCTACTTCACTTTACGGTAAACTGGCAAATAAGTCACTTAAGAATTTAAAAATTTTAAATAATATAAATTAATTAAGTAAAAAGGATAATAAATTTAATAAAATATAAATTTGCCAACCTTAATATTTAATATTGAGTTTAAACATCTAAAAATAATAAATTTTATTTAAAAAAATATTTATTGTACTTGCGTGTCTTTAATGTATAATAAATTAGAAGAAAATCAAGATTTATATGCTTTGAAAAAATGTGTTTGAAAAAATGTGTATTATTATTATTTATTTTTATATGAAGTTATAAAACTACGGCATCATTGTTACTTCATTTTTTATTTTTAAAACTTTTTCTCATAAAATATAAAATTATCATTTTATTATTTTCGTTCTTTCATGTGCTAAAATAACAAATATAAAAGTTCTTAATAATAACAATTCGCCTTTGCTGTTGTACAATACATTTTAGATGCAAGTAATTAGAAGGAAGCAAATTAATATGGATGGAAGTGGAAGGATTATGCAACTGAAAAGGTATTATATGTACAAATTTTTTAGCAGTCAAAAGTTTCTTCAGATTGTGCCACTGATGGAATGGAAGACACGTGCCACTGTAACTGATTCTATCAGTTAGTTATAACTGTGTCAGAATGACGGTTAGTTATTTTACAAGCTCAAGCTCTGAGAAGCCATTTCTTTCAGCATCACGAAACGCTGCGTTTGGTTTACCGCTTCAGTTAGCAAGTTCACTTGGATAGCACACTAGTGTATAAATGCACTGCTTTGAGTATCTCATTTGCAATTCCACTATCGCTATTCTCTCATCTTCTTTCTTCTCTGTTCTTCACCTTTCTGAATTCTCCTGTTTTGTCTTCATCTGTTCTTCTGGTAACCGAAACTGTTCAAGTGAAGGTTGACGAAAATGCCTCTCGGTAACCTAAGAAAAGGAGATAGCTCCGATTCGAACTTATGTGGTATAGAGGCAGATTTCGACTTTGAAATTTCGTGCGTCGTCGATTACCATGTCAAAATTGGAGAGTTCGATTTCGTTGTTGCTCCTCTGGTTACTTTCTTTTTCATCGTTTTCTTTTAATCAGCAATGACGCACTATTTCGTTATCGATTTTGTTGTGTTATGAATCTATTAGTTGATTCAGACCACTGTGGTTGTTTCAATAAAAAGTATGAAGCAATTGTTATCGATTCACTGAAGACTGCGGTTGCCACAGTTGATTTCAGTAAAAAAATTTAAACATCATCTAATATGCAATTTTGTATAAATAATTTGGAAATTAGACAAGCTTTAAATCATTTTATGGTGCAATGCAGATTGATCCTGAATATCGCCCAAGCTTAAAACAGGCTCCTCAATGCGGGTCATTTGAAGAAGTTGTGCCATTCGTTGAGAAAGACATAAGCATGAGCCCAACCCAGTTCGTTGCTTGTGTAATAGGTACGAGTTACCTGATATTTTTAATTATTAATAGCTTTGCTTTTAATAATTTGCTAATTGTATTGTACTCCACTGGTTTTTTTCTTCTTAAGAATTTTATTGTTGTGAATGCTTTTAGTTTTAGTCTTATATTATTTATTACAATTATTTAGGAAAAATAAGCACGTGGATAGACTTGGATTCAGAAAATGAAAGCCTTAGGACGGATTCTGAAACCGTTCTCAAAAAGGAACTAGATTGGGCCTCTTATCTCTCTTTGCGGGTATGCTTTGGTATTATTAAATTTCCTCGGCAGAAAACTTTTTTTCCCAGCTCTCCTTAGATGCTTTACTTATGATTCTTTGTGTAATCGGAAAAATTATATGAAATGATTTCAGGAGATGTTATGTATTTTGGTTATAAGGTACCTGTTGGGAAATGATTTTATGCGAATACACGTTATTTCACATGGCACCGGACGATTTTGACGTTAATGTTTACTCCTTGTATATTGCTCAAGTTCAAAGCAGGCAGTTTGTATGATAGGTTTAAATATGATTTTGTGTTTTAAAAATCTATTATATTTTGATTTTTCTTTAAATAAAATTATTAAGTTTTAGTTCTTATATTTTTAAAATTGATTAATTTTAATTTTAAGCCACGATATTAACATAAGCATTGTTACGGGTTAATGTTTAAGTTATACTGATTTTTATAAGACTTCTATATAATTATATAGTAAGAGGAACCAAAACTAATCATCTTTTAAAATATAATATATAATTTTGTAAAAATAAAAATAAAAATGCAATGTATTTTGGGAAATCAAAACACATTTAACTCCATGCTTCTATATATAATGTTATTGAACAAAAGGAAACATGGCTTTTCTAATTTATTTTTTAAATGTGAAGGCTTGCCTCCTTCCAGCTCCTAAGGGAACTTTCTGCGCAAATTATGCTAGATGCGTGAACCAAATCATGCATAGCCTACAGAACAGCATGCAGGTGCCACTCTAAGTTCAAGTTGTATGATTAATTCGTTGTCCTTCATGAATGTGATTTCACCATTCTTGTACTTCTGTGACTTCATCATGAAGTTGTGGATTCGGATTCCAGTGGGGGAGACAGTTGATGACTCTTTGGTGAGTAAAAATGCTAAATGTTTTTCACTTGGTGAAATAACTCTTGCAGTTGCAAAGTCAAAGCTGTGCAATTTTATTTTTTTTTGTCTGATGCTCAACAAACTCATGTTATCAAATTCTTGTTGACTGGACTATCGAGTCATGAAGATTCAATCGCTCCGTAGACATGAAATTTATGATATCATACTTCATTTTATTTTCTATCACATTTCTAATTCTGATTTCCAGGTTGATTATTGGAAGACATGGAATTCATTCCGTCTGCTGTGTGAGCATCATAGTCGTTTGTGGGTTGCACTTGATAATTTGTGAGTTCCATTGATCCATTACAATATACCTTGATCTTGCATTTTGCACTACTCTCTCTATAATTTGCACCGATACTTTATTAATGTCCTCATTCATTTTACATTATTAGGGGCGTTCAGCCTTCAGACGACTCAATAGCACGTTGGTATGGAGAGCCTGTTGCTGCCTTTATAATGCGTACAGATGTAAGGATGTCTATTTATTTATTATGTTCTTATTCGTGTCATAATGGTTTTGATTGGATTTTTGCCAGTCCTTTTTGTCTAACCAAAGTGATAGCTCTAATAACCTCCCGATGCATCTTCAGAAGTTAATTATTGATTGCTTTAACCGTTCTATACAGGTAATCATTCTACTTCTTTGAATCCTATGACCTTGTAAATATTAACATTTTTATAATTATTCTTAGCCGTTCACATTATTATAATTAAGGGACTCGTAAAATTTATTCAATGATAAAAAAGAAGGTGCAGAAAAAATATGTAACTAACACTGTCATCTTTTAAAATAACTATTCTTAGCCGTTCTATAAAAGATTATTTAAAAATTAATCTATTACAAAATATTATAGTTTAATTTTTTATATATTTAATCCTCTGTAAATATGAATTCTGTGATCATAAATTTTTTTTAGTAACATTACTAGCCAAGACTCAACAAATAAAAAAAAGTTTTGATTGGAATTCAAATTGTTGGTGCATTAAGAATTATAATTAGAAGTATGTTAATAAAAAAAATTTAAATAATGTTTTACTTTTGATTTTTAATCAATATATTAAGAGCATTAGTTAGTATTTTTTAAACTATGTAACTCTACGGAAAACTATTTGCTGTGTAGGGCTCTGTTGTCGTAATTTTTCATTATACTTTATTTTCTGTAACATTTTAAATTTTAGTTTTTTTTTGTCGAACTCTACTAAAATGTAAATTACAGTAAAAAATGTCATAATAACAACTTTAAACTCTAATTAATTAACTCAAAATCATAATAAATCAAGTGATTCACCTAAATTTAACATCATTTTTTATATATGAATAAAAAATAAAATATTATAAGGACTAATTTTTTTAATTTACCTTTTATCCATTGGAGAACAAAATAATGTACTAAAAAATTTAACTATATAAATTGTAATGAGAAAATATTTTTTATTAAAAAATAAAAAAATTAGAATATAAAAAAATTAATTATATAAATGAGATAATAATACATAAATTATTATTAAGAAATATTTTTTATTTTTATTTTTTAAAAAATTTATGATAAGGGGAAATTGTTGAGAGACGCATAATATGAGATCAGATCACTTATATATAAGATAAAGTAACAATAAGAGGATCACAGAGTAAAATAAATTATTTTTTTAATTCAAATAAAATTTTCTTAGATGTTTTAAATTTATTAATAATAAATTTATGATTATTTATGAATTTACGTGGATTATTTTATTTTATTTTTCAAATATTTTTTATTCTTTAATTTATTATTGAACTAATAAAAAAACTCACCTGCTTGAATTCGTATCAAATTGAGCGACCAAATTTCACTACGGTGTTGCTGTAATTTTTTATTTTACTTTCTCTATAATTATAAATTTTAATAAGAACATAAAAATTACAAAAATATGAAAGAAAATAATTAAATTAAGAGTAAAAATTGTTTTTTATTTTTTAATAATTTTAATTATTAACTACGAATGTGCTTAAAAACATATTATAAAAATATAATACTAACAATTTTTATAAATTAAATAAAAATTATATTAACTTTAATCTTTAAAATTTTTTAATAATAACTTTAATCTTTACATTTGAATTTAAGTATTTAAAATTAATAAAATTTTACTAAGAACTAACAAATTTATTATGTGATTTTTTAAAGTGACACGTAATAAAATTTATTTATTTATATATATATATATATAACAAATTTTTTAATTAAAAAATACAAGCTATCACACGGTACAATACTTAATAATATTATTTTTTTTATAATAAATAGGGCTAACAACCTAAAAGAACAAGTAAGATCAAACTAACCATCTAAAAAAATAAGTACATAAAGAATCTAAAGAGAGAAAGGGGTTTAAAGAGAGAAAACTTTATCAAAACAAATGAGAGGAGATTCAAAATTAGACTCTAAGTCAACACACAAATTAATTTTCTTTAAGACATGATTAAATTTAATAAAATTAATTTTTGTTAGTAAATTTCTAATATCACAAATCAAGAAAAATAAAAAGTGATTACTTATGGATCTTCACAATAAGGGAACTTCCTTTAAATTATGAATGGAGCATTGGGAGAATAAAATATCTTTTTAAAAAATATTATGTATAGAAAAATTGAGAAGATTACGTATTTTTCTCTCTTTCAAAAATTAAAAAAGTGTAAAAAATAAAGAAAAAGAAAAAATCAGAAAGAAGAAAAATGAAGGAAAGAACATAATCTAGCTAGGAAAATTATTTAAGTTTATTAGTTAAAACAGTCAAGGCAATAATAATGGTTTGAAGGGATATGTTGCTAACTTTGTGTATCTTTTTTTTAATCTCTTATAACATGTTTTTTAATTGACTCGTTACGACTTGATTCTTGCATATTCAAAATACTTAGTAAGGATTTGGCTGATTATCAAGCTCTGAAAATACATTTTAATTTGAGGAATGATTGGTTTTGAGCCTTGCAAACTTTGAGAAATGAGAAAAAACTTATATTTGATTGAAGTTGGATTTCAAGAAACCTAATCCCCTAATAGAGCTGGTTTCTTTTAGTTATTCCTCCGATGGTAATATTACTTTTGTTTATTGCCTGTGTTATTAGTATTGGTGTCCTTTGATTGATGTATTCTTAATTTTTCTTATGTTTAAGTTTAGATTCACTATTGCTTGAGGATAACTATTTAAGAGTGTAGAGTTTGATAACTAATATTTTTTTTAATTTTTAATCTCATATATTTTCCATTAAATAAGAATTTTTTCTTTCATTAAAATATAGCTCTTTTTTCTGCGGTTACGGTCCCTCCCATTCTTTGAATCAAATGGCGAGTATAGGTACTGAGTTTTGAAAAATGTGTCTAGATCATTATATCTCCCGAACCAGTTCATACCGAAGCAACTGCAGCAGATCGTTGTACGTGTACGTTCCTATCCTGTAAATTTAGATAATCAGTAGTGATACGAAATCGAGAAAAATTGACATGAAATAATATTTTATTTCATTATTTAGATTGATAAAATAGCAAATGCAAATAAAGAAATTTAATGGAATTCTTTATATTTTGTTCTGTTATTTATGTTTTATTTTTAATATAAAAGGAATGAGATGAAATTAAAAATATAAACTTCAAAATTTAAAAGTTACTATTTTATTTTTATTTTTTTAATTACACACACTACTATTATACTCTTACTTATAGTTATCAAATTTCTTATTTCGTCATCATTGTTCTTCTTTTGTCAAGTAATATCCTTATTTATTAAACATCTAAGTATAAATATTGAAATTAGGAACAGTAAATTGAACAAAAAAAGCATGCACACAACAATTTTGAAAAAGAAAATAATATTGTTCATTCGAAGCACGATTGATTGACTTTTTTTTATATTTAAAATTTTAGAGAACCTTTCTAATCAAGTTTTTAAAGAGTTTTTGTTTTCTTGACATTCTAGAATAATTTTTTTTATAGATATAATTTTTTAAAAGAACATATATGCTCTTTTAATCCATCATAAATTGAGAATTTAATAAAAAAAATTTAAGAAAAATGTTATTGTTATAATTTATGAAATTTTATGAAAATGGTTAAAGTAGTTTTGTAGTTTGTGCTAATTAATAGGTAAATATCATCTTTTAATAAAATGTAAATAATACAATTATTACTAGATTTTTTTATTAATTTAGAACTGACTATAATATTTAAATTTAAATTAGATTGATACTATTTCAATAAAATATATAAATTTAAATATTATACAAATTTTTAAATTAATTAATTAAACCAACTTAGATGCATATAAAAAAACAGTATCATATTATTGTCATAATTTTAATTATTAAGTCGTTAGTTCGTATAAAAAATAGCTTCTTATATTTTATAAAGATTAAATTGGAAGAATAAAAAATTATAATTTATTGCGGAGAAAACTCCCTGTTAATTTAATGTGTCATTTCTCCAAACTAAAAAAAATAATCAGATAGTTTCTAATTGTATACAACTTTTGACGGTCAGCTGGTAGTTGGACAAATACAACATATGTAACAGTTTAAGTGACAACAAAACTTGGTTGACTGGCATGGTTTAAGAGAGAAAATTTGTTTATGACATGCTTCAATTAGTCCATAGAATCCTAAACCAAAGTCGTCATTCTTAACCCAAACTTCCTTCTTACTCCTTGTTCCGTGTTGTTTTTGCTGTTTCTTTCTCATTTATTTATTGCACGAATCACAACAGGGATGAGGAAATCACAAAGGATCTAAACAACCCCAACTCAAAACCTCACTATTCTTTCCACACCAGCCACCACCCCCACCACCCCTCCTCCTCCTCCTGATTCCAACCCATCTTTACTGGCGACGTCCCCGAAGAAATCAAGCTCAATGTTATGGGGGAACAAAACAAGAAGAAAACGAAGGAACTATAACCATTGCAACAACAACACTTACAAATGAAACAGAAAAAATGAGTTTTGCCGCGAAGTTTGAAATTGGGACAGATTACACACTTTAATGTTGCAATTTACCCATTCTTATTGCGATTCGTGTTGTCAATAATTGAGGAAGAGACATCAACGGCGACATAAGCTGAGGAAAAAGGTCAACGACAACCAGAAACAAGGAAGTGTCACATTTGCTATTTTGTTAGTCTAGCTAGCAGTTGAGAAATATATATATATATATATATATATATATATATATATATATATATATCCTTTTTATCCGGTTCCAGTTGCTTCCGTCAATCCAAATTGCTCGATTAAACGAAATACAATTAGGAAAAATATGTGCGAGAGATTTACCGAAATCCCATTTGAATTCGTAATACCCGTTGAGTTCATAGTTAATTCCATGAATTCTTTTCGAGACAATAACCCCATTTGTACGATTTTTTGTTTTATTGGTTCGGAATCTTCTGTTTTTGTTCTTACTGAGTGTTTTCTGGACGTCAGATTCAGGAAGATATCCTCTCCAGCCTTATCGGGACCATATTGTATTTCTATACAAACGAATGGATCCTCTTACTGAGCGAGAACGTATCGAGGTATTTATCTTTCCATATATCAAATAGCAAGCCATGGCATTATCTTCATCTTGACGCTTTCCGGGTTTTATGCCAGTTTCGTTACAGGGATTTTCCACAGAAACTCTTCCAAGTAAGTATTCTTTGTCCTATGGGAGAACGGGAAATTTTCGCTTCCCCTTCTCCTTCTCCTTCCCCAGCCCCCCTCTCCCCCCCCCCCCCCCTCTCGTTCTCCTCCCGTGTATGGTTATGCTGTTGTCCACGCGTTAAGTGGATTCAGTGTAGTACTTTATATCCAAGAATACAAATGAATGGTTTTTTTTTAATTTTTCTTAATGTTATAATAAGAATAAGAATGTCTGTTGCCGCTTTTTTATCATACAAATGCAATTTAAAAAATATTACCCGTTTGACATGTAAAAAATTATTTTGGATTCTTACGGAAAAATTATATAGTAATCATTTTAACATTTACACCACCTTGTTGCATGTCTTACGCACACTTTAGATTAATTATTTGAATTTTTGCAATTCTTCCGCAGCCTCTTAAGATAAATCAAAAAGCTCTGACCTATCATGATAATGAGAAAGATGCAACGAAATACAAACTGGTATGCCAAAATGCATGTGACATTCTCAACTTAATCCATGCATTTATCTATATTTCTCCATCTCTGCCCGCTTTTTAGTCTCCCCTGGTTTGCACTAAATCTGATTTATGAAACTGTTAATGACTTATAGTTGATATACATGAATAGTACACTTATGTCCACTGGCAGTAATCTAGTAATCGTATCAGTCCTGCATAATTTGACTTTTTCTCATGTAGCCTGTCCATTTTTCAGTTGTAGTTTGATTTCTTTTCCCTTATACATGTGTTGGAATTGATTGTATAAGCGCAGATGATTTTTGAATTTGTGGTGTGAATACTTTCTTGTATAACATTTTGTTATTCTTGTGGTAGGCAATGTATTAGAAACATGTTTTTAGACTCTCTGGGTCACCTTGGTACCATGTTTGTTTCCTAGTGCTCAAGGTCCTGACAACTGATGGCTTTTGTTTTCCTGCATGAACTTGCTCTAATTTGTAGTTTATTTATTTTAGTACAAAAAAGCAATTTGTCAAGCCTTGCTGGACAGGGTTCCTGATGAAAAAGCATCTGAGATCACCTTGGTATGATTTCTTTCTTGGTTTTTAAGCTTCATGCATATTTTTAAGCACACTATGACATGCATAACTCTGGATGATGTGTAACATACATTAATGTTGTTTTGTTTTTTCCGATGGCTAGGTATTGGTGGTGGTTGGTGCAGGACGTGGGTGTCTTGTGAAGACCTCAGTACAAGTGTGATCTTGTCCAGATTGTGGCAAATTTGGATTTGGATAATGCTGTTCTTTGGAGTGACTTTTGTCATCTTCATATGTAGGCAGCTAAGGAAACTGGGCGGAAGTTAAAAGTTTATGCTGTGGAAAAGAATCCAAATGCACTTGGTGCACTTAATGTTAGTTATAGATCTTGCTATTGCATCTTATATTTATGATGATTTTGGAATTATGTACTAGTATGAGGCTATTGCTTATTACAGCTCAATAATATTTTTTATTTTAAAAATACATGGCTTAATCTTGAATATTTTTATAATAGAAGTTACATTTAGCTGTCAACTTCTATATAACAAAATTATCTCAAGTAAACTCATAAATTAGTCCCACTACTCAGACATTAACAACGTATTAATCCTTTACTTTTTTAAATTGTTATTTTAGTCCTTGACGTGGTAAGCTGTCAAACAGTTAGATTTCTCATTCCAATTGCTGAAAAACATTAACCTTTGTAAACATGACACGATAAATGACATGATGCTGAAACGATGTCGTTTCATATCAAAGTCAGAGACTAATCTGACCAATTTCCCTTACCGTTGTTGCTGCCATCTTCGGCCCCCCTCCCACAATGTTTCCAGCAGTCACTACCACCTTTTACTCCACCTCTTATACCAATACTTGCCCTAAAGTGCTCACCACCTCCTTTCTCTCTCTCTATCCTTGAATCACAATGTCGGGGCCATTACTGAACTCTTTTGTCCCTTCTTTAATGGCTTCAACCTTGAACTAGGATATTGTTGCATGGAGATGTCTACAAATATGGGGAGTGTATTGCATTTTAGATTGGGATGAGGTGGTCCAATGATGGTTTTGATGAAGTGAACGATGATGGATGGGTTCAAGTCGAAGGAAAAGGAGACTCATTGCAGTTATGGCTAGTTTGTGTGTTCTGTTCATGGTAGGTGTGAGTGAGTATGTACATTCAATTCATGCTAGAGGTGTTGAGGAGAATAAAATGAACAAGGACTTTGGCCTATCTGCGAGCTCTTACTAGCTAGGAGTTGAGGACGATGACAAGAACAACGACTTTAGCCTACGATTTGCGAGCTCTTAACAGTTGGGGTTGAGGAAAATAGCGGGAATAGAGAGAGAAGGTGGTGGAAGTAGTTGGAAATGTCGTGAGTGGAGGGTTAAAGATGGCAAGAATGGTGTTGACAAAAATCGATTAAGTTAATCTATGACTTTATGTGAAACAATGTCATTTTAGCATCTTACATGTTACTTGATGTGAAATGTTAGTAAAAGTTAACGTTTCTCCATCATTAGTTAATGTTATAGACCTAACTGTATAATAGACTACTATGTCAGGGACTAACAGAGTATTTTAAAAATATAAAGGACTAATATTCACAATTATTACTATTTAATGAACTAATTTGTGAGTTTACTCAAATTATCTTTTTGGCACTAGTTTTAGTTTAAAAAAAAATTAAATCTGTTGAAAGTGCATTGGTGCCTCAAATTCTTCATGATGCATTTCTATTATGTTTTGACATGCTTTTCTAACGTATATTTTATGTATATAGCATGCTTGCAAGTTGGGCAATATTGTAAGTCTAATAATGAATTGTTATTTTAGATGCTTTAATCCAAAAGAAAATTCAATTTTTTGTATTGGAGTTTAATCTATGTAATGATTTTAGTGGAATTTTGTGATAGGATTGTCCATAGTTTTATGAACAAGTGCTTCATGTGTTATTTGTGACTTCTTAAGCTAAAAGTAAAATGTTACTGCACATTCATACGACCAGGGATTTTTTTATTGTATTACATGTTGGGTGATAAAAGGGCAAAAAGAGCATAAGATGAAGGTTGCAACCATGACAAAGTTATGTTGGGGGAGTAGTCATTAAAAAAAAAAAGATAAAATCAGGAAAGAATATATTAGGGAGAAACTTGAATGGCATCTAGTGAGGAAAAGATGGTAGAATTGTACCTATGTTGTTTCGGATATTTGTGAAGAGTATCAATAGAAACGCAAATTAGAAAAGTTTATAAGATGGAGGAGAGTACAATAATTAGTGGACCAAGAAAGACTTAAGTAAAATCATTAAAAATAATATATGGTACGTTTGGATAAACAACTCAGTTAAGTGCTTATTTAATATAAGTTCTTTTTAAAAAATGACTCATGCCATAAATTTAACGATGAAATATATTGGGATAAGATAAAAACAACTTATTTTGATTAGTTATGCTAAAAAGTTTGTTGAAATAATCTGAAAACAAAACTTATGAGAGTCATGAACTATTTTCTATAAGTTGTTGATAAATTCTTCTAAACAGGCCCACAGAATTAAATGGTCTGTTTGAAGAATATGTGTTCTCCCTAGTTCCCATTGTTTTAGAAAAATTTGCTGAATTAACATATGCACTTTCAGTGCATATATTAATTGAATATCTGTTCTCCCCTTATTTCCCGTTGATTTAGAAAAATTTGCTGATGACAATATTACATATAGTTTTTGGAAGAAGGGTATATTTTGTAGTAATCAAAGCTGCCATATTATTTGTTGAAACAGGGCTTAGTAATGGCTGAGGACATGGAGGATATCGTCACCATAGTCACAAGTGATGTGCGATACTGGAATGCCCCTGAAACGGCTGACATATTGGTATGTTTATGTATTAATATTTAGGTACTTGCTTAATTTTTATTCTATATACTGATAGTGTCTGATTGCAGTTGTCTTTAATTTAGGTTAGTGAAATGCTAGGTACTTTTGGTGACAGTGAGCTGTCTCCTGAATGCCTTGATGGAGCCCAGAGGTTTCTAAAGGAAGATGGAATTTCAATACCCTCTTCGTATGTAAATTCCATACCCTCCATATGTTATAGATTTATCTTTATCGGGTTTTACTTATTTTAGCTTCATGTTTCTTTAATTTGCACAAATGAATGCTAAGTTCCACAAATTCAAGCCCTTGCTTTCATGTTTTCATTCAATATGTAAATAACCTGATTTTCAAGATTACTGTATGAAGCATTTTAAATGGTATTAAAGATTGGAGCTTGGACTATTTTGTCCAGTAATGCACTGACATAACTTTTTCGAAGTTCAGAAATCAGCATTTTAAAGTTTTCCTTCATTGAGTCTGGACAAACGACCTCATGTAGTTTCACTTCTTTTTGTCACCTAAGAATGCATTATGCGGATCCACTGCTTCTTGTAACTTGCTAGGAGTCAATGGATTTATTATTGGTGGTCAGCAAGCAGAATGTTAATGGTTAATGAAATTGTGCATTAACTTTTTATCACTTATTTGGTTTGTTATTCAATGAATGAAGAGCAGTTTATTATCACTTTCAGGTATACAAGTTTCCTCCATCCAGTGACAGCTTCAAAGTTATATGACAAAGTATATCTCTTGTATTCCCTGTTAATTTGACTTGTATTAATTTTGTATTTCATTTAATTGCATGCAGTTTTATTTCAGATTAAGGCAGAAAAAGATATTTTACGGTTTGAATCTGCTTTTATTGTGAAATTACTCAATGTAACTCAGCTTGCGCCATCTCAACCTGTTAGTAGCTTCTTATCTTTCAGTTTACTTATCTTGCTTTTTTTCCATTCCATCCACCTTTCTGATCTTTATGATATTTTAGCTCCATTCTCTTTTTATATGAGAATGAGAAGAACAAATATTAACTGTTGATCAAGATGAAAATACAGAACTCGTGAGTTTTTAAAAAGTCACGTGATATTTTTAACTAATTGTGAGATTTAAAAAAACTTTTAATTTTTTACCATTCATGTGTAGCTATACTGTCTAAATTTATCATTCTCACAAAAAATAATTCTTACTAAATACATTCTCTCTCTCTCTCTCTCTCTCTCTCTCTCTCTCTATATATATATATATATATATATATATATATATAGATATATATAATTTTTCTGTCTTACAAACTTGGAAGGGGTCTTTGCTGATTTTGTTTGATTTTCGTTTGACTTGATTAGGTTTTTACATTCACACATCCAAAACACCACTCTGACAAAGAAAGCAACAGCCGGCATAAAAAATTGCTTTTTTTTATCCCTGACGACAGAGAGTCTGTAATGGTACATGGTATGCAGGGTCTTTCCACTCTTGTTTGAGTCAATAAGTCTTCATGAAAATGATTTTATACATAAGATTTTCAATTTTACTCTGAATATATTTGAATTTTTAACCTCCAATTTTAAGAAATTTTATATGCACACCAGTATCTGTGTTTGTCTGTTTTGTCATAAATAAATCAAAGGAGGCATGCCAACGTTGTTTGTTGGAGAGCAATTACCCTATCAACACGTGGTTGTACATGGTCAAGACCTCTGAATGCCTTAGAAATGGTTGGAAGTTACCCTTTACCTTTTACTAACTGTTCGTAATGGTATTATAACACCCTGTTCGGAATGTTGGTAAAGAGGGGGAAGTGATGGGAAGGAAAGGAAATAGTGACAAAAGCCCTTGTTTGGTTTATTAATAATGTGAGGAAGGGAGCAGAAAGTGTTACTCCGCCTTCCTCCTCAAATCTTAGAAGTTCTTCCCCTTCAAATAAGAGAAGATTAGAAGGGGGTTATTTTAAAAAGAAATTAACTCTCATTCCCCTTACTTCAACTCTCTAATTAAGTGGAAGATAATTCTAAATGATACTGCTTGCAATACTTTTTTGAGTTATTTTACTTGGGTTGTTTCGAAATGCATGTGTTGAAAATTAAAGGGTTGGAGAAAGGAAAATATATTTGAAGTTTTCCCATAAAATTTATCTTCATTGACTAACCTCGGTTCATGCTGTGTTTGATTGACTGATTTTGTAGAATGCCTCTGCTAATTACTGGCCAATTAAATTTCAGATGGGATTCTCTATGCGATATTTTATATCTAAAAGAAAGATGCCTAGTTTTTTAATAAATATTATCTGCTATGCTGAGGCATGGAGCTGTTCCATAATTTAGTTTTTAGGATGCTGGTGTTGCATATCAATGTGTGTTTTAGCCGTGCAGATTAACTGTATAGCTAGCTTCTCTATGTTGTGTAGTTATCTATACAATTTATTAGTTTTATTGAGTCCCCTTAAGCCATGTGTATTATTTTGATACTAACCTCTTCTACTTTGACTGTAGGATTTGCAGGCTACTTTGATGCAACTCTTTACAAGGATGTGCGAATTGGAACTGAACCTTCTACAGCAACACCGAAAGTGTTCACTTGGTATTAACTTTTATCCCCTTCTTTATTTCATTCTTATGGAATATGACAAGACATATTAGAGTAGCCAAAAAGAAAAAACTTGGTTAAAGGCTTAGATATTCTCCTAAAACAAACCACACTATACCAAAATCGAAAAAATCTAAGGATAAAAAGTCATCAAATAAGCAAATCTTGTTAGTCTCTGTTTATAAATAGAGACAAAAGTGTGTTTACATTGATTTTTTTTTCACATCTGTAATTTGTAAACCTACCTTACAATCCCTATTCTATCTCTTCATTTCCCATCACATCACTTATTCCGTTATCACTTTCGCTCTCTTTCATTCCTATCTCTCTACTTCTAATGGCATGACTGTACACTCATCTAATCTTTATCCATATCAAGAAGTACAAAATAAAGCATTTAGTACATTATAAATATTGCGCTGTGAAATCTCTCTGATGGTGTCATCATGATATCATCCTTGTCAATTCATGAAGACAAATGGCAAATTGTTTATATTTTGGCGATTGGAAAAATAATATTTTGAATAATGAAATTGGATAAAGGAATTACTTTGTCCAAAGAAGCTAAAGAACTCTCCTTGATGGACATTGCATTTTTCATTTTATTGGTACACGATGCTGATAGGAACTGAATTTATAATTTGATAATAAAGGAAATATGCAGAGCACATAGAAACTGATAACCAAAGTAAACAAATCAGAAGAGAAACTTCTCTACCTATGGAAAGAGCCACCCAAATCATTATTAGATTGCCAACCTTCTCCCCCATCTCTCTCTTTCAACTATAACGGCTAGCATATGAATGCCCAACCTATGGAATGGGAATTCAACTCTTTTTCTCTTTCAAGGTATGCAATGTTTTTTCCATTAAGGACACCTACGTGCTTGCATCGTGGTTCTTCCCTCGAAGTACATTTCTGGCGCTGTTGTGATTCTACAAAGGTTGGTTTTGTATCATTTGCTGCATTTCATCTTATTTCTCTTCATCATTGCCTCTACTTTTCCATTTCATATCATTTATTTCGATTTCATATATGGAATCTGAAGCAGGTTTGGTATGAGTGGTGTGTTACATCCCCCACTTTATCTCCAATTCACAACAGTAATGGGTGCGCATGTTCGCTGTGGCTTTAGTGGAACTCACCTCTTGGGATATTTGAAGGTCTGCGTGCAAATTAGTGCAACTCATAGTGAAAGCAAATGATATTTCAAAATCCTCACAGCTGACGACAAACTGATTTTTAGAATTTGTATTTCAGTGCTTTTGATCTCAACTATGTAAATAATACAGATTTCTTGGGAAGTTTGGCAATTTCTCGGGCAAAGTTCTGAACTATCATACAATCAAATGTTACCATGTCATTGAAAGAAGTAGCCTTTTAAAAACAGACAATTATAAGAGAAATATGAGTTATATAATGTAAGAATAAACTTATATGAAGTATAGTCTTTTAAAAACAGACAATTATATTCCTGAGTTATATAATGTAAGAATAAACTTTCACATAAGATAATGAGATATGCGACCTCATTGAAATCGGTCTTTTAAATTTAAAGTTTTAAACATTAATTTAGTTTTATTGTTAAGAATTATAAATTGATTTAGTTTTATTGTTAAGAAATGTTGAAATTAAACAATAGAGTGATTTTTTTTGTTATATTAAGTAACACTTTGATATTTTTCTTAAATACAAAATGAAATAATTTTAAGATTTTTAAAAAATATTTTAATTTTAAAATAATTTTATAAACAAATGCAACATAAGTTCAATTTGGATTGAATTGGATTAATTTTAAAATTAGATTTAAAATCTGATTCAATCTAATAAATAATAATTTTTTTATTATCGATTAGGTTTCTTATTTTTGGTTTGGTTATATTAGATGGAGTGCTCTTTGAACACTTATTTGTAGCCATGTATATAGTTGAAAAGTAATAAAGTATTTTCAAAATAAGTTTTCAAAATATCGACCGATATAAATTGTTTTTAATTATTAAAAAAATTTTAATTTAATTTTTTGAACTTAAAGAATGTGAAATTCAATAAAACAAGAATTTAAATATAAAACTGATTACCAAAAAATGAAAACAGTGCAGTTTTCAACAATAAATTAATAAGAAGAACTTAGAACATATGATTTTATCTTTATAATTTTTTATTTTTTTTATACTAATTCAAATTTCAATTTATCTCTTATTGTAAATCACTCATAATAAATCTATTAACATTCAATAATCGTACAAAGTAAAAAGAAGAAAAAATATAAAGTGCATATGAGCTGTTAATTTAATAACGATTAAAAAAATTTGTATGAAATTATACACCTTAGATTTAAGAGTTGTTGATTCTAAACATATAAATATAGCACAATAAATATCAATAAAAAAAGAAAACATGAAATCATTATAAATGATAAAGGTCTTACAAAGTCATGTAAATAATCTACCATAATCCTAGTTATGGATTTAACCAAACATCATATAAAAGAAAGCTAAAATAATACTAAATAAATATATAAAACTTGAAAAGTAGATACAAATTAAAAGAGTCTCAACAAAGAAGAGACGAGAAAAGCTTTTGATTTTAAGACGCACTCCCAAACCTCCAATAATTATTAGCGACCCATTAACACCAAGATGGAAAGTATAAAAGAGATGTGTAAAAGACGTACAAAAAATGACATAAAAATATGATGCTTAAGTTGCTCCCCAAGAGGTCGCTTTTATAGGGTTTAAAAATCTTTAAATTGCTTAAGATTTGGGCTTCTAGTAGGTCGAAGCACGTGCTGGCTATTGGAGTCTGGGATATACAAACTATAGTGAAGCTCTATTTTTCAACTAATTTAGATTCAAAATGCACCAAAAATTCAATTGTGGTCTTCTCATATTAATATGCACAATTAATATATAAATTAATATAGAACTCAATTAAAATAATAGCCACACATAAATATATAGGCTATAAAAACATGTTAAAATACAAACTTATCAATAATTTTATTATATAATATCATTTGTAGTTTTTTTTTTTTTATCATCAATAGCAATATCTCTATATATTTTGTGTATTTTGTAATTTTAGCACAACTTATTTATTCAACAAGAGATGATATAAAAATTGGATAAAAACATGACAGAATAAAAATAGGTAAAATTTATTGTGCTTTAACTGTTTGAGAGTTTGGAGGAAGAAATTTAAAAAATAAAAATAAGAAAAAAGATTAATACAAAGTCTCTCAACTTGAAGGAATTTAAAAACATAGTACTACTAAATTTTCTAAGATTTATAAATCTTCTCCCTTCTTATCTAAAGATTCTGAAAAATAACAAAATATCACATAAGTCTTCATCTTCCTTTCTCGTCCCTCCAAAAATCAATTCTCAAACTAAGCTTAAAGGTTTAAAAAAAAAAATTGTTTATTAGTCTTTAAAAATATTTTTTAATTATTATTTTTAAATAGTAAATTTTAAAAATTAATATTTTCATTCAATTTATTATATCTCTTTACAGCTTAATAATCTTTTCTTATATGCATAATTATATATTTTTTTATTGTCTTTATAAAAGTACTACTATTTGTAATAAGTCTATGAATTTTTTTTTTGTCAAAATTGAATCCTTAATTTATTCAAAATGTCAAGAGCTATAAAAAAATTTATATTTACAAAAGTTCATTTTCAACCACTCTAACGCACCATTTTAATTTCAATTTTCTCAAACCAACAAATCTAACTTTAACTTGGCCTTAACTTTTTTGTCTTCAAATATACATGGTTTTGAATTTCCTTTTTTTTTTTCAAGAAAATATTTCACCTTTATTGTTAAATACATATATTATCCAATTTCATAAATACAATAGTTTATATTTTTCAATAATATTTTTCTAATCAATTGGTTTAAATAGAAGTTAACTATCTTTATTTTTTTTAGGTATAGTTAATATAAGTACATATAAATTCATACAAGCTCACGTGAAAAATTAATTTTCACAGGAGCTTGTACAAATTTTCATCCACCTTTTTTCGAACCTTCATCTTTTTTCTCCCCTAACTCTTTTAGTATCCTCTCCCCAAAAGTTTCATCTACCCTCTCCTCATCCTTCATCTTCTTTCTCCCCACTTTGCTCCCCTTAGCCCCATCTTTCCACCCTAAACTCATAGCTTTTCTGTGGACTTGATTACAACCACAAACTGTGTCACCGAATTAAATGATCTTGAATTAGATTTCACACAATAAAAACAGAATTATTACGACACAAATAAGAATTGAACTAAGAAGAAAATTAATAAAAAGTAAAAATAGAATAGAGATGAAAAATGGCGCCACAATCGCAAGATTGATAAGCCAAGGAACGATTGTCACAAGAGTTTTGGCCTCTTGATAAGATCAAAGAAAATTGGCTCACTCAAGAACCTAGAGTTACACGCTCTCACAAGAGTGTTCAATCTCAAATTATATTCAAAACTAATTAAAAGTGTGTTTACAAGAGCTTATATATGCCTAATGCTTGTAAACTAATACTAATGCAAACCCTAATGGGTTTCTTGTACCAACAAGCCTAAATTCAAATAAACTAAATAAAATAACAAGATTTTATCCTAAATAAAAACTCAAAATAAGTAATGACTAATATTAAAATAAATAAACTAAACATAATAATTAAATCCTAATAAAACTCGTTAGAGTTCAAATCCTCTAAGCATATGTAATTAATTATCTTGAGTTTTTTTAACTCTAAATTGAGCTCCCTTTCAAATAAGACAGCAACAATCTTTTCTAAGTCTCCATTTATTCTTTTTGTCCTTGCCATTAGTCCTTGAAACTCTTCCAATGTCTTCAAGTCTTTGTTTTTAATGAGCCTTCCTTGATTCTCATCAGGACTCATTCCAACTTTTTAACCCTAGTCCTAGCTCTTTTGAAAATAAAAGCGGTCAATATAGAATTAATTTAATTCAAAATACCTTTTTACATTAAAAAATATTAAAAAATCTTTTTGCAATAAAAAATAAATTATAACAAAAATAAATATTAAATCAATTAAAACTACTTTATTAGTCTATACAAATAATAAATTATATATATCAAATTCTTGTATAAATTCTCAATTTTTAACATAAACCTCTCACAATATAAAATTTATATTCAAAAAAGGGATGAAATAGACCTACATAAAATTACCATATTAAATACATCACATTATCTTATAAATTGTGTATTTCCAACTTACACCTCTCATAATATTAAATTTATATTAGGAAAAAGGGATTGAATAAGCCTATTGGATAAAATAGAAAAAAATTATTTTATGAATTTTCTTTTCTTATTCATCAACCAAACCTTAAAGTATTAAGCTGCAATCTCTAACTTTGACCCTTTTTTTTTTCATTTTCTTTATGGTCATTTCTCTCAATATCAAACAAAAATCACGGCAAAATTTACAAACAAACTGTAAATTGATATTAATGGCAAAAAAAATGATACCCGACATCGTTTTTGTACAACATGTTTTCTCAAAAAGAATTGTACAATATTCCAAGGAGCAAATCCACTAGAGGTTCACCCGGTATGAGCGACCATTACAATTGTGAATTTGGGACGTAAAAGGAGATGTAATACACCACTCATACCAAATCTGTTTCAGATTCCACAAAGAAATCGAAAAGTCGAAATCAATAATATGAAATGGATAAGAGAACTAAGAGTCTATAGACAAAATGCAGCAAATGATACAAAAACCGAGAACAACCTTTGTCGAATCACAACAGCGCCAGAAATGAACTTCCAAGGTAGAACCACCATCCACACAAATCGGTGTTTTTAATGGAAAAAACATTGGAAACCTTACAGGAAAAAAGAAAAACAGAATAAGGAACCGAGTTGGATGGACTTTTATGATTTCATTCTAAACTGTCTTTTTTATTGCATTATTTTCCTTTTTAAAGGAATTTTCCAATACCATGTAAAAACAGTTGGGGTCGCTGTTGAAGGTTCAATTCCAAGATGCACATCCTTGTAGAGAGTTGCATCAAAGTAGCCAGCAAATCCTAGTATTAGAGAGCACAAAAGGATTATAATACGGCTAAGTTATGCAGATGACTTGCTATACAAAAATAGAGAAGCTGATAGAAATAATCTAAAAGACTGAGAAAAACATCGTTTTTGTACAACACCAACATCCTACACTACTTTGTACGAATGCCCCATTTCCACAATTCAGCAGAGTATATTTGTTATCGTGAACAAGTGTAGCGACAGACAGTGTTTAGCGAACAAATGCGGGAAATTCAGGTTACGCAACAACTCTTACTTTGGTAATATTGATAGTTAGTGGGGCTAATGAGAATTTTGTGGCCCCTAAAATTGCAGAGTCACTTGGGTTGAGGGTGGAAAAAGCGCACTAGCTAAGGTTGAGGTTAGGGGATGGGCATGTGGTAGCAACAAAGGCCAATGTTGTCAAATTCTGCTATGGATGACAACAGCTGAAATGAAGGTAGACGATCACATGTTAGACATTGGAGGGCTAGATGTGATATTAGGAGTGACATGGTTCCAAACACTGGGCAAAAACTTCGATTGGCTGGGAAAATGGGTAGAGTTAAAAGGAATACAAAATGAAGGAAATAAAGAAAGACCATACATACCATGAACCATTGCTGAGCCAAGGTCATCAGGTATCACAAAATGCAGCTTCTTATACCGCTGGTTGCTTTCTTTATCAAGGCATTTTGGATGATGAAAGGAGAAAACCTAATCAAGTGGAATCAAAACCATACAAATTCAGTAGAAAGTACTTAATTTCAATTTTCGCAAGCAGAATAGTAGAACAGCGCAAATATTAGAACAGGGGATGGATTGAAGGTCTCACCTGCTGAGTTGGTGCAATCCGGTAAACTTTGTGAATTTTCACTTCATATGGAGTGTCAAAGTATAATATATCTTTAAGCTTCTTAATCTGAAAACCATTAAAAGTTAATAAATTGAAGTACTAAATTTGTATGGATGAAGGAGCGTATAGAAAAAAATTGACAATGGAGAGAGTGAGATACATTATTATACAACTTCGAAGCTGTCAATGGTTGGAGGAAACTTGTGTACCTGAAAGTTACTGTAATAATTTAACACTAACGTTCTGTAATGACTAATGACTTCTAATTCCATGAAGCAATGACTCCTATGAGCACTCTGTTTTTGCTAACAGAACTGTACATCCAAAAATTCTACGCTCCTGATACCACCAAAATTTGTTGCCAATTTATTGACTTCAATTTATTTTCAGGCTTTTCACAAACTGGGTGCCGTGAACGAAGCAAGTGTGAGAATTATGAGTAAAGGAATCTAGAAAATGTTCAGAATAATAATTCCCAAAATGCTCCAATAACCAACTATCTAAAGCTTCATATGTAAACTCATGCACACTAGTCATTTATCTTGAATTAGCAGAACGGAAATTGATGTACCTTCATATTACAAATAGAAAACGAAAAAGTTAGCAAAATCAACAAAACCCTTTAATGACCATAAATCAATTACATATTGAGTGAAAGGAATTTACATACGAAGAAGGTATTGAAATTCCATCTTTCTTTAGAAACCTTTGAAGTCCATCAATGCACTCGGGAGAGAGCTCATTGTCACCAAAGGAACCTAGCAAATCACTAACCTAATTTTAACACCACAACAGCAATCAGACAAGACAGTATAAAGAATAAAAGTTAAACAAGTGATCAAGTATGATTGTACAAATATACCAATATGTCAGCTTTTACAGGGGCAACCCAGGAACGGGCGTTACATGTGATTACAGTGACAATATTTTCCCATGCTTCTGACTCAATTAATTCCTGTTCCAACAAATAAAATGATGTATCTATGATTATTCAAAGAATGAATCCTTTTTCAAGATTACAGTCATTATGTCTTCAGGAAAATTTTCGAAAATATATCCACGTAAACAACATAAATGATATTGGGCAGGCGTTTGTGAAAACGAAACAACAAAATAACATGAACCATTAATTCCGTTCTTGTAATTATGGACCATTAACTCCACTGAAAATGTTACATTGATCGGCGTTAAAGCAAAATTAATTTATCTTTTAGAGTAAAGATTCTTGCAATAGTATAATAAAACAAAGATGTAATAGAAATACATTAATGACAAAGATGAAGTACACTTGCAATACTGTCCAACATGTAAGCACGTAAAAATACATAGAGACATATGTAATAGAACAAAGAAGAAAAGCATCTTGAAGAATTCGTGGCAATAGGGCTGGACAAATGCTGAAACATGTAACAAAACATTCAAGCAAATATATGACAATTAAGTCTAACTTGTACTGATGCTAAAAAGAGAGCTTTTTAAAGGAGATGGAGAGCTATGAGTTACTTTTGTATTAGGCAATGTATGTGTGTGTGTAGAAAGTACGAAATTGAATACACCACTGATGATTAGTTTGGACGCCCGAAAGAAATAGGGGCAAAAAGAAAATAAAAAAAAAGAGAAAATAAACAATAAAAGAATGTTAATTTTCTCTTTTATAGGTTGGATGAAAAAATATTAAAAGAAAGTTTCTTTCATTTTACTTGATCTTTTTACTATTTTTTTAGGGAGTCCCTCCCACCTGATTTCTTTTTTTACTATTTTTTTTATCTTCAATCAAACAGTTAAAAAATTATAGTTTATACTTTCTCTGCACTCATTTTTGACCAAAACCAAAGCATACCTTCAGTGCCATAGCTACATTTGGATTGTTTTCCAAGGCATAAATTCTCAGCACCCGCCCAGTTTTTTTGGCAGCCTACGTACGTACATATGAAGATGACAAAAGTTATTCCAAGGAATATGATATTACCCAAATCCAATCCACATGTACAAAGATCACACATTTAATGATGCCCTCACAAGAGGCCCACGCCCTGCACCAGCAATAATCAATACCTAGCCAGACGAACAACAAAATAACCTTTAGATCTGCTACAAAGCTTAAAGATAACAAAAAATAATTTTAAAATGTGCCTTTTTTTTTTTACCGCGGGAATCTTAGATGCCTTTTGCTTAGGAAACCTGTCCAGCAATGCTTGACGAATTGCACTTTCGTACTACCAAAAAAAGAAAGATGGCATTCGTAAATTTTATCACGCTCTGCTTCTACACCACGCAAGAGGTAAGCATTCCAAGCTATTTCATTAAGGGTATTGGCACACCTGACTATATTTCTTATGATCTTTCTCATATTTGTCACAGACCAGGGCCTCTGAATAAATCTTAGTAGGCTGCACAAAATTTCAAAAAAGCAATACAAAAAAGTTTGTAGTGTTAAAAGTTATTTCTTTTGCATCAAAGAATAGCAACACTCTTTTCAATACTTTTTAGAGTGCTACTAACACTCAGATCAAAAAGGAAATATTGTCTTATTTATTATTAAAAAAAAACATATACAAACCCAAAAAAAAAGAAAAGCTAATTATTATTTTAAAACCACATATATTCTTGACTGGAGACATTGAAATAACAATAATTTTTCTGTCTATGTAAACAAGTCAGTGACACAAAGGAATTAAAAACGTAGTTAATAAAAATATTGAATATTCTTTATTATATTCATTAATATATATATCTATATATACGTTTTAAATATGATTTTTTATTCAAACTTTTACTTTTCTTTTTATATGTTATTCCTCATAGGTATCTTTCACAACAATGAGTTCGAATAATTAATGAGTAATAAATTTCAAATTGATTTTTAAAATTATGAGTGTCGAATAATTTAGTCATGAGTTTCACCACGAGGACTACATCTTGTCTTTAGTTCGCTGGTAGCAATCTCTTTGGTGAAATCTTAATAGTCTCAATAGCAATCATCGGTGGACCCAGCCATTTGCTGCCCCATCATACCCTTTTTTTTTATGGTGAACAAAAACTCCTAACGACAAACTTCATATGTAGATTTGAACTTTGATGTTATAAATGACTCGCTAAGAGGTATGCATCTAGGTTGAGATCCCCTCAAACTCCACCGTCTCCACTATCACCATGACTTCATCTTACCATAGGTTTATCAACAAATAAGACTTCCAGGAGAATACAAAAAAGACAATGAAGAGTGAAAAACAACAACAACAAATAGCAAAAGCTACAGTGACAAGTTCAATAACAATAATAGCTAAGAATGTTATGAGTGACAAAATAAAAGAAAATCAGCAATGATATCAACAACAGCAATAAAAATAAGTTATATTATACTGCAAATGTGAAATGACAGCATTTTAACAACTCGAATCTCATTGTCATTTAACAGAAGATATTATCACAATTATGATAAAAATCATTAGATAAATCATTATCCAATATTTACAATTTTTAGGAACTAATTGAGAGTTTATTCAATAATTAATTAATAAAAGCTTCTCGCAAATCAATTCTCATGTGTATGTCCATTCGCTCACAACCTCAACACCCTTTTTCTCCGCCGCAGGACCCCCCACATCCACAACGACATCAAGAGAAGTGGAAAGCGATGGGGGATCGGAATAGGAAACAGAGAGCAATCGTTTGAAGGTGAGACGCAGAGGAAGAATGGGAAAGGGCTAAGCGGCAGCAATGAGGTTGTTGTAGTTGGAGAGTGGGGTTCAGATTACATGATGGATTGGATTGAGAAGGAGGTGAAGAAGGAAAGGTCGAAGGGGTGGGTTCGAAAGGTGGAGAAGAAGAATAGGTAAGGTTAGCTTGAGCGAAATGGAAATGCAAAAAATACAAAACTGGAGAGATCCAGATCGGGAATGACAAGGGGAAAATACAAAACAAGGGACAGAGAATACTTACTAGCGAGGGTGGCAGTGAAATATCCCTGACACAATACTGACAAAACAGCAACGTTTGAAGGGTCAAGAAGAAGATAATTGGAGATAATGTCACAATAATATACCTTTCTATTTGACATGTGCACAGACATCAAATACCTCGAAACTTTGTGGTTCATCAAGAGGATTCATTTGTTCGCATAGGTAACCAATATGGTCCAGACAAGGCCGCAAAGGATGTGCAATTTTATCTAAAAAATAACATTACACTCAAAAACGTACATGAATTTATGTTTTAAAAAATAATTATAAATGAAACTCGTGTCCTGACTTTAGAAGAAAAATGAATAAAACAAGAAAAGAAACTTACCTGCAGCGGAATCAAGACCCTTAGTGTCTTCTGAAGTCTTATTGGGTTGAACTTGTATATCAGATATAATGATCTAGACATTCAGTATCTTTATTCAGTATCTAGATAAAATGCTAATTGGGTCGATCCACTGTCCAAATATGAATTGTAAGATTGAAAAGGCTGTGTTCCGCGGAATTAAATTGATGGAGAAGAGAGCAAAAGAAAAATGACTATTGGTATACAGAGTTCAGAGTTTGTAAAAAACTATTTTTTCTGAGAATGACATTTCTGCGATATTTTATTTATGGCTAGCATTATTTTGTCATCCAACACAGACTAGTATAAGGATTTTAGATGTATACCTGTATAGAATGGTCAATCAAATCAGAAATCAACTTCCGATGACGCGTTGAGAGACACTTAGTATTCTTATAACTACGAGCACGATTGTTGGTATAAAAGATCTTGCAAAAGTTAAATCAAAACCATCATGAACTACACAAGAATCAGCATCATGAACTGGTATAAGTGCATTATAAATCTTACTTCTGAATCTATTATAGCTGCAACGACAGGCTCCCCATACCAACGTTTATACGAGTTTCCTGGAGGCAGGGGTCGACTAATAACAAGAACAATTTTCGTGCTAGGGAAAATTAATAAAGATTTTGTGCAGCTATTGAGATATTTGAGCGATCATAGTCAAGGAACAAATGCAATATCAAGGTACATAGTGTAATAGATCAAACACGAATTCCAAAGCACTCACTAAATATCTACGGCAACCCTTAATTGACTATGGTGGTCACAGAGCTGACGAAACGAATTCCATATTTTCCAAGAATGGACCTGGAAATCAAGATTAGAAAGGTGACTGAGAATAAATTAAACCTGCTATCATTTTTTCATTTACATAAAAAACTTGAATTTTTATGACTTCAGAATCAACCCCTCAATACTCCGATACTCAACAATGTTATATGAAAATTGAAAATGAACATAAAAAAAATAACATAAACACCGTATGAATCTCGCGTGTATTGTCAAGATGAATATCAGACCAAAAACTCACTGGTCACTATTCGGTAGCTTTGACTTTACAACAGCGAGGGTTGTTTCAGTCAGAACTCAGAAGAGTGTCGTTTCATGAAGAGTATCAGATAATTACGAAACTAGCTTGAAATTCACATTTGAGAAGAAAAGTGCATGTGCAATTTTCAGGGGCGGGCGGGTTGGGAGGTATTGTTACTTTATATTGATTTTAGCACTCTTACCCAAGTAGGGGAGCTTGCTGTACAGCCATCATCAGCCATCCCAAATGGAATCCTAAGCCACAACTTCATTGGAGAGTTACAGAATCAGAAACAAGTATAAGAATGTTTAAATGACATTCATGGAGGACAAGCGTTCAGTCATAAAACAGAACTTAAAGTGTCACCTCCATGTTGCTCTCTAGGCCCTGTAATATTTGTTTCACACACCTAGCATAGTTAACACAGGAAGTTCCCTTAGGTGTTGGAAGAAGGCAACCCTGCAGCGCACTATGAAATCAGAAAAACCATGTGCAGTTTACAATAAATAAAATATTTCTTTTTGTTGGCGACTACTGATCAGAGTATGAGATAATAATGTAGTCTAATAACAAACATGATGCGACTTTATATATAAAACCAAACAGCATGCTCTTGGTGGAAAAGTTTACAACAGCAATATATGTATCTTCACTAGAGAAGCGGAAAGTATATGAGTCAGATGTCAGTGGTTAAAAATACGATGAGGATAACTCACGGGGATTATCGAGTGAAAGAATGTATTCACACAAATTTATCAGTTATCGTTCCTTCAATAGATTGGTAGCTTATGCCCAAAATAAATTTCCTAACCAATAATCAACTCCTAAATCCAATGCTTTCAGCCTAGGAAATTTAAAATCAAGCAATAAAAATGTGTAAAATAAACAGCAGTTTCAAACTGAACGAATACACGTGTAAAATTACTCATTTCAACAACTAAAACCAATGAGAGGAATAAAGATCTCATTTGCTACTACTTTGGTGATATCAAAGAGCACCTGTAAAGAGAGATAAGAGGCCCAATATATTTCTTGTTTGAGACTAGCTTCAGAATCTACCCTGAGGCTTTCATTCTCTGAATCCAAGTCTATCCATGAGCTAATTTTTCCTGAAGACGTGTAATAAATCATATGAGAAGCTTAACACAGCTGCAAATCGGGCAAGATTATCAAAAGAGAATAGAATATTCACAATCAAAAGAATATAACAAACACGAAAGAACAAAAAATTAGGGTCATCATGTAGTTAACAAATTCAACAATCAGCATGTATGAAGGTCTTACATTCTTTAGAAAACTAAATGTATTCATAAACGGAGGTTATTCAAGAATTGAACAGAGATAGTAATTATTTAACAATTTTTTCAAAATACAAACGTCACAAGTTTCATGTGTGTGAATAATTAACTATCACGAATGGCTAAAATGTAAAAAACATAACCCAACCAATCAACATAACAATGCTCTCCATTCCAACCACTAACCGTAGAGGCCACGGGACCAAAGATAAGAATAGAAATTGGAATCCACTCCGTCCCATTAAATTTGACCGCAGTTTATTGGTTATTTCCGAATAACCGATAAACTGCTGTCATTTCAGTGCAAAATTTGATACTCGATTTGAGCACAACGCCTATTTTTTTGTTGCGCCCCAATTTTTCATCATGCAAATATCCAAATTCATGACAAGAAAAAGGCATCAGGTTCCGCACCACAAAAAAAAAATAAAAAAATCATCCAGTCACCCTTACCTATTATATGTTTATGCCATTCTTCTGGGTTCACGCTGAAGTCTGACGAACCATACGGCAGAAGCCGCATTGCCACAACATCAGGTAGCGACTGTGCTACACTTGGCCGATAATCACAATGTACCTGAATCGCTAAACAACACCATTTACACTAAAAAAATAAAAGGATCCTTTCCTAACAAATTGCATTTATTTTCCAAAAATTTATACATTGTTCATGAAAATTTTCACCTATTGAAAAAATGTAGTCTTCAAGATTGAAAAAGCATCGCAAGAAATAACGAGTTATTTTTCTTCAAACAACTTAAGCCTAAATTTTACTCTATTGTTATCGTAACAGAGTTCGACGTGTCCAAATCCTACGAGCAAAAACATTCTTCAAAGAAAATGGTTAGAAATGTAGTTAAATGCATATTCTACGACGATTCCATTGACTAAACCTTGAATTTCTCGAATTAAATATGAAGAAAAAAGAGGTTGAAAAGACGAACCAGAGGAGTGAGAACGAAACTGAAGCCTCCAACATCAAGATTATAGTCGAGGGCTTTTTGCAAGTTGTACGTGAACTCCGTCTCTACACCTACACTAGGTGGATTCCATGGACGAATTCCGTGGTTTTTGCTCGCTTGAGACATTTTCGCCAACATTCACTTTCACTGTTTCAGTTACCAGAAGAACAAGAAGAACAGATGAAGAGCAAAAAGAGAGAACTCAGAAAGAAGAGCATAGAAGAAAGATTGATAGAGAGAGAGAAGATGAGTGCATATGAAATAGCAAAAGAGCACTGTTACTAATATATATACACTTCTACGATACTCAACAGCAATTATATTCGGTTATAACAGTTTCAACTAACCTGAATCAGTTGCCAGATTTCAAAATCCTTTTCATGCTCCACTCGTGCTGGATTCAAGTCAAACCGCCAATTCCAGTCTGTTGACTCTATGATCCCTTCTTTTAAAAAACAAATACAAACATAAACATTATTTACAGAATTTAAAATAACAAAATTGTCTAAGAAAATATAACATTAATGTTGTTAATATATTCCTATTGTAGTTTTTAATACAAAATTTCTTAACTAATACCTTCAAAACATTCTATAGTAATGCTAACAGTACATGTATTTAACTTGAATCCCTTTGTATGTTTTTATCCATGTATATAAAATGCTGACAATATATTTACAAACTCTTTTTAACATGAAATTTTTTTAACTTAAGTCTTAGGATTAAATTTAAGCAATTAATATAATAAAATAATATTAAAAAATATTTATTACATTTTAACATTTTCAATATAATAAATATATTTTTAATAAAAAAACTATTTTATATGATTAAACTCAATCTAAAGATTAAGATGAACTAAACCCTTTTAATATATTCTTAAGAAATGTTTGAAAAAAGTTGAAGAAAAAAAACAATTTTTTATTTTTAAATAATAAAGTTATACGTCATGCAAATCAATAAATAAATAATTATTTATTTCTTCTATTTTTTAATAATAAATAAATATATAAGTTTTTAAGACCAATATAAAGTAATTATATATCATCAATTTATAATATATTTAAAAAATACTTATAATAATTTAGTAATCATACATTAAATGAATGAATATATTTACTTATATGACTAACCAGTGAAAGATTTTATGATGTAAATCTTTCAATAAATAAATATAAAAAAATTAGTAATTAAAACATCTAAAAATAGTCTATTTCTTATAAATAAAATTAAAAAAGATATATTAAATTTATATTAATCTATTATTTTTAAATATAGTTCTCTAAAATACGCTACCTTTATATCACTGTAATACGCTTAATCACTGTGTTTGTCGCCCCCTCCTTTCAGCTAAACCAAATATGCATGTCTGTATAATATTTGTGTGGTATCTTCTGGATTAAAGTTAATTTCAATATAATTATCGTAGTAAGCTGAAAAAAACACTAGAATAGAATATCCATCATTATTAGCCTACAGAATAAGAGTACCAGAACTTCAGTTCCAGTGATTGTCGTAGGTAAACCCAGTCGCTGAAAACTATAAACATTTCAGGAGGCAAAAAAATATCCACGCCATCACAAGGTAGTCAAGAAATAAAAATGTTCAAAATCAAGGAATAAAAGAAGAGAAATTCATTGACAAGGAATCCTCTTGATAAACAGCTATATGTTACTGCAGTACTGCTTAGAGAACAAGCAATAAAATTATGTACATTCAAATAATTGTTCAGCGTGATTAAAAGGAAATTACAGAAGTACATGAGTAACATTTATTTTCTACTTTGAGTAACACATTTCATGCACTTCTCTTCACTCCTACATCAACATCATAAGCATCAGAGGAAGCTTTACCAAATTCACCATTATCACCTTCTTCTTCGAAAAAGTCCTCCCGAGCATTGTCAGCTAACATAAGAGCAATCAACCAAAGGAGAGATGAATCAAGGGATAAAAAGGCACCACCTCCCAGGAGACCAGTTTTAGCTGTAGGACATTCATAGTTGATATCACGATGTACATTGTTAGTTATGTGAAGCTGTTGGGTAATCGTTGGCCATAACAGCATAGCTGCAGCTAATCCAGTGATAAACCTTTGCACAGAACAAAAGTCATTCATCAGAAATCAGAACAATGTAGCAGAGATCAATACGAAACTCAATTTGACAGTAATACTAATAATAAGTGTTTTGCATTTCAATCAACTAAATGTAAGGCCCATTTAAATGCAAAATCACATTAACCAGTAGAGGCTGAAAAATTATAAAGCCAAGTCACACTATCTACGGCACATAGAAGAAGCATGTTAAATTGTTACTGGACTTGCTCATATAAAAATTGGAACAGCTACAGCCTTTCAAAATGGAGAACAAAGATCCAGATATTTAATATCAAAGAAAATTACAAGAATCAATTCCTAAGACAATCAATATCTATTTGCCACAAACAAGGAAAAGGAATAATAAAATAATTAATCATAAGAATTGGATAATAGTATAAGGAAGGAACAGTACTTACAATGCAATGTTGAAGAACAACGTGAAAGTGGAGTGTTTAAACAGAACCCCTTGTGGAACAGACTTTCCTTTGTAAGGATAAAACAGAGACAGGTACCCAGCCACGGTGGATGCAACAAGAAATGCTACAGAAAGATACCCCAACACAACAGTTGGATCAGATGGGTACTTGCAGGTGACAGAGACACCATCTCCACCACGCACAGGTGTTCCAGCTGCAGGCTGTAAAAATGAAAATATATTTATGTCTTTTGTATGTGTGTGCATGCACACATTTGTGGAATCAATGCACCAGCCAACGCATAACATGTAAGACAATCAATTTTGTTATCCTCATTTTTCCTTACATTCATTCTCCACAGTCCTTTTTATCTCTCTCTCTCTGCCTCTTTTATAATGTCACCAATCACTTCTCTTACTTTCTTCTTTTTGTTTTTCCTTTTCTTTCATGTCTCTCTCTTTCCTCCACCCACCTCACACCCAAAACAAAGATGTCAAGATATAATTATTCATCAACAACAAGCTTCAAAAAGAAACCATATTGAACGTATTAAAGAACAAACATAATTTATACAACAGACACAAGAAGTTGACAAATGTGCATCATGTGATATAATGAATTCATTAGATTATCTCGTATATGAAATACACTATTTTCAATTCTTATCCTTAATGCAATTGAGAGGCCAAAATGTGGAGTGTGGTTGGATTCTTCAACGGGCATAAATTCTTATTTAATTTCAGGCTTGAACCGATATGAATTTTTATGTAATTCCAAGCTGCTAGATATAGTTTCTACAGAAATTTTAATGGGTAGATAAACACATAATGCAAATAAAAATTACTTCCCACCTTATCAAACAAGCACAACCTTATCCAAAAGCAGGAATATAACAATTTTCAAATGCACATCTCATCCTTCAAATTGGAATGATTATTACAAATTGTGATTTAGGATTCCTCATGTTAGGCTAATTACCTTCTTGTTTTCAGCAACAACGCCCAAAATGAAAGACACAACGCCGAACGCTGATACAATCAAAGCCATTTGTTTCAGCGTGGCAGCCATAGTGCCCTGCAAGACGCGAATTCAGACAATAATAACGAGCAGAGGAAAAAACGTTTTTCTTTATTTTAATTTATGAAACAAACAGAGAATGGAATTAAAAATGACGTGCCTGAAGGAGATCTCTGAATCACTTCAAAGATACAAACGTTGAGCACGGAATTCAAGATCCCCTGTCTCAGACACACATATAAGTGGGCGATACAAAGAGCGAGGAATTCGCGTGCGACAACCTTTGTTCGGTGGCAGCGGTCACCCCAATAAGTCAATTTGTTTCAAATATAAAATTCATGTATTTGGATAAGAATAGCGGTTAAATTCATCGTTTTTTTTTATCCTTTTCCTCGAGACACTAGTATTTTACAGCTGTTGATCATGAATCGTCATTTACAATTGTTAAAACTCTTACCTTTTGCTTTTAATTATGGAGTATTTTTTTAATATATTAATAATTTTATTTATTTATTACATTTTTGTTCCTCATAGTCCGTGTGTGATTTTGATCTTTATTGTTTTCTTCTTGATGTTTACATTTAATTATCATAATATTAATATATTGTTAATAAAAAAAGATACTATATTATATGTGTAAATTTAATTTTAAGATTTGAAATTAAAAGTTTACTTTTTTAGTTGATAAAATTAAGTCTTCAACACATATTTGGTTAATAAAAATATGATTTATTTAAAAAGATAAAGGAAAAACATAAAAGAAATATTTAAATAAAAATAAAAATATTTTCATTATTTATTATTGTTGTTATACATTTTTCTTTTATTGATTCAAACAATTAGTGTTATGTCATACTTTATTATATTTTTATTAGGCATTATTATATAAAATATGATATGATAGACTTAATTTTAATATAAAAAAATAAAACATTGAATATGAACATCTAAAAGTAAGAGAACTAAAAATTATACATAAGTTAAAATATTAAAAAATTAAAATACGAACAATAAAATATACACATATAATTATCAAATATTTTAACTAATTTATAAACAATAATCTATATACACCTTACAACACTCTAAAATAAGAGTATAAAAAAAGTTAAATATAGATTTAAAATATTTTTAATTGATGTAATTTGTTACAAAAAATATATAACACTTATTTTTCTCTTTCTTTACAATCTTGAGCCATGTGAGCGTTTTAAAATACTTCATTTCAACCAACTTCAACAATATGCTTCTATTAAAAGGGGAGTATCCCTAATGAAAAAGACTTATACTTGAGAGAAAGATTGTTGAGCTAAGAAGTATGAGTGAAATAGTCATAAATTGGATACAAATGAGAAGTTGAGCAATATATAAGTGACATGAGCTTATAATCTAATGCCTTAATATTTTAAGATCGGATGGGGAATTCAAGTTTGTTTATATGATTTACTCATGGTCTGTTGAAAGATATCATATTCGTGTTTTAGCCCCCTTATATGTCATGACAAGTGATATCAAAGCAAAAGATACATCTAAGTGGTTAGCTGAAGACATGTGTAAGGAATTACTGGTGAATTCATGCGAAAGAATCATTATTTTAAAAGTCTTCCCAATAATGTGAAGGTTATTCATGTTAGGAGATTATCATATGAAAGCATTCCTAACAATGTTGAGATTGGGTGACATGTCTAGTTGATGAGAGCTAATTATGATTAACGACGATGGTTGAAGGATGGTATGCACTTTAGATAACTAAAGAGGAGAGTCTTTGATTCTAATATAGATGTTGTAGGTCTAACAATTACTGAATAAGAAGCATGAGAAAAGAAACTAGTAGAAATGTGAAATAATTTTACTATAAAAAAAATTTTTTTGATTGTTAATGATTTAGGAGAATTTTAACGTAAGTAAAGAATTATTAAGATGTTTTGAATTTATATATAACCTAGTTTTTCTATCGTCTCTTGAAGTCATTATTACTTTAATGGATTATAATGATGAATTACAAGTTGTTATAGTGAGTTATCAGTCATTATGCATATGAAATTTAAAAGCAAAAAAGACATTTTTTTTTATCAAGTAGATAGTACATTATATTCACGTATTAAAGTAATAAAAATTTCTCAATATGTCTGTAGACATAGTATATTAATTGAACCATGTTAATATATTTATATTTCTGCTTCTTCCTATTATCTTTTTTCATTTGTGTCATAACAAGTTCAAACTCTACGTATATATGTAGATAAAAAATTAAATCAATAATGTTGAATGAATAAATTGTACATTTTCTAATAGTTATTATGTAATCTTTGACTTTATTAAAAAAATTAAAAGGAAAAAATCATTAACAACAAACAAAGCCTTCATTTATTTTAGCTTCATGGACCCACTTTGATTGTTATTAAGTTCTAAAATGACACTGTATAAAACTACAAAAATGAATAATGATGGTTTGATATGAAAGGAAGGAGTATAAAACGGTGCTTTCATGGTAAACTTGACAATGGTATGATGATTAGTAACATAGGAAGATGGAGTTTTAAAATTACACCATTAGTGGTTGGAGAAAGCTGTCATAAGTTTAATTTTAATGATGAAAGATGATGCTAAATAAAGATTGGTAGTAAGAATAACAAGCAACTCTAAGTTAGAAGGAGATGAAATTGAGAAAAAGCAAAAATAAACTATCATAATTAAGGTTATTTTAAAAAAAATGAAAACAAAAACTAAATAGTGTGAAAAAAAAAGAAAAAATAATGCAAAAAAGTAACCTTCATAAATGAAAAGACTAATGTCGTTAAAAAAAAAGTAAAATAAAGAAATTATTCTCCATACTGTTCAAGTATCATATCCACCTAGTATAACACTTAAATTGCAGTGTTATGCGCCTATGATTTCCATTGTTTTCAATGCATCCTAACTTCATTAACTTACAAAGTGTTGGGAATAATTACATATGCCAAACACCCAACTTTATCATGTACTCCATTTCAATTATAGTAAGAAAGTGTTATTTTCTTACTTTATCCTATATACATTATTTTGATATAATAGTTTATTTAATAAAGATCCTTATTAAATTAAAGATTTCTTATCATAATAGAAATTATGAAAATAAGAAATATATCTCTTACAATTTAATTTAAATTATTCTTAATCACAAGATTATTATAAATAAGACATTAATAATCTAGACAGATCAATATATATGTGATAGTATTTATTAGATGAATATTAATATATCTCATTTTTTAATTTACATATATAAATGACGCATATATGAATGTGGTCATTGAATTGACTTAAGCCTATAATTTTTTATGGTTAATATTATCTTATATTATCAATAGAAAATTCTCTAAAAAAATATAAAATTTTCTTTGATATGAGATTATTATAGTAATCAATAAGTCATTTATTATATTTTAATTTTAGACATCTATTGCTTTAGAGGACTAGTTGAATAGATATTAAATATAATTAAATACTTGTAGGATTAATGATAATTTAAAAAGGAATCCATTAACAGGTAATGAGTTTTAAGTAAAATATATTATTTCATATTATCTAGACATTGAGGAGTACTTCTAGACACCAACTTTGATTAGTAAATTAATGATTATTAATTTATTAACAACTTAGTATTAAACTTACAAGGTCATACACTAACGAGTTTTCTAATATGTACAAAAAAAAATTATTATTTGATTATTAAGATTATGGAATCTATTTTGTCAAATAGATAATATTTCTTTTATAAATGATATTATTATATTTTTTGCTACCACCAAGAATATTAATAATAAGACAACAACATAATATATAATTTGTTGTTTGAGAACAAATAAAAAATTCAATTGTTGAAAGTGCAGAGTTGTCAGTTCAATCAATTGACTTAGTCAATGTATCAACATGTACCAACAAGATGAGGAAACACAAACCGAAGGTTATAGAATGGTAGAGCAAATATATTAGGTTATCGTCAAGAGTTGGTAAAAATGGTCACCAATAGTTGGTTACAGGTATATTACTATGCATTTTAAACAAAATGCTACATTTTACTATTAAAAAAACATAAAGGGATGGATAAAGTCCTTTCCTCTCTCTCTACTGGTCATTGTTTCGCAATCAAAGAGTTTTGAGCAAGAGAAGGAGTTGACACAAGAGAATTAGTTTATTGAAGAAATTTTACTACTCGAGAGAGATCAACATGTACGCATTTTAAAGTTTTTCATTTGATCTAGTATATTTTGGTATAAAATAAATCATACTTTTTTCATGTTGATGTTACGAACACCTATTTTTTACCATACAAATTTCTTGTAGTCCTGTAATCATAAGGAATCATCTTTTCAATTCATATAGGACAATAAATTCATATTGAAATATTAAAGATGCTGATATAACTATTAACTTCTTTATTTTTACTTTCAACAACGTCTTTAATCATATCAATTGCCTTTGTTATAAGTCTCTCTCTTGTTATTCTTATCTGAAATTATAATGTTGTTAGTCAAATATTTTGTGAAGCAAGAGGAAAAAAAATGCATAAATAATTCTAATCACAGTATCCTTTCTTCACATTCATCAAATGGAATAAATTTTCCATGTTAATCACAAAATATGTAGCTATTTTACAATTCTACTTTGTTAAAGGATCTCCCCAAGAACATTGAGAGGAAGATCATCTGAACTGACCACATCTTTCACAGAGCTCACACCTTTCAGAGAGCTCAAGTAACAACGAAACTGCAAAATAAATAAATAAATAAAATAAAATAAAAATAAAAGCAAATGGATCTTGAAGAAGGGATAAAAAAACATTAAGAATACACAGGATCCAACTTATGTCATGTGTGCTTTCAATACTCCTTGCTCTTTCTTTCTCTGGTAGATGAGAAAATCGACTAAAAGAAGAGTCAAAAAGACGAGTATAAAGCACATATAACACTTATAGCATATGTTCTTTATTTTAGGGTTCATTACTTCTTCCTTAAAGAGGTATCATTCCTCAAACATAAAAAATATTTTTAAACTCAATCTCGTCCTGCACAAGTCATAACTGCCAAAGAGAATCGTGAGAGCCAAAATCATCGCTATACCTATCCAGTAAAGTGAGTATATGCAAGTGATTCTAAAAATTCATCGAAAGTCTTCTCGTAGGATTCATTGTAGATGTACTCTCCTTTTAGACTTTCTTTGAAAAAGAACAAAGTTGAAGCAGAAAAAGAGACACATAACTAAATAATAAGCAAAGGGGAGTGCATTAGCATCATCCCAACACCGTGGGAGTATATGTAGCTCCAACTCACCAATATTGACTTCATTTCATTGTGTAATTCTCAGTCCAAGTACTTCTCAGCTTTAGTTTCTTACACTTTCTTATTCTCACCCCGATAACAAAAGCAGAAACAAGTATCAAAGTTGAAGAAAAACACAACGCTCATTCAGAATTAACATTCTAGTTACCTCTGGTTAGTCTACCTGCCATGCACCCTTCCCCTCTTAATTCTCGCTTAAATTTCTAATTTACTTCACCCACCCTAATCCTATAACTCTTACCCTTAAGAAAGGTGCAATCACATAAAACTTAATCACATTAAATTTACCTGCCATGCAATTGACTTTAAAATCTTTTATTTGCTTGGGGCCTGAAACACTAGTTTATTTCATCGTGTAGCCGACCTTCACCCTTCCTCATATTTATCCCTTGCATTGCCATTTAACCACGTGTGTAACAAAAGGAAAATGTTACTTGCCTTGCTATTCAATCACCACGTGTAAACCCTTCAAAATTCAGAATTCCAAAGTGAATGTTTCACGTAACTTATCGTATGATCCTACGTTAGTGTTAGGAATAATGTCCTGTTACTTTTTACGACTTGCATGTTCTGTGTTGAATAAAACGTTGCTTGTTTGACTTATTAGACAGAGTCACAGGAGAATGTTAATATAAATATATATACAATTTTGACACACATGAAATTCATCACATGTTTTCTGTTCTCTCACATTTGCGACAAAACTACTTTACCATGAAATTATGTTTTAAACAGATGGAAAGTAACCAGTGATGATACAGCAGAAAAATCTTGGTCCTTTTTAAGATCAGGAAATTATTACAGGTGCTGCACCACCAAATTAATATTGTAAAAAAGATGAGTCAATACTGTTTGCACTGTCACCAGTATCATAGAAAGCCACCCAGAACTGGGAAGAGAAATTTAAATTTTAAAATGCATTTTAGGTAAGACTTCACGTAAAAAGTATCACACAATCAATTAAAGATTCATTATCAGAAAATCAGTGGAGGCAGAGTGAACATGAAATAATGCCATTTTTCTTATTTGAAGTGGTCATATTGTTTCATCAATGTCAAGCACCAAGAAGATGGACAAGTCTTAAAGAAGGCCAAGATATGTTATTAAAATCAACCCTATAAACATGAACAAGCTAATTTTATGATTTTGATACAAGCTCAAGGTGATATATGGTACGAAGACATCCAAAATGATTTCAACGGAATCTATTATTTATGTTCTCTGTTCAAGATTTGAGATAGAATTTCAATTCCATGGTAATCAATTTTCTTTAAAATGAAGGAAACTAACACTAAGCTTGAAACCAAGTTCATCATCAAGCTGCCTACACCTTCATCTTCGCCATCACAATAACAAGGTTGATGTTGTTGCTCTTTATGTCATTTTTATCCACGTTATTACAATACTGTTTAGTCTTTCCATTTATTTTTGTTGGCTTTATTTTAATATTTACCCTTATATTTTAATCATGCTTACTCCAGTTTTACAGTAAACAATTAAAGTTTCTTTTACATTTACTTCCAAATTTTATTTGTTAAGTTTTATACTGGCTGATTGTTGTCCTAATTTATACTAAACAATTAAATATAATAATGTAATTTTATCATGCTTAATTCCAAATTTATTTATTAATTTTATACTCACCAATGATGTGATTTTTATGCTTAATTAAATATAACAAAAATATATATTATAAAAAAGAAAAAAAAACATTTTTAAAGCACAAAAAAATGTCATCTTAAGTATTGAAAATTTTTTCACCACTAAAAATATCTTTTGAATTATAAAAATTTATATTTTTTAAACAAAAAAAAGACTTACCATCTTTTGGATCTATCTGGCTTCTGCCACTAAGAACCGTTGTGAACGAATATTTTACCTCATATTTTGGTATTCAAGTTTTCTTCATACAAAAGAAAAGACTCGTTTTGGACTTATTTAGTTTTTTAAATGTTTTTAATAACTAATTACTAAAATAATTTAAAAATTAAAATACTTTTTTACTTGAGATTTTTGAGACCCAACTTATTTTCTTTTATTTTTTCAATTAATTTTTACTTATAAAAATACGATATTTTATTTATTTTATTTTTTTTAATTAAATTTGATGGAGGGACGTTTTGCGTAGGAACAAGAGAAGTGGATTGACAGGATTAGGGTTGCCCGATGGATCTGAAAAATTAAATCAAAACCCTCCCTCTTAAACCCTAACTCTTCTCAGACTATAAAAGCCCCCCCAAAACCCCTCCTTTTTCGCTGCAATTCATCTCGTCGCCGTTTTCGCACTCTGCTCTCGAAGATGGCTCCTCCTCAAGGTCGTGGTGGTGGCGGTGGAGGGTTCAGAGGTAGGGGTGATAGAGGGAGAGGAAGAGGTGGAGGAGGAAGAGGAGGAGATAGAGGTGGCACACCGTTCAAAGCACGTGGTGGTGGCCGAGGAGGAAGTAGAGGTGGTGGCCGTGGAGGAGGAAGAGGTGGTGGCCGTGGCGGTGGCAGGGGCGGAATGAAGGGAGGGAGCAAGGTTGTTGTTGAGCCTCACAGACATGAAGGTATTTTCATTGCTAAGGGTAAAGAAGATGCTCTTGTAACTAAGAATCTTGTCCCTGGTGAAGCTGTTTACAATGAGAAAAGGATTACTGTGCAGGTTCTCATCTTTCTGATTTTTTAAAAGTTCTCTGATTTTTAGTGATTTATTTTTTTATTAAATAGGAAAAAGGTTTGTATGTTGTATAAATTAAGGATGGTTGTGTTGTTGGTGACATGTGAATGTTTGTATTTTTTAGAATGAGGATGGTACCAAAGAAGAGTATAGGGTTTGGAACCCTTTCCGTTCAAAGTTGGCTGCTGCTATCCTTGGTGGGGTTGACAACATATGGATTGTAAGAAGTTTCCCTGATAAACGCGCTGTGTTTTGTCATTGTGCTTTCAAATACACTATTCTGACATTTTGTTTATTGTTTTACTTATAAAGAAACCTGGAGCGCGGGTTCTTTACCTAGGAGCTGCTTCTGGAACAACTGTTTCCCATGTATCGGACGTTGTTGGCCCAGTAGGTCAAGTTCAAAATTGCAAGATCTTTGCATGTGTTGTTTAAAAAGGCTGATTAGAGTATTTATTGCTTTATAGACTGGAGTTGTATATGCGGTAGAATTTTCCCATAGAAGTGGACGTGACTTGGTCAATATGGCAAAGAAGCGGACTAATGTCATACCCATTATTGAAGATGCTAGACATCCAGCTAAGTACAGAATGTTGGTTGGCATGGTAGATGTGATATTTTCTGATGTTGCCCAACCCGATCAGGTGTAAATTTCTTACGATACTCTTGAGGGTGGTTCTATCCTTGTTACAGTTACAGCACATTTATTATTAGTGTTATATAAAGTCGATGTTTTTCAGTCTTTATTGCCATATAGTCATTGTTTTCATTTTTACTATTCATTACAGAGTGGTTCAATATGGGATAATCAGTGCATATGATGAGTTATACTCGGATTCCCCTTCAAGACATTTTGGATGATGTAGACCCGAGTTTCTGATGCACTTCAATTTCTTTAATTTGTTTTTGTATATAATGTCTGATTATTTTAATTTTAATTCAGTGATTGGCGGTTTATTTTTCTTTGATCATTGCATGTATACCTGTTTGATACCTATAATTACTGAATTTTTAATTTACTGTTATTTTAATAAATTGGTATTGGTGTATTTACTGTTTGGTCTGTTTGTTTTCAATTTTGTGGAATTCTTACTTGTTTATACTTTTAATAGAAATGAATTCTATTGGAAAATCAAGTTAGTGTATTGATCAGTTTTTCTTCTATGATTTTTGTGTGACCATTGCAGGCAAGGATTTTGGGGTTGAATGCTTCATATTATCTCAAAGCTGGGGGTCATTTTGTCATTTCAATTAAGGTTTGTTCAGAAATTTATTCACGTTTTTGTTAGAAATTGGGTGGTGCGACTTATCATAATAAGGGCCAAGTGTGGAGAACATTGTGGAAAGGGTGACCCTGTGTTGTGTCAAGTCTTTCCCCTTACTTTTTAACATTGTGAACAAATTTTCATGACAATTTTAAATTTATGTTATGGTTCTTTGGTTGGTAGATTGCAAGTCAAGTTGTAAAGTGGTGGGTTGTGTCTTAAGTTATTTGCTGATGGTATTAAATCATGCTATTTGCTGATGGTATTAAATCATGCTCACTCAGATCATTTCTGTATGTTAGGCTAATTGCATTGACTCCACCGTCCCTGCTGAGTCCGTGTTTGCTAGTGAAGTCAACAAGCTGAAGGCAGACCAATTTAAGCCTTCGGAACAAGTCACTCTTGAACCATTTGAGAGGGACCATGCCTGTGTTGTTGGTGGATACAGAATGCCCAAGAAGAAAAAAGATGCCGAGTAGATTGCTTTTTACAATGTCATTTCAATATTTTATTTTACTCTATTTTGCCTAGTTCTGATGAGTTTAATGTACCTCTGAAACACTTTCTTATTAAGAAGTATTATTTTTATGATTCCCTTATGAAGAATGGGTTTATTACTTCTTTTCTAACATTAATTTGCATTTTAATGAGCTAATCTCCCTTTGACCAAAAAAGAAATAAGCAAATTTGCGTAACTTCCTATCCAAACTGAACCAAATCTTAGGGGATGTGTCTATCCTAGCCTTGTTATTGTTATGTGATTGATTGATTTATTATTAAGAAAAAAGAAAAGATTTACCATTTTCTGTATCTAACTAGTTTCTGCCATTTGTAAGCAAATATATTATTTTAAATTCTCATGTTTTGGTATTTAAGTTTTTTTTCATATGAAAGAAAAAGAGCCTATTTCGGACTTATTTAGGTTTTTTTATGTTTTTAATAACTAATTACTAAAATAATTTAAAAATTAAAAATTTTTTATTTGAAATTTTTTTTGCCACGACTTATTTTCTTTCATTTTTTAATTAAATTTTTTTACAAAAGATATTAAATTTTATTTTATTTTATTTTTTAATTAAATTTCATTAAAAAATTTAATTTCTGTTAAATTTATCTAAATTAAAGATGAAAGTTATTTTTTAAAAGAATTTATTTTAGGGAGTGTTGTAACAAGAAGGGTCCTAAAAGAAGAAAAGGAAGAGTGGCAGTGCTAAGAGAACTCTCACATCTATCTCTCTCCTCACCTCAGTCTCCATATTTAACCTCATCCATTTCCAACTTTCTTTTTTCCTCTCACCCGCATACTTACCTCTGATCTTTTTTCCTATACTTGTTTCTCTTCATCCCTGTCCATCTCCGGCCTCCTCTTCACCACATTTAGCCTCCTTCTCTCTCATAAGAAATATACAAAATTCACTTAAACAAATTTAAGTTAAAAAAATGACATTTTTTTCATTTTGCTTAAAAGTAAGAATAAAAATAAATCTCCAATTTCCATTGTAAGATCTCAACAGTTGAGAATTTCTTCAAATTTGCTGTGAAAGCATTTCTAAATAAGATATAGGGTCATCTACAAATAAAATAATGTAAGTGCAAGAATAAATATCATATAACATTCACTTAACATTTTATAAAAAAAATTAATTTAATACTCAAAATCCATAAAAAAATAATATTTTCTACATTTGATAATGAAAATTTATTAGATTGGTGTTATAAAAAGATTAGAATTTTTTATCAACAAAATAACTTTCGTTAGTAATTATAACAATCGTCTTATCAATTTGGAGAAAAGATATTCTAAGTCCTACCTCCCCGTCCCCATCCAATTCCCCAGAAAATGATTTTTGACGTCACTTCATATGTTCACTCCAAAATTCAAAAGATGCAAATTCGGTGAAAGATAAGACATAAAAGGTTCAGAGGAAAACAGGACTCATAATAAATGACATATATTAAAGATAATAAGATGTCTAATGATGGTACTTTTGTCCTCTTAGAATGGTCCACGACCTACAAATCACAAATTGCAAAGCGTGTCAGCCACCTAAAAATAATAGTCTCAAGAACATCAACATTTACAAAATGGGAAAATCCCATTCAATTGTAATTTCAAAATTCATCATTCAGTACATGTGAAAAGAAAAGTTATTAGTCAGTGGATTGGGGCCCTTCTGAATTGGTTTATTTGATTCAAAAGCCCAAAATTGGCAATGTAAAAAGGGTTAAAATGTCGGCTTTCATGAAAAGATAAATAGTTGTGTTTACAGTTCTAAGATTTCCTCAGAAACCGAAAGCTACCTTCTCTAAAAGTGGGTTTTTTTGTTCCCCCAAAGTTTTTCTTTTCAATTAAAAAATAAGCTAGCAGGTCATCAATAAGCAACCAGTGCGTTTTCAGACTAGAAATCATGAAAATTATAGAATACAAGTATACAACATTTAAGAGATTCAAATATTGCTACCTGTAAAGTTGTTCCATGAGCACAAGTAATGCTATTTGATGATTTAAGACCAGTGAAGATAACTTGACCGATAGGTTGGCACGTTCCCGCATTTTTCTTCCATGACCATAGGGCCCACCGATACAAAATGATAATCGTGAAACGCCCTGTGAGAAAGCAAACATTAATATATTTTTTTAATTTAAAATGGAATTTTATTCATAGGTATTTTTCTATTAGAAAGAACAGAAGAGTTATGACGTGAATGCAACAAGCAAGGGAATGGACATTAATGTTATTTTCAAATCAAAAGAAACAGATAATCGCACCGACAGATAGACTCTGGAAAGCAGAAATCAAACAATGCAGTAAACAAGTAAAATATATCGTTGCACATAGGTGAAATTGTCATAATTTATAAGCTGCAAAGCAAAGTCTCACTGAGGTGACAAAAATCCATTCCTTACAAAAATAGAGATACTAAATCTGCTTAATTTTGAGATGTATCTAATACTAAATATGATTAAAATACAAACTTGCATAACAGGAAAGAAATCACGCTTCAGGATTTCAAAACCGAGAACCTATTTTGGCCTGCTTGAGAGATAGATGGTTTTTTCTTTTTTCAAGTTACAAGACAAAGGCAAGTTACGAAACTGCTGCAGCCTGGGAGTTTACATAAACTAAAAGTAGATTTGATGTCATCATTCTGGTGGTTGTTAGAAATTGTTTAGTGATAATCTATGTCAATGTACTATAGACTAAGCTCGTGAAAGATAGAAATACACAAAATGACTGATATAAGAACCAAAAAGAGTGAGAAATATGGATGATATTATTTTACTACCACAAAATCTGAACAGAAATGACGTATTCAATCTCAATTTAGACAGGATATCAAGGATCTGTTAGATGGTTGACAACTTATGATGCTTTCTTTCATCATAGTGCCAACAAGCATACTCAATACTTATTATATTATGCCCATACTTGAAGAATTTCCATATAGGGAAGATATCATTTATAATATGTTCTTACAGTATTTCCAGCATCACCCACCAACTCCGCCATTTGCTCAGATCCTATGTCTTGTCCACGTTCATCCAACATTACAACCTATAAGTGCAGGTACATGACAGAGAAAACCTAAATAGGAGGGAAGAAAATGCTAATTCTTGCTGATGAATGAAACAAAGATCTACAAAACTGTAACCGTAACTGTCATAATACAATATTACACTGCAAAAACTAGCAAGGACTTAAAGTAGACACTGCAATATTACACTGCTTGCAAAAATTGAAACCTTGACAATCATAGCAGCTAAAGGTTAAAAATATGACATAGATCCTCATGGACCAAGTGATTGTGTGGGTAAAGTAGGTGTAGTAGTCTATATGGTAGAAAGTGTTACTAACAAGAAAAGGAACCTGATTTTGGTTCCAATACCATGGATAAGTGCATCAAGACCATCAGCACCCAAATCACAATATCGAGTTGACAATAACATCTACCAACGTTTAATGTTACTCCAATGTGCCATCACTACGGACACAGTGCTAACAGAGTATATAAATATAAGTCATATAACACAATTAATATGAGGATACAGTAAGGCTTCAAATATAGATCTGTATGGCTTCATAAAAGTGGGTAATAAGGATAAAAATTCAAAACAATTCAGATAAAGTTAAACTGCAGAAAAAATGGAAGATGATATTATAACTTTATAAGCAAGTGCCAAGCAGCAACTCATTTCAAACACCAAAAGCAATTCCTTTACTTTACTATCCTTCTCATCTCCACAACATAACAGAATACACTTACAATTACAAGTACAAATAATGATGCAAAAATTATTTAACACCATTATTCTAAATTCATGCATGTTGGAGACTATAGTACTATACCCAATCATCAGACCTTATAAGGTTCATCACTGCGGTGTCTTCATCATCAACCTGAGCCCTCTGATCACTACAAGGCCAACAAATGATCCAACCTTTCTATTAGTAGACAATGAAAAATGCAACAACTTCTTGCGTACAAGTCTATTTTGGAGTGAAATGTCAGGAACCTGCTTGCATACATACATCTACAGTGCAGTCACAACATGTGAGTTCAATATCTGTACCCTTCATTCAAATTGAGACAAAGTAAAAATCTGTTTGGCCTGGGAAACATTAACTACTTTCACTGAGAACTACAAAAAAGTCATCTTGTCTGTGGTGGCCGTTTTGTAATTACCAATAAGAATAGTGAAAACAAGATATTCCTTCCAGTCCTTTCTATAATAAATAAATAACTAATTCATCAAAACTAATAAAAAATAATTATCATATTAGTGACTTATATATTAAATAAATAAACATAGCCATATATATGGGTAATGGGTAAATATTTAAATAAATAAACATAGCCATATATATGGGTAATGGGTAAATATGCATCATTAACACAAATTTCATAATAAATAAAAGTATAAAATAATTTAGCAATTAATACCTAAAATTCTATATTTTAGGACTAAAAAAGTATAGTGATTTTTGTAAAAAGGATAATATTTTCATAGCTTTTAATAATAACAGAATACATTTTTTTTTTCCAAAAAATGTGAGCCAAAACTGCTAAAATAAAATTAACACAGCGAAGTCACCGTGCATTTCTGGGATTGGACCGTATTTGAACATCCTCAACACTGCAATAGTACTTGAGCTTTTCTACATACTCATCAACCAGGAGTTGTAGTCCGCGTGATCGCTTCTTTCCCACTGAAAAAATTCGTATAGGAAGTGCTCTCTGCAAAAACTCAAACATTTAATTCTAAATAAACACATACACATTAGAGAGGTACAAAACCCTAACCATTCGACATTAACATTTTGGCAACAGAAAAAAATTGTTTGAAAAATATTAATTGAAAGTAAAACGAACGTAAGAAGAGATGGTTCATACCACTGATTGAGGCGTGTACTTGCATTTTGTACCTGAAAATGTGAGCGGTAAGTGAAGGATTTAAGAGAGAGTGTGAGGGGTAAGAGAGAGAGAGAGAGTATATAAAGTGAAAACCTTTGTGAAGATTGAAACTAACAGAGAGGTGGAATGTTGTGGCCATTCCAAAGTGGTGAAAACTGCGATGGAACGCAAACCAAACCAGTAGAGTGCTCGTCACCTTCTCAAAACAGATAAAACATCAAAGATACGCATTAAGTCAGAATCAAAATCAACCGCCAGATATTACAAAAACAATTATATATTATATTATAAAAATATTTATGATTCATAGTTAAATTTTATAATTTTTTTAATATAATTTTAAGGTATTTCTTCTGTAAATTTAAGAGTATATTGTATATATATTTTTTTAAAGTTTTTATAATATTATAAAAATTAAGAGAAATTTATATATATTTTTAAATAAATTACTTAAACTTTATTTGAGAATTTGGAGGAGAGAAAAAAAAAATTTACAAAGAAAAAATGTATCATGTAACATTGATTAAAATTTAATCTTACCTATTCCTGTGATTATATAACAGATTTAATTTTTTATTTTTTTTTATAAAAATAACATTCTCATTAAATATATAGTACAAAAATATAGGGTAAGAAACTACTATTTTAGGTGATACATTTATTTTGAATTCTATTTTACGAGAGCTTTAAGAATTAAGTTTAAAGAATCCAAGAAGTGACTTCCATAAATTTTCTCCTTACAACTTTTAATATCATTATAAGATAATTTAAAATATTATATTATCAAATTTAGGATTTTAATAAATAAAAACATAGTGTTTTATAAACATGTATAATACTTATATTTAAGTTTAAAATTAGATATAATAAACATGTATAATACTTATATTTAAGTTTAAAAGATTATAAAAATATAATTTTAAAATACGTATTGCATTAAATATAATAAACCCAAGTGTGACATATATTAATTTATTAACGAAAAAGTGTTACTTTTAAAACAAACAATAATATAAATTTCAGTATTTTCTAATGAAATAAGACATAGATAAATCATTTTCAGCACATTTATCTATGACCGTCGTAAATAGACTGTTTATTAAGTTACAATGATTCATGTATTATGTTTATTTTTATTTATTTTTAAGTTAAAAATTTAAATATTTACTTTTAATATGAGAATTTTTTTATTGTACTTGTTTTGGACACATAATTTTATTATTATTTAATATTTTATTTACATTTAAAAACTATTTTTAACTGCCTCCAAATTTGTTTTTTTATGTTATCTTTTCTTAAATTTAAAATGAATCAAATATATTTTCTTTAATTCACAGTTTTGAAATTTCGTTGCAATTAAAATAGATACATTGTGTGTACATAAGCAGGAGATATTTATTAATAATATCCTACCTCTCGTACGGACATAGCTCAAATACTCTGAGATCAGATTGTGGAAGATAAGGCGAGGAAGAGTTGCCTACGTGGCATAACAAGAGCCAATAATTGAACACCATGTAGGACCCAACTCGATTTTCAGCATACGTGGCATGCAATGGCGCTTCATTATTATTACTACTTCGGAGAACGGTGAAGCAATGTTTGGCTAAGTATCTGGCCATGGCTGCAGCTTCAGCTTCTGCGTCTCTTATTTTACCTTCTTCGTTCAAATTCAGAAGCCATAACCCTCAAACACCCAAATCCATCGTTCTCCGTTCACATCGCCGCCACTACAGCTTCGGAGTCTCTGCTTCCGCTTCGGTTTCGGTCTCTAACCCTAACTTGCGAACCGGCCCTCATGATCTTGTTGCTTCCATTCTTTCCAAGGTACACTCTTCATTTTAGTTATATCTGTCATTAAAATTTATTCAAAATTAAAAAATTGGTGGATCTTACTTTTAATTTTAAATAAGTTTTGTTAACTCCCACTGAAATTAAGTATCCAAAATTAAGTAAATTTTCATTGATAGAGAGTGTGACGGGGAGTGTGGTACAACTCTTCTGTTTACAACTAATAATATATAGAAATATAATTTGTTGAATGAGTTCGGATTTGATTCAGCTTACGTTCGGAAATTTATCTTTATTTTTATTAATTTATCGAAATAATTTTTAAAAATAAGTAGTTATTTTTGTAAATGCAAGTGTTTCTAAATTTTCACTAAAAATGTCAACTTGTGGTACTTGAGTCCTGAAAGTGGACGTTATATAAATTGTGTTTTGAAAGTGTCAACTGGGAATATTACTTTATTTCAAGAATTGAATGAATTGATGTTTATAATGTAAGACTAATTTTGTATATTACTCTACTTTATCCAAGGATTAATTTGCACCCAAGAAAACCTTCGTACCCAAGCAACACAAGATGAAAATTGTGTATTAATTCTTTTTTTTATTGTTGATTTTTTTAACTGAAAAGCCAAGATATTTTTGTTATAGATTTTATTAAAGGGCTCATGTGTTATGATGCTCAATTTTCAGCACTGAAAAGTTATTAATTACAATACTTACTTCCATTTCATTCAGTTCAATTTTTACTTTTTTTTCCGTCTAAAATTTGGATTCTGAGTTCTGCAATTAGGTGGTGCAAACAGATGGAGGTGTTTTACTGAAAAAGGAACAACATAAAGAGGTGGCTGAAGTGGCTCAGGAGTTGCAGAAGTATTGCGTGAATGAGCCAGTGAAATGCCCTTTAATATTTGGAGGTGATACCTTATTGTGTTGCTCAACCTTGAGATTTTGTTTAAAAGCTCCTTACAACTTGTCTTCATATTCATTTTACTGGATCTTGTTAACCTCAGGGTGCCTCTGGTTTAGTTTTTTGGTTTTCAATTTTAGATGATATTTTCTCTTATATTATAAAATATCATCTTGTTTTCAATTCATTTCTTGTTCTCTAGAATTTACAAGAAAATGACAGAAACAACAAAATGTAACAAAGTGAAAATAAGAAATAAAGTGTCATTTTATAGTTATTAGAAGGAAAAAAATATGAACTTCTGAAAAAAAAAAAAAAAAAAAGCAAGTCAAACACACATCAGGCTATGCATGGATCAGTGCAAAATAATGGAATGGAGTGAAATAAAAGAGTGTATTAAATCTCTGTCCTCAGTAAAATGTGAGTGCATTAGATATTATCTATTAAAAGTGTCCACTTTCAACTTCAAATCATTCTTTATGCACATTTCTTTCCACAATATATGTAAATCAGTTGTACGAGAATCATTCAATTTTTGCTTTACTATTTTTTTCTTGTTTATGCTACCTAGAATGGGATGTGGTGTACTGTTCACGGCCAACATCACCTGGAGGTGGTTACAGGAGTGCATTTGGGCGCCTTTTCTTTAACACAAAACAAATGGTTCAAGTTGTTGAAGCTCCTGATATTGTGAGAAACAAGGTCTCCCTTTCTGTTTTAGGCTTTCTGGATGTAGAGGTGTCTTTGAAAGGTATGTCATTTAATTAGTCAAAGGATATGAGTGAAACTTCCACATGCTGATACCATATCCAAAAAAGTTATTGATGGTAGCAAAACTGAAATTTCTCAGTTTTGTAATTCCAAAACCAAAACCAAACTGATAAATAGTTACTGATGATTTTAAATTCTTTATGAGTAGAAAATGAAAAAGGAATGACTTAGGAGCAAATTTCTATTTTAGTCCTTGAAATTTTATCAGTCTCTTTAGTCCTTTACATCACTAAACTTTGACTTTGATTTTTTCAATTTGGATAAACTTTTCAATAAGTATCAATGAAAAAGAAAAAATAAATAAATCAAACTGTTCTTGTAAGTTAAAATCAACTTATGGACACTTTTGCCAAAGCTTTTTCATCTAATTTTTCTAGAAGTTGATCAATATAAGTTGATTTTAACTTATAAGAAAAGTTTAATTCCTTCTTTATTATTATTATTTATCTTTTATAAGTGCTTGTTGAAAAGCTTATCTAAGCTGGAATTTTATAAAAATGTTGCAAATGAAACCGAAGAGAATAATATTTATTTTGTAATATCTTATGAAGTCGAAAGTGAAAGTTTTGTGAAGCTTAGAAACTAAAGCGAATGTGCTTTCAGTCCCAAGGATCAAAGGGGAGGTTTAGTGAATGACTTTGTATCTATGTGAATGCTATCTTGTTTTTATTCTCTGTTGAAACTTCTGTGGTGACTTTATGTCTGCAAACATGAAACAGGAAAACTCAAGGTTTTGGACAGTGAATGGATTCAAGTTATATTTGAAGCGCCTGAATTGAAGCTTGGATCATGGAAGGTCCAATATGGTGGTCAGAGTGAAGTTAGACTCAAAATCACTTATGTGGATGAGAAAATCAGGTTAGGATTGGGTTCCAAAGGTTCCTTGTTTGTTTTTCAAAGAATATGATATCGAAATGCAATAAAAAAAATTTCCCTTCAGGAAAAATCTGACAAGTTTGTAACTTGGCACTGCGCACATTTTCATGTATAATGATATGATTATGAGTGTGCATGAGTAGGATATTGAGAAGAAAAACTTTCCGCGCTGCTCTTTGGCTGCAGAGTTTGTCTTAAAATGGGCTAGTGTGTTATAAGCTGCAATGTAGTGTAATTAACTAGTTACTGAGACAATCTTTCCACTTTTTCCCCTGAAGTTCAGCTTATTTTAGTTGCTGAAATTGATCTCTTCATTTCATTTATGACAGTAGCAAAGATAAATGCTGACAATACATTTCACTAAAATTTCTGAATCTTACATGTTATTTGAGTATGTTTTTACGATTTTCATTAAAGTTTAACCTCAAAAGATAATATGTTAGAATGTGTAATATGTAACATTACCATCTGTGGGGGTCTATTAGGATCAAGCAAATAAAAGATACTTTTAGTCTAGGGTAAAAAATGTGTAGTGTGTCTGTTTTCTTAATTCCTGTGAAAAAATTAATTTTTTATTCCTTTGGGTCCTTTTTCTTTTTGGGTTTGGCAAAGGATGAAGGATGTGAGACCCCAAAGGCCCAGGCCTCCACCTTTGGTGCATGGATTATGGGGGCATGATTATAAAATAATGTTTACGAGATCTAATATTTATCAAAATATAAACATTTGAACAAATGCAACTGTAGCTTCAAAAATTAGGAAACAATATATTTTAACCTCTGGCTTTCATTTACACATGGAAACTAGCTAGCAGCTTTGTGAAAGGCTCAATTGTAATTTCTAGAATAAATTTTTTTTTCAAAGTTTCTTATAGAAATTTTTAAAAGACATTAATACGTTTTTCTTAAGATAATCTCATTTAAACGCACACTCATCAAATATAATCAATGTGAATGCCAAACTACATAGGATTAACCTTATCAGCCCTACTTTTGGAGCATCATAGTGCTCATCTAGAATATTGATTGAATTCCCAGACCCTATGTTAATGGGACTTACTTGTCACCATTGCTAGTCTTTAGGGATCAAATTTCTGTCTGTTGGAGAAATTGCCTATCTGCTTGTCACCATATGAAAGTTCTGTGTTCTCTTCCCCCACCCATATCTGCCTCATTCATGCTTCTTGGTAACCCATTGACAAGGTTTTTCCACCAGAAAAGAAAATATATGCTATGATTTAAATACGCGAGGAAAATCCAATCAAAGAAACTAATCAGTAGGTAGAAGACTTTCGTGGCTTCATTATCATATCAAGCTTTCTATTTTATTCAATGTGAAATTCAAATCGTTGTCACGTTTCCTTTAGTGAAGAAAATATGTTACGATTTAAATATGGGAGGAAAATCCAATCTAAGAAAATAATTCATTAGCTAAAAGACTTTCATGGATTCAATATCATATCAAGTTTTCTATTTTATTCAATGTGATATATATTATAGGAATAAAATTTATAAAAATGAATATTAATTAATGAGTAAAACTAAAAAAAAATAAAAATGAATCAAGATCAGACTTCCAAAATCCTTCTTTGATTTGAACTAATTTAGTTCAAAATCTTTTCATTCTAAAATAAAAAATAGAAAAAATTAAATTTTCATACAATATCTTGATAGAATTTTATGTGATGATCAATAAATTTAGTAGTTTCTCTTTATATTAGTCATTTCACTCATTTATTAATATTTGATAAATTGCATCTTTTTTTAATTTATAAGTAGTTGTTTTTATTGCAATTTAACTCTCAATTAAAATTTCAATTATCATCACTTAAATATGCAAGAAAAGTTCAAGTAAAAGATCAGCTCATCAAGTAAAAGATTGTTATAACTTAACTATTACATTAAACTTTATGAAATTTTTAACATTTATACTATTAACATTTTACTTTTATAAGAGGCAATTGAAGATTACATGTGTATGCATAATAATACAAGCTCTATGTTTTAACATCACTTTTTGGTAGAACGGGATCTTATAACTCCATTCATTTAATGATGATTTATTACCTAACATGTGTGAATATTGTAACTTTTTTCTATTTTAATTTCGTTATTTTTTTGTCTCTATTTTTTTAAATATAATATTTTTATCTCTAATGATTATTAAATAATGATCTGACTAATTAAAGACTGTCACATGTTATATTTATTACATTGTTAGTAATTATAATATTTAATATCGTTTAATAGTTATTTTTTAATATTATATACATCAGAAAGTTTTAATATTTTTTAAAAATTTATTTTTAATTATTTTATTCTTTTTTTACTTTTACATTTTTGTGAGATGAATATTTAAATTGGATTATTGATACTAAATTAGTGTAGTAAAATATGCTATTCTTTTTGTTTTCAAGTTTTTAAAATTACATACATGTCAAAATATAGAAATTAAAAGTGCAATTAAGCCTAACTGTTATGAGTACAGTGTTATTATTACTTGATTATAAAATTTAGATAAATAATTTTTTCAGTTTTAAAAAATAAAATAAACTATGCATTAATATTGTATTAAGTCTTTTTATAAATTTTACCAAAGGTCATGAAAATTCTAATCACAGGCTGTGATAATCTCATGTCAGTAATTAATAATTATTTTGAAGTTAGTACATAATGCGACATGTTTTAATGCATGTACATCATTAATAAGTAGAAATAAATACTATTTAAATTTTTAAAAAAATTAAGATAAAAACTAATACAAAAATTTTAAAAGATTAAGTTTAATTTAATCATATTTAAAAAGACTAAAAACATATTTTATCTTAACAATGTAAAACTTAAGACTAAAGAACTTTAAGTCAGTATTTTTCTAGTTATATTTTGATTAATATTAACATCTATAGACTATACATATTCATTATTTCTTTAATTGAGAAAAAGGTTAATAATTTTAATAATAATAAATATATAAGAAAGTAACAATTTTCAATCAATAAATATGTTAGTTACTGAATATATTCAGGAAAACTACACATACACCAACCATGCACCCTCTACACATACACTTAAAAGTGGGATTTGATCTTATGGATCGTACATAATAATAATAAATCTAAAATTTTATATTAAATACACGTAAATAAATAATTATTTACATACATTTTAAATAATATACTACTATTTAATAAAATAAAAATGCGCAATATTAAATAAATTTTGAATTATATGAAATTTATAAACTTAATCTGATGTCCTCGCAAAGGTCTATAGTAACACCTAAAAAATTCTCAAGATATCTAAGGATAAGAGACGATTTCATGTTAGATAGTAAGAAAATTGACATATCTAACAACTTTATCTTGCTCTGAAAAATATGAAGTATTTCTCAACCTTGATGACGAGGCATTTGAACTAATTTCGAATAGGTGAATGATTTGCAAATGGTATTTTGCTAAATTTTGGCAAGAGAACTTTTAACTATTACAAGTTGCTTTATAGTTACATGTAAAAAGAAAGTGAAGTAGGAAATTATTCTAGAGCAACGAATATTGTACAAGTTAGCATGATAAGAAAAAACCCAGTCACAAGGAAACATTTTCAATGATTATGACATTAGATAAAACTTCTAAACTATTTTGATTTTTCCAACAAATACGAAATGTATTTGAAGACATGAAGATTATTAGTAGATGAATTGCAACAACTATTTTGAAAACTTAGTATAAATTCAACATTCCTCTACATTTTTTAGATGTTATGAAGATTATAAGATTTTTCAACTTCCCCTTGTATCATTCATACTCTATTTTATCCATATATAATAGTCTCTCAAAATCATTGGTGATGTTTCCTATAATCTTCATTAGACATATATTAATTTAGTGCATCACTAGTTCAACTTATTTTTATAAAAAATAGTTTTTTCTTTTAGGAAATTTCTAAAAAGAAAATGTAAATATTTTCCTAAAAGAATATGCTACTAGACAAGGGCTTGAGCCTTTTGATCTCGATCTAAGATTTTTAACCCTCTTCCATAGACACACTTTTAACAAGGTTTTAACATTTTAAAAACTTTTTTAAAAATATAATTCAATTTTTTCTTGACCATTTTAAAATTTCATGTTGCAAATATTTTAACATGTAAGAATCAACATTCATTGTAGTCAAATGAATTTCTTGACCATTTTATTTTATTTTATGCAAATAACCTATACCTACTTGCAACTAACGTTATTTACTCCCCTTCTTGTTGAATTAAACAAAATAAAATATTAAAAAAATCACTTATTTAAAGTTTAAAACAATACGTAATAATCAAATTAAAATTTATGCATTAAAGTAATACGCATTATTGAAAAAAAAAGTATCAATTTTTTTTATAAAACTATGTAAATATCTTTTTTTATTCAGTTTATTGGAATATTTTATATGGATTAAGTTAACAAAGAGTGGTTGGAACAATTTGTTTATTTCTTAGGTTAATTATGTCAAATTTAGTGACCGAGTCAATGGGATTAGGGGATGATGTTCATCGACTTCTCGGTCAATAACTTCATGACGTAAGAATTTACAATAAAAATTTTAATGGTTTTAAATATTTATTTTTTTAGTAAATTCTTATTAGTAATGCTAAATTTCAATTTTTTTTCTTTTAACCAAATTTCTTTTAATTGTTTCAATTTGGAATATGAGACAAAATAATAAATGATTTAACACTATTCTAGTTAATCATATGAATAAGATTTAATAAAATGGGAATTTTTTATTTATGCATATTATAATGAATTGAAAAAATAATTATGAATGAGTATGGCTGATAATTTGTATGGTTCCTTTATATATAATGAAAAAAATAAAATTAAAGCAAAGCGACAAACAACATCAATATAACAATAATCGGAGTGTTAATGCTACTACATTTAACTAAGTTATTTTAATTCACAGGGTCGAAGATGAATCTACATGAGATAAACTTTTAATTGCACACTAACAAAATTCATAAAAAGTATCATAATAATCTGATTAAAAAATATGTAAAAATGAATTACTCATATATTTCATACTTTTATAAAACAAAAAACTTTTGATAAGCTTATAACTTAAAGAAATAAATACTTTGATCATACATGAACGAAATGTTTATATAAAAGTATTAGTATTGAAATACCTAAAATAAATATATGTCAATGATATAAACATTTTACATTATAAATTTGTTAATATTTAAATATTAAAAAAATATAATTAAATCTAAAAAAATATTAAGAGTTAAGTATGTATTACAAAGATAAAAAAAAATTACTCAAAAATATATTAATGCTTAAATCGTATAAATAAATGTTTATATTATACAAATATAAATATAAATATAAATATAAAATAAATAAATATTTATAATATATATAATTTTTTACTACACACGAACATACAAATTTTATATAAAATATATTAATATCTAAACTATAACACACACACACACATAGTTTCAAAATTTAGTTGTAATATTTTAAATTTTTTACATTAAAATAATTAAAATTTAACTTTCAATTCAGCAATTTATATAATAAAAACGAATATTAATTACTAAAGGTATTCTTTGAATTAACAAAATAAAAATACTTAAAATCCTTTATATAATAATTTTTTTAAAATATTTCTCTTCTTTGCATCATTCATTTTATTTTTTAATAATATTTTTATTAATTTAAACCTTTAGAACTGAATTTAAATATTTAATCGAAAGGTATAATCATATGTTAAAATTATAAAAAATAAAAATTTACGTTTTGTATAAACTATAATACAACAACTTTATTGTAAAAATAAGATTTCTCTCCATGAGAGGTTGAATAATGAATATAGAATTGTAGAGAGATTTATAAGATTTAAAAAAGGAAAAGAGAAGAGAAAAGTGAGAATATACGAACAGTGAATATACGTAGGCTTAGTTAGAGATGAGAACTTGAAAGAGCTCAACACAGAAAACACAAACACGTTGTGATGTGGCTTCTTCTACTGCTATGGTATATGGTTCTTCATTCTCATAATTTCATAAATAACATTAAATAAAGTAGTAGACTTACGAGTAAACTATTATTATTATTATTATTATTATTATTAAACAACAACAGCGGAATCAACGCTCTCCAATTGGCTTTGCAAATCTGAACCAGCCACTGCCATTCCTTCTTCCTCTCTCTCTGTCGTAGTCATTTCCGAGTTCTTTCTCTTTCACTTTCTCTTTCTCTTTCTCTGTTTATGTTGTAGCATTTTCTCAACCATTCTCCATTTTCCCTTTTTCTTATTTGTTTATTTATTGATCTTCGTTGCTTTGCTCTTTCTTCGTTTTTTTTTTTCCTTTCTTTTTCTTCCGGTTTTTGTTGGGGCCCTCCTTAGATCCCTGCTCTGGATCAGAGGTACCATTCACTCACATTTTCCCTTCTTCGTTTCAATATTTGTTTGGGTAAACTAAAGATCTGAACCTCTCTGTCCTTTTCATTATACTGTAGAGACACACATACACATGTCTACACAAAAACAGAAACAACTGTTTTTTTTTTTTTCTGGGTGTGTGTTAGGGTTCATAAAACGACAGTGTTTTGTTCTATTGATGGATCTTTTGATTCTGCTTTAGTGATGTATATAAATATTGTTTTAATTATGGTAAGAGGTAGGGGGTAAGATCTGAATTAATGTTTGAAAAGAGAAAGGAAATGAATGATGTTTATATGTGTGTTTTAAATTTCATGTTTTTTGGATTTTGGTAGTTTGAAGTGCTTATTGTGACTCTTTGTGTTGTTTGATTGGTATGTGGAATGACAGAGAGGATTTGAATGAATGGATGAATGTTGATGGATGGATAGATGTATGGGGAAGGTGGTGAGGTACCTTGAAATTAAATGAAGAAGGAACTTGCATGGCCGCAATTCATAAGAAATATTCTGATCATGGTTGGATCAAGAAACCGGGCACATTTAAGGAGGCCTACTTGGATTATTGTTTTAATTGCTATAGTATGTGTTTTTCTGATTGCTGCATACGTTTATCCGCCGCAAAGCACTTCCACTTGCTCCTTATTTTCCTCACAAGGTTGTGGTCGTAGTTTTGATCTTCCACCGGTTGCTCGTTCCCGGCAATTAAGTGATGCAGAGATTGAATCTCGGATTGTTATCAATGAGATTCTGAATTATTATCCTGTTCAAACCAGGACTCCTAAAGTTGCTTTTTTGTTTTTGACTCCGGGTTCTTTGCCTTTTGAGAAGCTCTGGCACATGTTCTTTAAGGTATGCCATTCTTATTTCATGGACCATAGACTTTGCTTGTGTCTTCTTTCTCGAGTATGCTGTAAATGCTATCTTTAATTTTTCAATTTTCGTTTGTAATTTTGTTCAACAACTTGTATCTTTTGATTAGACCCAGCAGTGCTAGTAGCCCATACTTGAGTCCACATATTTTGGTTAAGATAAAGGATAGCAGCTGGTGTTTTTGTGTTGATTATAGAGCTCTCAACAGCATTACCATTCCTGGATAAATTTCTAAGTCTGGCTATTATAAATCTGCACTAAGGAGGGGGACATTATGAAACAGCATTCGGGACTCGTGAGGGACATTATGCATGTATGATAATGCTGCTTGGACTCATGACATGAATACTGTTCAGGTCTCCAACAAATATTTTTATATACCTCATTTTCAGAATATTTTATTGGGCATGATGGTCATGGTCAAATCCATGTTTCCTAACCTAAGAATGAAGCAAGGTAGGAATGGAAACATATTGGAGAAGTCTGTCAAAGAGATAAAGGGCGGAGTCTAATAGAATTGACACATGGCAGCACAATATTGGAGAATGGGGGTGTGGGAAGCATGGGGATGAGAGGGGGGGAATTGAATCTGTGAATGAAATGGAGGCTTAGGCCTTGGAGCAGAGTAGTGGCATAATAGTATATAGCTTTTCCGAGTTTCAATTTTACTTTCCATCTACTTCTGCTATTTTTTCCTCTCTTTTGTAATAGTAATTTGAACATTGCTCTATACACGTTCCAATAATACCAGGTTGAAGGTTTTATTAATGGCATATTTTTCTCATTTTAGTAAAATGTCAATGTCAATGATTGTCATTCTGAATATAATTACCAAGCGCAATTCCTTTTACTTTGAATGTGATAGAGATTTGTTACTTCCTATTTATTTGAATTGTACCCATTACAAAATGCAGGGCCATGAGGGAAGATTCTCTGTTTATGTACATGCATCGAAGGAAAAACCAGTACATGTCAGCTCCTATTTTGTTGGCCGAGACATTCACAGTGAACCGGTATGGCATATTGCAAAGAATATCTTTATATGACAGTTTCAATTTCCAACTTAAGTTAAGAGTGGTTAAAAACGTGGACAACGTATAAAATTTTGATGAAAAGTTGGTATCCCTAGCTTGACTCTTAAGGCTAAGGGCTCTGTGTCTTCTTGATGAAGAGTTGGTATTGGTAGCTTGACTCTTAAGGAAGAGAAATTAAAGGATGTTGAATATCAATAAGATAATTAAAATAATAGAATATAGAATTCAAACTGGAAAGTTAGTGGGGAGTATGCAACAATATACTAATATCTACTAACTAACTAACTACCATTTATTTACATTTAAATTATAAAAAAACCTTGTACTATAATAACCAACTGTTGTGCTCCTAAGTCCTAAGACACCTACTATGATTAGATAGTGCTAATATAAACATGTATCTATTAACTACCGAATTAAATTATATACTATGCTATTAATCCTTTTCCACCAGCTCTGAATTGCATGCTTATTTTCACCCTCAAAATGCCCAAACCAAACTTTTCACCCAACAGAGAAGTTGTGGCACCCTGTCTTAGCTTTCCATAAGCTTTATGATCTTGAGATTTCAACTTTTGTAATTCAAGTTATGCATCATTATAAACTGCATCAAGGTCCAATAGTCTGGAAGACAAGATTTTCTATGCCTAACTTGGACCAACTCTTAAATTTGCCAATTAGATCCCACAAAAATGTAATTAATGAAATAGGCAATATAAACACAATAAAGATAATTTAAGATACAATGACAGTGTATAAGAGATTGACTCAACACATAGCTAAGTACTTATAAAGTTGTTAATGATGCAACGTCTCCTTTCAAGTATTTGGTAAAATGGTGCAAAGACACTCCTTGTAAAAGTAAATTTCATGCTATTTTCAATTTTGTTTTTCTACTAGTTGTAACAAAACTGCCCCTTCTCTCCACAAAGCAGGCAGAGCTAATGTTCATATGGGACATTTATTTTTCATATATACAGAAAGAATACATGAACTTCACACTTAAGATGATAGTCTGGTAGAATTTCTTTCTAATTGGAGCCAGAACAATAATGACATTAGAAACACCAGAGAAAATAAACACAAAAACTCTCTTCTCCTCTTTTGATTTCCTGGTACTTAACATGTCTCCATTTGTAAGGTCATGCCATCTCTTTCTTAGTGCCAACTGGTTTTCAATTTCTTTCAGGTAGGCTGGGGGAAAATTTCTATGGTTGAAGCAGAAAGGAGACTTTTGGCAAATGCACTTTTAGACCCTGATAACCAACATTTTGTCTTGTTGTCTGAAAGGTATTTTTGTTATCTGGTTCTTTTTGCTGTTAAGTCATGGTTTCTGGGAATTAATCTAATCAACTGTACATCCATCTCTGCTTCAGTTGTATACCTGTGCGCCGCTTTGAATTTGTGTACAACTACTTGTTATTAACAAACGTCAGCTTTATTGACAGGTAAGAGATTATAAAAGAACATTCTACAAATTAGTTGATGAATTTCTAACTTTTTCCTTTTATTAAAGATTCTATGCCACAGACTTTTTGGATGGTAATTGGACTAATCTATCTCTATTTTTCCCCCTCATCGTTTGAAAAAAGCTACGTGGATCCTGGTCCTCATGGAAATGGCAGATATATAGAACATATGTTGCCTGAAGTTGAAAAGAAGGACTTCCGAAAGGGTTCACAGGTATAATTTCTATGGATGTTGATATCTACTACTAGAAAATTTGAGCATCCATTCAATTGCAGTGTTTCAGTGGTTATTCTTCTCTTCTCCTATCACTTGCACTTAGCATTGCATGACTCATTTAGTTTGAAAGAAGTTGTCTAATTATATAATTTCTTTCTCCTCTGAGTGTTCACTATATACCCCTGCTCTGTATTCATGTGGTCCTTTCTTTTATTAGGCAATCTTTTATGGCATGAAAGTCATTGTGGAAATAGGAATAACAAAACCATTTCATTCGCCGTGTCATCAACTCTATGTGATATATTACCTATTTATTGTTTAATGCCTATGAGTTGTTGGATAATGTAACTGTCTTCCAGTATTTCAAGTTGTCAAGTTTCATTCTTAGTTTTGAAACTTTCACTTGGCAGAAAAATTTGATTTTATGGTTGACTTTCAAAGTTTTTTCTTTCTTTGGTTAATCATCTCCCCCTCTAAAATGCTTAACCATTCATAGCAGTCAAGATTTGGATGAAAAATGAATTTTATATTACAAATTTTAGAAATGTAGTTATGTAGGAAACCAATGGAAACTTTTCTGACATGCAGCTAATTTGGATCTTGTGGTTTCTAATGCAGTGGTTCTCAATGAAACGGCAGCATGCAATAATAATTATGGCAGACAGTCTCTATTTCACAAAATTCAAGCATCATTGCAGGGTACTATGTTACTAAGAATCTTTTTTGCTAGTGTTTGCTAACTGGATGGATTGTTTGATCCATTTTGTATCATTCCAATGATCCTATCACCTTGATTAACATGTCAAAGCATGACATAATATTAATAAGTTTGTAAACTGTAATTAGCTACATATGATTAAGTTTGCTGAATATTATAAAGATTAAATTTTATAAAAATTTCCTGGACATAATTATCAGTAGCTTGTAAATATCTTGTATCTAGCAATGGTATATGGATTCTTTATTCTTTGCGTTTTTTTTCTTTTCATATGCTTATTTTGGATTGTTCATCCTCATGTACGTAAGTAAGTATCTTTCTTCTTTCACTATTAAGATATGCGTACGTTAAAACTGTGATAGTTGGTAATAATTTTTTATTCAGATATATCATCAATAGTGTACTTGCTGCCGTGTGTATGAACTTATATGATATTCTATAAGTAAATGTGCTTCTCTTGATAATATTACTGACAGTCTGACTGTTTATTTTATTTTTGCTGATCAAATCTACTATAGCATTTGGGTCTTGCTAACTAGATCCCTAAAGACATTGGTTAAGAAATCAATAAATAAAAGGATTTTATTGGAAATCACATTGGGAGTGCATTGGGAATCATGATATAAGTGCATTAATTACACTTTTTAATAAAAAAATTCCACTTTTGATTCAATTAAAATTTGCTTTGTATTTTTTTTTCTTTCATTCTTTACAGAGTATCTTTACTGTTTCTTGTTAATACTATTTTTGAAAATTATTGGAAGGAATATGTAAAGGTAGCCTCACTGACAAAACTCTACTGCCCATGTTTTAAACTTCCCAGCCAAATATGGAGGGAAACCGCAACTGCTATGCTGATGAGCATTACCTGCCAACCTTTTTTAATGTCGGTGCACAAATCTGTTCTCTTTTGAGTTGCAATGACAGGCATCTCTCTCTCTCCAAGCTAACTCTTTTATGGTGTGTGTTTAGATGCTTGATCCAGGTGGAATTGCAAATTGGTCCGTAACGTATGTTGATTGGTCTGAAGGAAAATGGCATCCAAGGTCATTCAGGGCTCGGGATATTACTTATCAACTCATGAAAAACATAGCGGTATGTGATGAATTATACTCTTATTCCCTTTCGATATGTTTGTTTTCTTCATGTTAAAATCATCAAAGGAAATTTATTGTGTTGCTCATGAGTGGCATGGTGTAACAAATTATACTCTACACGAAGCCTATTGTGTGATGCTTCTTATGACGTTTAAGTTCTTTTTGCATGATGTCATTCGTAATAGCAGTCTTACCACCTAGAATCCTTAGTTATTTTGCTTTTTTTCTTTTCCTATGCTTTTTTACTTTTAACAATAGCAAATTGTGATATAAATTCCCCGTGGACCATAATATAATAGCTTTGAAGATTTGTGGAGACTAGAGAGGAAGGAAAATGAAGTCCTTGTTTCTGAATTTCAGTGTGTTAAAATTAGGTTGCATTAAACTATATGAATGACTAGACATAATTTTCTTGTAGATGTGTGGTGGAAACAGTGACTGGGCTGATAGTTTTAGTTATAGGGGGTACTGAATCTTCTCAACTGTGAGGATCTGGGTGTATTGGGTGTTGAAGTTGTTACAAATCTTCTCATCTTCCGTTTCTTTTGCACACACCTAGTTACTTTCTTGTCTCTTGTTACTTATCAAGGTTCTAAATCAGCATTTATCTTGAATTAATGCTAAATGACATGATTTCGTTAACTGCAGTACATTGATGAAAGTCCACATTTCACAAGTGATGCAAAGGTATTAATCTCATTCCACTAAATTAGGTTCCAAGGTCCTCCATGTTGTGATATTTCTTCTGCTTCTATGGAAAGGAATGCTTTGTTATTTAGTTTTCATTTTCACATGCTTTGCAGAGAACAGTGGTAATTACACCTTGTGTATTGAACGGCTCAAAACGATCTTGTTATCTATTTGCCCGGAAGTTTTTCCCAGAAGCTCAGGATAAATTGATACAACTTTTCTCTAATTCTACAATATTCTAAAGTATTTGTTTTTTATCATTCTTTGGTGAATCAACACCATGTGATCCCCGGCCTCACTGTCTTTGCACATACCGATTTGTTTTGAAAAGCACCCAAGACAACTGGATAAATTGCATAGGAAGACAGAAGCTGATTCAGTTAAAATTTACTTGCTGAGGCTTGATGGAACTGCTGAGCTTGTCTGGTTGGATAATTTGCTGTTCCTGTTGTACTTTTTTTACCTTTTAAATATTTGAAACATCATAGATTCTCCTGAAGGATGAAAGTTTTGGTATCCTCGATAGAGACTAGAGAGGTTTTGATTTTGACTCTGGAAACTAACTGTCACTTATGACTGTTTTTGCATTGAAAATTCTTCTGTAGTCATGCATTAAATATTACTTGATGAATGGTTCAGGAGTAATGCAGAGAATTTTGCAGAGAGTTCTCGGTATCTTGTTGTAGACATTGACAAATCTATGGTTTTATGTGGTGCTTTTCTTTAATGTTTATTTTGAGCATGTCGAATTTGATTATTTTAATACACGTGCAAACGAGTTTGATGTGAAAGCAAAAAAGGAGATGATTTTACTCGTAAGTTTTCTCAGTAAAATTGTGATAAAAAGTTGTTAATGAATCTGTCATTTTATGTTTTATCTTCATATCAAACGTTAATGAATATGAATAAAATCATATTTTCATCCTAACAGAAGCAGGGAAAAAATAACGAGAAAGAAGTAAAAATAGTTTTGCTAATTTCATTCCTTAAAATTCATTTTAAGCATTAAAAAAAGATTTTTATTCAGTTTTTAATATAATAAATGTTTATATATATATATATAACATTTCAAGTGAGAGGAGTTTGTTATTATGAGAGGTGAGATGTATTAATAATGGTCATTAAATTAAAATAAAGAGCTTAGATTTGATGTTGCTACTTTACTATTCACTTTTTTCTCTATTTTGTCAATGATCATTATTAATGTCTTTCACCTTTCAAGCATATATATATATATATATATATATATATATATAAGGAAAGAATATTCTTACACTAGTGTAAATTTAAAAACTTTTATATTAAAATTAATATAATAAATAAGAAATAAATCAAATAATATTAAGAGAACAAAATTTAAATGTATTAATTAAAATATAGATATTTATACTTAATATTTAAAGTTTATCAGAAGAAAGGTTAGGGATTTGACCTATTCAGTTAAAAAAATAATTTATTTCTTTTGAAAAGAATGATCTATTACTTTTTAATATTTTTTAAATTAAAGTAATTAGTAAGAATGAAAGATATATGTAAAATTATATTGGTTCAAGAGATAATAAGCTTGTTTTTAACAGAATCATATTTTGTAGGTTAAATTTTATTTACACATTTTTTAAAAAAATTAAAATAAAATATACAAAAGAATTATAATGATGATAAGAATTAAACTTTAAATTCATGTGATTTTTTAATTTATGATATGATATTTATATTTTATAGTCTTAACCATCTATTATCGACCACATGAATTAATTCATAAGAGATATTTTTAACTTGTACTTTTATGTTTTTTATTATACGAATAATGTTAGTAAAACACTCTTTAACACAGATTCTCTAACACATCTATCATTATATGTTAAAATTTATTAAAAACTACAAAAATAATGTAAGTCTCACTCTTTCTCACTTCTAAATAAGGATGACAATGAGTAGAGTATGGGTAGGGTACTATAGTACCCATTCTCATACTTGCGATTTAAAAAAATACCCTTATCCAATCCCATACCCGCGTGGGTATGAATATTAATCCATGTACTTGTACTCTTTGTGTATCTGCATACCTATATTGTACCTATTACCCGCGCTTATTTGAGAAAAAAAAATATGTTTATATAACTTCACATAAGTAACATAATAATACAAATTCAATATGTAGTTGTCGAACAAAGTACAAACATAGATAAAAAAATAAATATTCAATGATCACAAGTGCTAAATGTATCTTAATATAATAATTTTCTAAACTAAAATTCTTTGAAACAATAAGCGAAACTAAATACACAAGTTATTTGTCGACGATAACCCTATTTTGTGTGAGATTCAATCGATCGGCAACGTTAGAGCAACAATAAAATAGATCTGCACAATGGGTGACCCTTCGTGTGAGATTACTTGGTGACTTCTTGTGGCGACATTGACAACCAACTCTAATGAACAACATTTCATAGTTGTTAAGTTTTAATGAAACAGACATTGAGAATAAGAGTAGAGTTAGGGTAGATAAGTTTAAGTACTAACAACAAAAAGTGAATACATAAAATATTTTTTTTAACTTTTGAATTTGAAATTGTAAGAAAAATAATATATTTAATTAAAATAATATATATATATATATATATATTAATACTAGTATTTTTAACTCATATAGTATACGGAAGTATTTTGTCAAAAATATAAATTTTAAAAGAAAGAATTTGAATAAAAGATAAACGGTCACAATAACAAAAAAATTGTGTTTTTTCATCTGAAGAAAAATTAACAAATAAAAATAATAATAATTTTTTATATTTTATATCTTTTCAAAAACTTCTTTAAACGTAAATAAATAGTAAGAATAATATTATTTAGATTCAACAGATTATAATTGTGTTTGTAATACATATGTTACATAAAAAATATTATTTTAAATTAAAATATAAAAAATAAAATTTAAATATTATCAATAAATAATAGTTTACGGTAATAGTAGGTGATTGTAAAATTTATAAAATATTTACAGTATGTTTATTATTTATCATTCACTTTATAATTTAAATATCAATATAATTTTATTAACAAAATTATTTGTGTGAAAAATATTTTATGAGTGTCATATATAAATAACATTTTAAAAAAAGTCAATCTTATATCAAATATGTAGTAATTAAATTATATTAGCCTAATTAAATAATATAAAATAGTAAATAAATTTTTCTATTAAGAATATAAACTAAAATAATTTTTTTGGTTTACTTTATTATTAAATATATTTTTATATTAATCTTATATAATTTCACATAAGTAATATAATAATACAAAAATTTAATACATAATTGTAGAACAAAGTTTAAGCGTATATATATATATATATATATGCGGGTATGGGGCGGGGTGAGTATCCCTTGTAGGTAAATTTTGTAGGTGTCTATCGGATAATTTACCTATTAACATCCCTACTTCTAAATTAATATTTTTTTAATAAATTTTAGCTAATAATAGATAATGTGTTAGATAGAGTATGTTGCTAACATTTCTTTTTATTGTATACACACAAGTTGTACTTTCTTGCTAAACAAATCATTTAACCTATTAAGATTCTCACAAAAACCATCACCCTAAGCAAACAACACAAATTATATCAACATAAAAAACATTATAAAAATATTATATACTAACTTTTTGTAAATCATTCTACTATAAATTATAAATGAAGCATTTGAAGTTTCATCACATGGTGTAATTTGTACTTAACAATATATAGATATAACGACTAGTAAAATAATAAATTACAACCCATTAGATGTAAGTTAAATGAAATATTCAAATTGAGTGTAAAAGCTTTTAACTTCTACTAGTGTAAGAATAACACTCTCTCTCTTTCTCTCTCTCTCTCTCTCTATATATATATATATATATATATATATATATATATTCTTTCAAGAATATTAATAAAATTTTAAAATAAATTACTAATTGTAACATCGTTAATTTGTAACATAATTTATAATGAAGAAATGAAAATATTTTAAATACTTTATTCTATTATTCAATTTTGTAAAAATTTAAGGATATTCAAAATTCTTAAAGAAAGTATTTATAAAAGGTAGATTTTTGCAACTAGAGTGCAAATTAACATTTTTATTTTCAAAATTTACTTAATTCATGATACATCCCTAAAAATTTAAAATACAAAAGGCATTGTTTTTTAGTAAAGTAAACTTCTATAAAATAAATACAATCTATAATTTAAAATAGTTAACCATTAGTTTTATCCATAAACTTGAAATTGATATTTACAACATAATTTACTAAAGTGGTATAAACTCTAAGTTTAACATTAAATAATTACATAATCTTATTGACTGAATGGAAACTTAATAAAATGTTACACATTTCAATTAATTCATATACTATAGAGCGGTTTTTCTTCACAAGATCACCGAACTATGATCCTAAAACAGATCAATCATCTTTATTTCTCTTCTCACTCGTTTTCTTGAAAATGATTAGTAAAGGTGAGTATCTTTTGCCCTCTAAATTCATTATTTAAAAGAAGAATTATATAATACTGAAAATATCGTCTAATACATTTTTAACATACATTGGTTAACAATAACACACTAATCATACAAGTTATCATCACAATAGAGCACATACATTTTCACTCTGATCTATATGTCACAATACATGTATTATATTGCATCAATTAATATGTCACAATACATATGTCTTAATCACACTTGTCAATAAATTACAATACATTTATCATAACAACACTAATCGATATATTACAATGCATATATTATAATCATAGAATTTCTATACTATTTCACATTCATCACACTTTTATATTCATTGTTCCTGAGATCTTTTGAGGACTTTATAATATAGATAGTTGCTGGTTAGTCACAGCAACACGAATACACGTGTGTTAACCTGACTTTTTTTAGCAAAGATATAGTCAGGAGTCTCGTCAGAAAATAAGTGTGTAGCTTGTGAATGTTTTTACTTTCAGCAAATCATTATGCACCCATTTACAAATAACATTCACTACCCTCGTTTCCTCCAAAATTTTCAAATCTTCTCTGTACTCTATACACTCGGTGTATCTCTGTAATTATCTATACAATGTCTCAATATTTCTCATGACACTTACTTACTCAATATTTCTCAATTATTCTCATTTCATTTATCATATCATTTTCATCGATCAGTATATCATAATACGTGAGATATGATTTATATAAATTCATGTATTACAATATATATATATATATATATATATATATATTATAAATACACCCTTAGATGCATTATAATATATGTGTTATAATTACACTTATCAGTCAGTTATGACTCACGTATTATAATCACACATCTCATAATTTCACAATCATGTCATATTATCTCTTTTATACATAATCATTTCTCTTTATCCAAGAACATTCAACCTTTTTCATCGATACTATAAATCTACCAACTTGAACGTACTTTAACTATCAAACCACATCCATATATTTACTATATCATCTAGTACAAAAATCATCATGAAATTTCATATCACACAGATCAGTACAATATGCCGAAAGTTAGACACCTCCAGACTCAAATCAATCATACAATTCAATATATACACTTCTCAATATTAACAAAGTTGTCTATCCTAGAGTTTGGCATCATCCAATATTCACAGTATGTCTATTATTCCAAAAATATCAAAGAGCAATTTTAACTATATCTAAACTCTATTTACTAGTAAAATTATAATTTTACAAAAATGGTTCTTTTTAGAGATTTTGCTACAAATTATAATCATGGGTTTTCATGTCAAAAATCACTATTTCTTACTCTTGAGATTTTTAAGAAAAATATTAGTATTATATGGTTCTAACAAAAGAACTTAGCATTTTCAAACCAAGATACTAAAAAAAAAAAAAGAATTAGAGTTTAGAATCAAATTCCTTTACCTAGAAATGGGTTCCTCAAACCAAGTTTCCAGAAGATCCAAAGGAGAGGTACAACGGTCTTGACGAGAATGTTGTCCGAAAGACTAAGTTTTCCTAAGTATTTTGAAATAAACATCCTATTATGAAGAGAAAATAGAAGAAAAAGAATGAAACTGGATATCTAAGCTACGAAAAACTTACTTGAATCTGGATGAGACAAATGTTCGAGTTCGGATCTGGAAGAAATTCAGGGTTCGGGAGAGGTTTCTTTTGAGAAGAGAAGGTGAAAGAACAGAGAGAAACGAAGAGAGGAGGTTGTTTGATGAGAATAATAAAAGTTTCAGTGTTGAAACTTTTTAAATATCTCCCAGATTCGCGTGTTCTTGCTTAAGCGAGTCCTACTCTCACCTAGGCAAGACCTTTCTCCCTTGGGTGAGAAAACTAAATAGTGAGACTACTTATTTTTTGAGAGGACAATTGGAGCAATCTTATCTTAGCTCGCTTAAGCGAGAATGCTCCAAAATGTCTTCTTTTAAAAAATTTTATCTCACTGGAGCGAGATCTATCTTACTTGAGCGAGAAATCTTGTACCAAAACTCATATTTTTCCCATATAAAGCAACAAATTTGAAGGTGTTACACTAATAATTTAAAAGGTCCAATGTCAAATGACTTTCTTCTCAGTAAATTGAGTTTCTTAAAAAACTTAACTCATAAAAGGACTATGTTTTAATTATACAAACTTCTTAAAATACTTTGATATCGTATATTTTTCTTTTTCACATAATAATAAATAATACATCTCTTTTTATAACATCATAAAATAAAATTATATATATTTTGACATGTGTATTAATTAGTCTTCTTTTGTTGACTAATCACATATTTTTAAAATAAAAAATTTTAAATCATTATCTTCATATTCCATCTTGAGCATTCTAAATGTAAATTATCTTATTATTTGTGCAAAATACATATTTTTAAAAAAAAAAATACACGATTTACAAAAATTTTAGAGAACAAATATCAATTTGTTTATAAAATCAATGAGTCACTTATAAATATGTTAAGTCTAATTGACAATATTTAATATGGTCTGACCTTTGGTAATATGATCTATTAAAAAAATAATATATTAATATAAAATATGTTTAAAAATTTATTTATATATTAATTTTAAATAATAAAATATTATAAAATATTACATCATCAACATTTAATGATAAAATTAAATTTTAATTTTTTAATATTTTAAAATCTAAATTTTAATAAAAATATATAAAAATTTATCCCAAAATGTGTTATATTTATAAAAATAAAAATATTATTAAGCTTAAAAAATAAAATATTATATTTTTAATATGTATTTAAAAATATAAAATAAAATTTAATTATGATTTTTTATTAAAATAAAAATTATAACACAATTTAAAACATTAATAGCGTTGAATGCCATAATTTTGAATAAAAATTTATTATTATTATTATTTATTTCTGAACACTTGTCATTAAATTGTGGAATAAAAAATATATATTAACATTTATTTTCTTTTGTTGTTGCATCAAATCATCCATAAAATCTACGACTCTTCTCCCTCGTGTTCTTATGACATGAGATCAGAACTGTTAATCACACTCACAGTCCATCCACACCGTTCGTTCAAAACCCCCCACACGCGCGGGAAAGGAAAACCCAAAACTGAAAAGACGCACAATAAATATCAAATGTCCCACTTATACACATAACGACGAGACACAGTCACACACACATTCCGTTATCATCTTCATCGTCACAGTCATAGAACGATAACAAACCCCCTTCTCCCTTCACAATGCCTCCCGCCAAACGCAAAGCCCAACAAACGGAGGAAGCCACGGCGCCTCCGGCGAGACTCACACGTGCGTCGGCCAAGCGTTCCGCCGCCGCGATATCCGAGCCTCAGGCCTTCGCGAAGTTGCCGGAAGAGAAGAAGGCGAAGAAGGCAAAGGGAACTAAGCAGAGAAAGGAGAAAGAAGGTTCTGGCGCTGTTGAAGAAGAAGGAAACGTTTCTGGCAACGGTCTAGACGCTTCTACCAAGGCTATCGTTGTTGAACATTGGTCTGTGACTTTTTTTTTCCCTATTTTGCCCTCTTTTTACTTTCGTTAAAATGAAAAAAATAAAAATAAAATAAAGTAACATATCTTTTGTCTGTGTTTGTGGTTTTTATTAGTTTATTTTATATTTTAATTCGCTTAGTTAGGATTTTACTAAAAGTGAAGGTTTACTTAAACATGGATTTCGACATTCAACCATATTTTGGGATTAAATGAAGAGAAAAATAAGTAGGAGGAAATAAAACGTGTATAACTAGTTGGTTATTTATCTATATATATAAAAAAATTATTAGATAAGAAAATGATAATTAGTGCTATAAGGTGCACTAAAAGTAATTTTTTTAGTAAAAAAACGTTGAAAAATACTTATTTCTGTTATTTTTTATGCATTTTAATATGTTTTTATACTTTATTATTTATTGATTTTTTAAATAGTACTCTTAGACTTTAAGTATTAGATAGTAATATAGTATTAAATAATATAGTTTTTAATAAAAAATTATTATTTATTAATTTCTTATTTTGTGTTAGGTGTATAAGTTAAAAATTATTTGAGTTTTATCAATTTTAATTTTTTAAGTTGATTTTAAATATCTAAAAACAATAAGTCTTTATCGAAAAAGAATATCTTTATTATATTAAAGATATAGAAAAATACTAAAATATTTATTTTTATTAAATTATTACTATTAGCTTTTTAAATTTTGTTCTAAAATTTGAAATTAACATTTTTCTTTCTTTTCAATTTCATTGTCTTTGGTGGTGTTGAATGCTTAAAGGTAGGCAATAAGCGCTTGATTTAGATGTTATTCTTACTTGGTACACTTGTTAACCCTAAGATTCTGGCTTTTTTATGAGTAAGGAAAATTATTATTATTTTTGTTGTTGTTATTATTATTATTGTTATTAAATTCTGATGTATTATATGTGCTTCTTTGTTTTGCTTTAGTAAGCAATGTAACTCGTTCAAGACGAGGGCCAATCTGGTGAAAGAAGGTTTGGAGAAGGCGGGTTGTGGAATCACTGTGATTCTGAACCCTGAAAAGGTATCATAAACAACTAGTGATTATGTTATCGTTTCGTTGAACTTGGAACTCTCTTTGAGGATATTGATCTTTGTTTTTTCTTGCTAAACCTTTAATAGATTAATTAAAAAATTAATAAATAAAAAGTTGACATTGAATCTCATTTTAGATCTATTGGAATTGCGATTAGACTGTATTAGTAAAACTCTCTTAATTTTAATTCCTCAACTATTCTCTAATTTGCGTTTATTTTTTCTTTATTTGAAATAATCTTTGCCCACGAAAAATCAAATGTAGCTTTTTGGGTGAGGGTGGCTTTGAGAAGTTTCCTGATTCAAAATTGACCAATGAATATGATTATTGAATTTCATGATACATTGTTGGATTGGTTTGTTGTTTAAGGTGCTCTGTTGTTGATGTCAACATATTGATTGGTCCAACTTTGACCCTTTTTCTAATTGATTGAACAGCCAAGAAGAGGTTGCTTTGAAATACGACAGCAAGAGGGCAAGAAGTTCATTAGTCTCTTGGTAATGAGCTATATTTGGAAATTGGTGTGCTATAAATTGTTAATTATCTGTTGGAACTATATAAGGGATTTCTTTTAAACTATCAATTTTTTTTTTTTCATTGTACCATTGCATAAAAGAGTAATGCTAGCAACACACTTTTTAATACACTCTAATTTATACTTTCACTCTTTAATACACTCTAATTCATACTTTCTCTTTCTCACTCCTAAATTAATGACTTTTGTAGTTTTTAATAAATTTTAGGGATATCTATTAGAGAATGTGTATCAAAGAGTGTGTTGTTATTATTACTCTTCCATAAAATAAGAGGTTATATTTGATAAGTTTTTTAGAATTATATAATACATTGATATTATTAGATATAATTTTATTAAAAAAATAATATTTTTAATTTTTTATTTCAATGTTACATGAGTTAAAGAATAGAATTAATACTTTAATGTAATGAATATTTAAATGTTTAAAATCAAGTCTAATGATTGATGTTAACAAAATTATAAAATTAACTTTAATTTTTTTATATGAATTTTGTTAATTAGTGCCCTTATTAAGGTATAAAACTGTATAAAAATGCACTAGAAATCTTGCTATGTTGCATTTAATAGTAGCCTTAATTGTAAACATTTTAGGATTGATGTTAACAAAATATTGAAGAAAGAGAAAATACAATCATTTTATGTATCTTGTTAACTAATTTTCTTTGGGGTGTTAGTTGAGAAATAACAAGTAGATAGTTTATATTGAATATGTTTTAGAAATCATGGTACCCTATATGATAAACATTTTTAATGATATTTTACCTAATCTTTTAACTAGCGTGTTTTAAGGCATTAGATAACATTTAACTCAAATCTTTGTATCTGTCCTTTCTAGCTTTTTTGGTTTTGATATCTGTGCTTTCATACTACGCATGTGGTTTGCGAACTATATTTGTGTGTCCAGGACATGAAGCGTCCATTTAAACCAATGAAGGATCTAGACATGGAAAAGGTCATCTCGGACATCATCGATGAGATATCAAAGACTAGTTGACTTAAGATGTTTTGCAAGGGCTTTTCTTGAAAGTGAAGCGAGATAATGGTTGAAGTCCTACAATGTAAACCTGTGTATAATGTATTAACCAGTTGTATGTGGCACTGCTTCAGAGGGGACAGTCATTTTGGATATCAGGGGAGTACCATCAGATTTGGTTTTCTATCTAAACTACACTTAGGTTTCATTTGCGTTTTGATGTCGAACTACAAGATGTTGATCAATACTTGTGATTTTGTTAAGAATACTAATGCTTCTATGAATTTTTTGTTGCTTTTTTAATGTTTTCTATTGGATAATTAGACGAGAACAACATGGTCAATGCTTGTGATTTCCGTAAGGATGCTTATGCTTCCATCCATCTTTTGTTGCTATTTTATGTTCTTATTAGATGTCACCGAGTATATCAATATCAATATCTAATATAAATATGTTCTTAATTTGTCTTTCTCTTCTACTTATTCAAAAAGTTAAAGATATTACTTTTTTAATTATGTAAAGGTATTGTCGTTAACGTTACATTTAGAATGCATTTGAATATAAAGTTTAATTAAGCTTGTATTCAATATATTCTTTTTTGCATGATAGTTTGAACTAAGACTTTAATTATGAAATTTATTAAAATAAGTTTAAATTAATTTACGTGAGTTGTGAGTAGTTTTGTCTATAGAATTTGCTAAGAGTCTCTTTGTAAGAAGAGAGATTCAAGAGTGTTGGTCTGAGGTTTTTTTCTGGCCACGAGAGTTAAGAGTACAGCTTATGTTTTTTTCATGGAGAGGGGGAGAAATTTTTTCATGGTCCGAGTAGTAACATGACATGTATGCATTTTTGTAAAAATATAGACGATTATCACATGATTTTGGTTACTCAATCTTTTCAAGAAAAGGGGTGTTGGAAAGGATATTTACTCCAAGGTCTTGCTTTCTATACTTGACAAAATATTTTTATTTCATATTGACTTTCTCAAAGTTAAAAGTATTTATGATCTGACTCAAACTGTTAAATCAATATAAATAATTAAATAATTTTTAAAAAAAGTATACTGTTTAATACAGTTTGATTCAATTTTTATGTTTAAAATTGAATTAAACTGAATAACAAGTATATTAAATTTTGTATTCTATCTTTGTATAAATACTGATATTTTTTCTTACAAATGTATTCTACTTTTTTTTAAAAAAATGAGATTTTTTAACTTATATTTCACCCTTTCTAGTCCTTTTGTATGACACTTTCAATTAAGTTATACAAACCAATAAAAATGGTTAATTAGTTTATTTTTTATTTTTTAAATATTATTATGATATAATAATTTTACGTTCATTTAATACTATTACACTTTACTACGATCAATATTTACTTCTTTTAATTTTAATTTATTTATTTTACCACTTTCATTCATTAAGAATAAATAAAAATAATAATAAATATTTCATAAAAATTATAAAATATCTATAAATTATCTCATCTCTCTTTATATACCATCTTCAATTCTTTACTCACTGCAACATCTATTTTGAAAACAAATTACATTATTGTATTTTTAGTATGATATTTTAACTTTTAATTTTTTTAATTATTAATGTAGAATAAAGACTTACAATATCTAATATAGAGTTGTAGAACTAGAGATTGCATGATCGGAGGATGAACGTATAGGTCCTTTCTCTAATTGTTTGTATTATTTACAAAGATTGTAAGATATGTTTGTTGTAGGTTTATAAGTATATGCTCTTTAGAACAATTTTAAAATTGTAATGTATATGTTTATGATTTATTTATTAATATATTTTAGGATTGTAACTTAATCTTCTTTATTATTTAAGCTATTTGCATCACTAGCTTGTTGTAAGTCACTAAAACTTGTTTGATTAAATAAAAATATTATTGTTTATATAAAACACATTCTTGATGGGTGCAAAAAAAATATATAAAGAAAAAAGTGAATGAGATTATTGGCATGATATTATAATTAAGTGCTCCATAATTGACTTGAAAAAATAGATTAATTAAGTGGATAATTAAAAAAAGGAGAATAAAAATATATTGGTATCTAATGATAAGAAGTCTTTAAAATCATAAATAAGTTGGGTGGAGTGTCTACAATCATGGAAGACCAAAAACAAAATCAATAGATGTTAAGATGTAGAAGATTAAGAAAATGCATGAAAAAAGTGGACTAAGTAAATGGAGAAAAAAATAGAAAAAAATGTGTCATTGATGATGTATAGAGAAATGCATACATACATACTTCGAACTCATCAGATTGAATAGTTTTGCACTTTTTTCTTCTCTTTCACTAGCTCTAATACTACTAATATTTAGGCCAAATTCATTTTCCTCCTCTGATAATGATGTCGCTCCAAATAATGAAAACACTAAGTACTCATAACAAATATTATTATTTTATTTTTTATATTATTACTTTGGATGTTTATTTCTTAAATTGTAATGATATTTTAATTTAATATTTTTTAAATAATTTTTAAATTTTAAATTTAAATTTTATAATTTTTTTATATTTACAAATTTTTGTAATAATTAAGAGTAACGAAGAATAATTATACAAATAAAAAAAAAAAGAAACACAATAATGTTACAAATAAGAAAATATGTCTTTAAATTACATATAGAAAACATCATCTGTAAATTAAAAAAAAATTTATTTATAAATTTGTTTATAATATTATAGAACGAAAAATTTGTCCATTTATAAATGAATTTTAAAATTTGTTTGTATTGATTTATTGATAAAGAAATTATAAACGAGTTTAATTTGTTTGTAATTATGAAATTCATTGGTAAACTTTTAAAAATTTATCTGGGAATTTGTCAGTAATTTTTAGTAAAATATAAATAATTTGACATTTCAGCTGTGTAGTTTAAAATTAATATAATACATGCTTTTAAAATATATGATAATAAGGTTACCGTTTAATACAGTAACAAATGGTATTAGTTGACATAAAAAGGTAAAATTAGGAATATAAATAAGGTAATGTTAGGTCAATACATATGGATCACTCGTTGAAATATCTGTTAGTGATGAGCGACAGAAAAGCTTCATTGAACATCAAATTAAGTTGAAAGTTCGATTCTCACGCCGTGTTTGGATGTAAAGAAAATGCAAGAAAGAAAAATCGAAGCAGTGAATTAAAGGATGAAGCATAATTTTCATCAATTGTTTTCATAGAATATAGAATATTTAAAAGAATTTTTATTAAAATATTATAATAAAATTTAAATTAAATTGTTATGATTATTATAAATAATTTTAGTACAATTCACTTATTTTTTTACACTAATTTTTAGTCATCCAAATATGTGAAGTATATATTTTTCTTCACTTTTCTCTCTCATTGTTACTCATTCAAATAAAACATATTTTTACTCTATTTCTTTTATTTTTTAATTTTTATTTTCTCTATTTCATCTCATTCAAATTGATTATGTCTATAAAATTAAACAAACTTTTATTTGATGAAATGTTTATATTTTGATTAATATAGTATTATTAAATTTTAAAAAATTGAAATTATAACTAACAACAATTATACAGAACGTGAATATGAAAAGTTAGAATTCCCAACATATTATCTATACTTATTTAAGGCACGATTGTGGTTATATTGAATCTATAATTATAGCAGATTGATTTTTGTGAGGGAATTGTGTGGCAAACAAGAGAAAGCACAAATATAGCAAAACCCTAATTTTAGTAAATGACATTGTTATTACATTACCACCGATCATTATCATCCTAAAAATATACAAATTTTCTTCTTCTGATTGAATTAGTATGCAAACCATGCTGAACCATTCACACCATTCTTCAAATAGCAAGGAAGAGAGAGGTTCACAATTTACCGTTTACCAAATCAATTGGTTTTTGAAACACAAATCTAAACCATTCATTTCACATGGCTCGAAACATATAAAAAACCCTCAATTCTTCCATTCTCTTAAGGCTTGGTTTCGGACACAAATTCCGAAAGGAAAATAAATAACAAAAAAAGGAAAATTAAACTTCAGCAGGGAAGAAAGAAAGAAAAGAAAACACAGAAAAAGAACTAGTGAAAATATGAGTTCCAAAAGTTCTTCCTTTCTCTGCTTGGCTCTTTTACTTGTATTCTCTTCTGGTATTCATGCCTTTGACATAACAAATTTGTTGAGCAAATATCCAGAGTTCTCAACATTGAATAAATACATCACCGAAACCAAGCTTGCAGACCAAATCAATAGTCGCAACACCATCACTCTCCTTGCTGTCGACAATGGTGCTATCTCTTCCATTTCTAGCAAGTCCCCAGAAGTCATAAAAGCCATCATTAGCACTAATGTGATCCTTGACTATTTTGATGAGAAGAAGCTCATGGAAGCTCAAGGTGCCGGCCAACCATTAACAACCCTCTTCCAAGCGTCAGGGCTTGCTGTGAACCAACAAGGCTTTATCAAGGTTGCACTTATTGGTGAGGGTGAGATTGCCTTTGGTTCTGCCGTCAGTGGTGCTCCAATTGATGCTGAGCTTGTCCACACTGTCACCACTGAACCCTACAACATCTCAATTCTCAAGGTCACAAAACTCGTCATTGCCCCTGGTGTTGATTCTGTTGCTGCACAAGCCCCACAAGGAACTAGTGCCCCAGCAAAAAGTGCCAAGGCACCTGTGTCTTCAACACAGGATACCAAAGCTCCCTCACCTGTGGCATCGACACAGGATGCTAAGGCACCTGTGGCATCGACAAAGGATGCTAAGGCACCTGTGGCATCAACACAGGATGCCAAGGCTCCTTCAAAGACAGCAACATCGCCTTCACCTTCTGGTGAAAGTGATGCTGAGTCTCCTGTTGCTGCTGAAGCCCCAGACAGCACAGCAACAAGCCCAACTGTGTCTGAGGCTCCTGCTCCAGGTCCCATAGGTGATGAAGCTCCTGCTGCAGATTCTTCTCCTAGCGCCTCTTCAACCATTAAGATGGGTTTGGGTGGGACAGTGATGGCCTTCGCTTCCCTCATGATTGTTTTGTAAAGTGAATCATAAAATGAAAAATTGTAAAAGGGAAGAAGAAGAAGATGATGATGAATGAATGATATAAAGAAAGATACATAATAATAATGGAAGAGATGCAAAAGAATTGTTGTTATTGAAAAAAATTGTCAATGACATTAAATTCATATTTCTGTGAAATAAATAAATGGAAATGAAAAAATAGTGATATTTTCATGTTCGAATTAAGGACGCTTCAATCATTTTCTTTCTACTTCTATATTTTTTAATTTTCTCTTGATAGAAATTAATGCAATAAGTTAGAACTTTTTTATTCTCTACACTAAAAATTTATTTTTATTTTGCCAATTAGTTTTCTGTTTTACGAACCATTATAGGTCTAAATTTTATTTGTTTGAAGCCTATCATAGTTTCTAATTTTTTATAACATATGATAGATAACATGAGTCATGATTCTCATGAAAACTAAAATGGTAAAAAAATAATGTTAAAAATACATGTTAGATACTTTGTTATATAAATACTTTTAGTAACAAATTTTAATCATATAATAAATACATGACAATATAATAGCCATTAAACATTAAAGCTATTAAATATTGTAATTTAATTTTTTAATATCATCTACAACCTATATTTGTGTAACAATTTGTTCAATTTGAAAATGATGTAGGTATGTTTGAAAATAGGAAATTCATTTTATTCTTTCAGATAATAAGCGTTATTTGTCTTTAATCTATAGTTTTATAAAAAAATTTACATAAATCTATAATTTTACAAAATAATATTCATTTTCATTCTTTATTATAGAAATCAACAAAAAATAGGGTAAAAATGACTGATATAAATAAAATTTTACAAAGTAAAACCTAAAATGAAGACTTTTTAAAATTGAAGAGTAAAGTGATTGATGCTTTCTATCATTAAAATTAAACTAAAACAAGATGTACTTATTTGGTAAAGTAAAATTAATGAACTATCTCAGTTAAATAAAATTAACTATTGAACTTTTTGATAAGTGTAAAATGACATAAAAAGATATATTTAATTTAAAATTTTGTTAATTATATGTATTCTTAAATAATTATCGCTACTTTTATTTTTATTTATTTAATAATTTATCATCCAAAAAATTAGGATAATAATTTTTTATTTTATATTCTTGCTTAAATGTTTTTATAAAATAAAACGAGATAATATAAATAGACTTAAATTAAAACTTTGATGATTTTTTATTATACAAAATAATATATATTTACAAGTTTGTTATATTAGTTGTAATGTTGTTTTAAAGGTTCTTTATTCTAAAATTACAACAGTCTTGTGCGATCTTAAATTTTATGATACTCACACAATTAAGATGCAAAGAGAATTTATTTAAATCTATAACTTTGATATGCTTTCTTGATAGTATTATTTCTTAAAGAAAATTTTAACCCTTTCTTCTTCCATTAGTCTCTCTCTAACAGTAGTAGAGAAAAGCTAATGAGCCTATATACTCTTTTTTAGTTACTCAAATTCTTATATGGTAATTGCTCTTTGTTTTTTTAAAGGAAAAGAAAAGAGTCTTTCTTTTTTACTTTACTTTATAATTAGACTCCACCAATTCTATCTTTAATAATTAATAACTATCATATTAAAATCTATAATTAGAATTAAGCTATAAGTTACATGAGTTATTTAATAAATTTTTAAATAATCTAATATGTCAAATTAAACATAAAAGTAGAAAACACAATGAGAGAGTTGGATTTAAATTTTTTATTTTTTGTAAATTGAACTTTATTCGATACTCATGAATTTTAAACAAAGCAAATCTGTTATTTCAAAGTTAAAACCAAGTTTTAATTTAAAGAGCTTTTTTTTGTTAATGTATATAAACAAATAAATAACTTGAGAATAAAGAATTTTAAAAAGTTATATTTTGATTCACTTCCACAACTCTTATGTTGTTCAACCCTTGACAACAGTAAACAAAGAGGAGACAATGATTTGGCCAAATTACAATAATTTGTTCATAATAATCTTTAACTTTTAATTCTTTTCCTTAAACAATTTTGGACTAAAATGATATAAATTTTATACTTTCTTGGTATTAGTCCAAATATTTTGTGATCACTTTAAATGCAACATCATAAAAGAGAAGGGAATGTTCAAATAGCTTGGTTTCTAATGTAAGCTTTGAAGGTGATTTCTTTTCCTATTCTATTCTATTTTATTTTTAGGAATACAAGAAGTTCATTTAATTTTCTACAAACTACTTCATCTCTTTATTTTTTTTATTTTATTTTCTTCACTTTTTCATTCATTTTTAATCAAAAAGATAATTACATTAAAAAATATTATCCATTTTAATTTTTTTTTGATTTAAACATTTATAAGAATAGCAAAAGAACAAAATTTCTTTCTTTCTTTTATATATTATTATTATTATTATTTATTTATTTTAAAGAATGATTCAACTAATTGAATATTCACAAATATATCTATTCATTATATTAAGGTTAAGATGATGTAATTTTAAAATTTTTATGTATTACAAATTAAGTAATTAGACAAGCAATATGTTATTATACTAATAAATTGCCCTAAGTATACATAAATAACTATACAAAATGTAAATGTTAGAGTTATGAATGTTGGCAACCAAAATTTTGAAAAAGTTATGAAGTGTACAAATATTTATAAAATGCTTATATTGTAATTTAAAAGCAATAAATTGAAAGAGAATGCCCTAAATCAATGATAACAACAAAGAATGCTTGCTAAGCATAAACATGAACAAATTTCTACAATATATGTTATCTATCACTTGTATCACTTCAAAGTATATCAAGTGAATGAGTTAATCAATTTTTTTTTTTCAAATTCTAAAGAAATAATTATTTTTATTTGATAAAGATAAAGACTCATCACATTACTTTCTCTCCAAAAGCTTTTTCAAGACATGATACTACTTTGTAAAATATATATTATTCTAAGACAAAACATGTATAAATTTTAATTCATTAAAGATGAGTTCTTGTGATAAATATTCTTTTAGTAGCTATGATAGAATAAAAATAAAATAAAGTAAAAATTTTGTAAAGTTTTGGCTTAAAGTAAAATGTTTATAAATTTATGTCTTACAGTGAACTCATTACAGTGTAGAAGTCTTACACAATGTTTTTGGCACTAAAAGAAATATGACAACTTAACCTTAAAGATAATTAAAGATCATCTTGTCATGTACAACAATTGAAAACGTCATGTCTCGAAGGACAAAAACAATTGCAATTTAATGAGTAAATAATGTTTACATGCATTTATTATCCATAAAACAAAGATTTAATGTTCATATTTATACTAAGTGAACTTAGATTAAAGGTTTCTAACATATCTTCAGGAACTTAGTATGTATGTATAAGAAAAATAATAATTACTTGCTACGATATTCTTAAACTTAAAGAGTATTAAATACTGTTTAAATTATACTAAGATATTAAAAGATATTTATATTTTTTTTTAATAAACTACTAACTTTACTATTAAAATCACATGTAAAAGAGCATAAAATATCTCTTCAATACTCAAAGCATTCGTAAAATTTATCAAAATAAAATATTCACGGACTATGTAAAATTATCACTTTATAACTCTTATTCTAATAATTTTTTCACTTTATTTCTAAGGATTTTAGTGTATAATGCTTAGTGAAAAGCTTAGAAATCTTGTTCATACATATATTATCTTGAAATGAAATGATAGTTGTATTCTTTTTATATTTTCAAAGCTAGGTAAAACTTGAATCAACTTAATTAAAATATTATGAGTTTGAGCATTTAGAGATTGGTGAAAAAAAAAAAAAACTCAATTAAGTGAATTAAAGTTATCTTGTTTTTGTCATTATTGATAGTAAGTCTAGTAAATATAGATATATTATTTTAATACGAGTAATACTAGTAACACATTTTTTATTACACTCTTTATAATATTTTTTATATTGGCTAAAATTTATTAAAAACTATAAAAATTATTGAATTTTACTGTTTTTTATTCTTAAATTAATTTTTTTTTCATATTTTTTTTAGTTTTCAAAAATTTTAATTAATAATAAAGAGTATGTTAGATAATGTATTGCTAGCATTCTCTTTTAATATTATTAGAAACACACATGTAGATTAGGTTGATTATTATCCAAATAAAAAACAATTTAGTTTAACATATTGTGTTCTGGTTAGAATAATTGGATCATGTTAAAGACAAAGCATCAGGTTCCACATGTAAACTTCTATGGCTAAAATAAATTTTCTAAAAGTTTCAATTTTTTAAAAGTAAGTTTTATGTGTCTCATTTGTGTTGCTAATCAATCTAGTCATTTGTGATAGAATAAATTGTATTATTGCATCTTTTATGGGTTTAATAATAAAACTAGTATACACTTTCAACAAGTCATATTAAATACAAGGATATCTGACATATGTGACAACCTTAATAAATATATGATATTGCACCAACGTAAGGAAGAATGTTGACATTAGAAATAAAAGTATTTAGGTAGATTTAACTTAATTATATTGATTATGTAATTTAATTTATCAATTAGATTAATTTTTGGTGCATATTTAGAATACATAACCTATTGTAATCTTGTTGATTTTTTTTTTTTTAAATTTAAAATAATCACATTGAGAAAGTTCTTAGACAAGTTTTCACTTACATGTCTACAAATTAAAGATTGGGAGAAAGGAAGTAAGGATAAGATAAAAAAAAATGGGTAGAAATTTTTCCTATGATTTATTTATGGACTTAAAGAAATGATGAAAAAATATCTCCTATTCGTATAATGTGTGGTTAAGAACTAAGAATCTTTATTCAACCATTAATACACTATTGCATTATATTTTAGAAAATAACAATGTCAAAATATATTATAATCTAGTTGGGTTGGCCAAGAAATGGAAGTTAATTGAAAGTATCTTTTTTAAAAAAAAGGCTATTTTAGGCTAAATTTGATCTTCATAATGTTTGAAAATAAATTT